CCCCCGGCCAGCAGCGCAGGCGGGCCAGCAGGCGAAACGTGGTCTCTGACCCCACCGCGGCGCTGGGATGTAACGCCGAAATCGACCATTGCTAATGTGCTATCGCCGAATTTTGCGAATGGGACGGCGGGTGCCTGAGTCGGGGCCTATTAGTGATGGGGCGGCATGCGCAAAGGTAAGTGCGTGCGTGCGGGCGTGCGTGCGGGCGTGCTTGGAGAGGAATTAATAATGCCGCCATGGCGCAAGGAAGGCCCGTTCTTTTGTTTCCTTTCCCTCCCATGTCCTTGACTTTGGTATTTTCTGTTTTGTCGTTGTCTGCGCGCTCTGCTCGACCCTGACTATGTGGCTGACGAACAGCGACGACGACGACGACGACGACGGACACCCCAAAATGTGTCCAAACGGTGCTGGACCCCCTCCCTCGGGGGGATGGTGCCGCCCGGGATGCCGCCCGGGACTGGGGATGCGGTGTGTGTGTCCGGCTCGGTGTGGCCCGTGTCACCGTTGGGTCCCCCGTCCTTGTCGACTCGGCAAGGGCTGTTAGTCAACTTGCCGTCCTTTGGCGCCGATAGGGACGGTAGTATTTAGGGAGGGTGACGGAACACGCGTTCCATGGCGTCCGCATCCGCACTTGCCGACTGCTGCTATGCCTCCCGACACGTAGCGGCACGTACGAAGCTGCGAGATGCTGGCCGTCGATGAATGGCTTCGGACCTGCTGGCGGAGTAGTAGTGAGGCCTGCTTCTGCTCTTTACTTGGTGTGACGGCCCCCTCTCAGCTCGTCTCATCGTGACGCGTCAAAGGCCTAGATGACTTCTCAGGGATGGGACATGTCCCCAGAGACAGTCGCCCAGAAGATGGCTTCAAAGCGCGTGTGCGGCAAAGCATATAGGCGTCGCCATTGGAAGTCTCCGAGGCCATGACGGTACACCTTCATCCTTGCCCGCGGTGACATTGCATCGTGCCCGGAGGAGACCATCTTCTGCAAGTGTACTTGCCTGGTTACCACTCCAGCAGAAGGTGACCTCGGATGCGAACCCGCCGCGTGGTAACACAGCATATTCGACGTGCCGAACATCCCTCGGCCATCACCGGGCGGCACAGTCCGTCACCAAATCTTCATGCCTCGCCGTCGCCGCCGAGGATGCTCCTCCTGTACGAGCTCAGATCCAGAACGGACCGCACACGCACAATCTTGCCGTCCTCGAGTCGATAATACGCATGCTCGCCGAACCGGACTTCCTTCCCCGTGGGCGCAATGCCGCGGAACGCCTTGCCAGGCACGCCGGTGAAGCCGATGCGGGCCGCAATCTGCTGCGTCTCGTCGTCGACGATGATGTCCTCGATGGAAAAGTGCAGGCCGCGGATCTCGTCGAAGCTGGACTCAATCATGAGGCGGTACTCGTCTATGCTTAGGCGGCGCGCGTTGTGCGTCACGACTGGCTGGCAGAATTCGTGCAGGCGTTCCTTCATTGTCAGGCTGTTGATGGTGTGGATGTAGTCGCGGTAGAATTGCGTGAGATCACCACCGTGATGTGCCTGGCGCTGTGGAGAAGTTGGTGACGAGGCGACGTCCCGATCCGAGTCCTCGTGTGTCATGTCTTCCACAGTGGCCACGATATTCGTAATTTTGCCGCTCTGGTTGACCCAGACGAAGGCGTGCTCTGCCTGTTTCCGCGAGGCCCCATCTTGGTGTTTACCATGGTGAACGAAACGCACTGCCAGGCGGTTGGGGTCGTTTTCATCGATGATGACGAGATCGACAGCAACGCGCACTGGCGACTGACCGAGCGCGTTCTTTAGGTCGTTCATGTACCCGTCTCTGTCGAGCGAGAGACCATTGAGCAAGACGTTGCACGCGGGAGACAGCATTTCGCGTGCGGCGTCATAATCGCGCCGTGATAGGGCATCCGCCCACGACTCAACAATGCTTCGTGCTGGAGGCTGGCTCATGGTGACACTGTCGTGATGGTCTGCGAGGCGGAGAACTCATGAAGTTTGGAGAGAGGCGCGAAAACAGCAGCATTGGCATGTTTTTGACAGCACGCAGCACATGCAGCAATTCAATTAATAATGCTGACGCTTACGTCAAGGCAAGTCCATCGTGAACGGCGTCTGCCTTGTATGCGCCATGATCTGCACGAGACGAAATACTAGCCAGGTTTGCTAGCCCGTCTTGCCAAGTTCGTGTTTGTGGAACCGTGCAGCGTGAAAGGTGTGAGTGAGGCTGGGGCTCAACTGCGGCCAACGCGGGGCCAGGCCGGACTCCGGAGCTGGCTACCGGCAGCTGTCTAGGCTCCGGGCCTTTTTGCCTTGTTGCTTCCGAGCATCTTGTCGAGGTCGTATCCGGCTGAGACCATGATGTCAGGAACCTCTGCATTTTGGACTTTCTCGCAGCGTTTCGTATGTTTGCGTGCATTCGTAGCATGAAACTGTATCGAGGTCATGTTGCAACTTACAACAAACTCCTCGGGTCACGGGTGTAAGCGCATCCACTTGGCGCTGAGACGCTGGAACCGTGACAGCTGCGCGCTCGACTCAATCGCCTTGCTCAGAGAGTCAGAGCTGTTCCAGCTTGAAGCTCAACCCTCTCGAGCACGCGCGCACATATCACACTCTCAGAACTCTTCCAGAGCAACAACAGCTCGACGCCTCGGCCCCGCGGCCGCGCCGCAAACCGCTCCGTGACATCCATGTGATGTCCGGCCCGGGCCTGCGCCACCTTGGGGTCCGGCGCCCCGGCAGTCAGTCCAGGACTCCAGACACTCATAGCTCGTACCTGGAGCATGTTGCAGGACCGCCTCAACCCACTAAAATAGCACGAGGAAAAAAACGACCTGTGTGCGTCCGAGAGGGGAGGGGGCCGTTCGTCTCAGGACGCACCTCCGGCGCCTTTTGCGACGAATCAGCTGGCCGCCGGGGTGGCGGTTTCGCACTGGCCAGATGGGTGGTCGTGCCGGTTTCATGGGGGCTGTTGGTGAAACTGGTGGCCGGCCTCCTGCGTACCGGGAGCAGCACGAGTGCCAGTGACCACCACCTGCGGGACGGGGGGCTGGGGGAATAGATGTCATGACTGCATGTGTCTGATGCGTTCGGAGATGGGCCATGCATGCATGAGAGATCTTGGTCGGTTGCCTGCTACTATTTTGCCTTGGCTGGAGATGCATCGAAATTGGCAAGGGTACTTGGTCTGTATTGCTAGATGAGGCTACCTGCGATACGCTACGATGGCAATTGCGTCACGAAAGGACACTTTCATTTTCACTGCCAAGTCGAATCTTGGTACGCGGCTCCCTCCAATTGCAAATCCGTTTCGACGTCGCCCCTCCAAAGACTGTATCACTTTCCGGTAGCGCTGTCGTTCACCGGTAGATCGCCAATCCACCACTTGACACCAGGAACCGTTCCGTCGGAGGCCCGCCGGCCGGGCCTCACATGCTCGCGCAAGGCCCATTCTGCTACCGTCTCTCCGTCTTTGCCGAGGACACACCCGTAGGACCAAAGCAAGACGCGATGCCCCAACTTGAAAATACGCAACTGCTCCAATATGGCTTGAGCACCGCAGCAGGGCGGAACTGGAAACGCTGCGGGTGCACAGTCCCTCGCTTGGTCGGAGCACACACAAGCGCGCGCCCATAGCCTCACTTATACGTGCCCGCCTCCCACTTTCACGTCTGGTCTGGTTCCGAACACATCAATTCACGCGCGCGTGTAAACTAACATCCGACCCTTTCGCTGCCGTCTTATGGAAAGCCGCAATGTGGTTTCCGCGGGATGAGCTGCCAAAGTTCCCGAAGCCCAAGGACCTCGCCGAGGGCTTGCTCGACATCCCGGAGGAGTTGGGCAAGGCTGGGAAGGACTTCATAGGCGGTCTGATCAAAGGGCCCAAGGATAAGGGCCCTCCAGGTCCGGATGGGAAGAGCAAGGGACCGCCAGATACGGTGCCGACAGAGGTGCTACCGGTTTCCCCTTTGCCAAGCGAGCCGGCGACAACAGAATCCGAAGAGACGACGCTGCCGACTTCGACAATCCCAACGCCGATAGCCAGCAGCAGTGAAGCTCCAACCACTTCAACAACGACATCTTCTTCTACATCTGCGACTACGACTACGACAATAGAAGACGCGCCCTCCTCAATAGCATCACGGCCGTCTGGCTCTAGTGAAACCGCGCCTATCGGGCAACAACCAGCAGGACCTCCTGCCTCCGAGACTGCTATCTTACCCACGTCGTCAATAACGAAAGCTCGGAGTCCCGTAGGGGGATCCCCAAAAACAACAACCACCAGTGTCGAAACAACGCGTCCGGCGTCGACGTCCCAGCCGCAATCCCAGCCGCAATCGACATCACCCACGAGCACTCTGGTGCCGACCACGCCTCGACCCATACAGACTGTTTCCTCAGATACCACCACACAATCTGCTGCGGCTCCGCAAGGCATTCCGACGAGCTCGTTCTTCACCACAACGAGGCCTGCGACTGCAGCTACGAGGACACCTCTGTATCCGACGCCAATTGCAAACGTTGACGGCGGTCGGTCGGATCTCAAGGGCGGCCACAAGGCCGCCATTGCTCTTGGGACCATTTGTAAGTTGACCTATCTTCTATTTTTGCTGGTTAAGCTAATGACGACGGCAGTGACAGTTGGTCTCCTTGCTCTGGCCATTCTACTGTTCTTTCGGCGGCGTCGGCGACGCCAAGAACGACACCGCCTGCCCGATAGCTTCGCCCCGACGAAGGAATGGCCATCAGGCGTCCAGCGACTCGCCGATAAGCTGCATATCCCCATTCCCTCTCGGTCAGCGAGGACGCGAGAGCCGCTAGACGACATGGGAGAGCCGCTCGTGCGCGACACGATGGAGGCCCGATCCTACCCGTTTGGCTTCCACTTTGGTCCCGCCAAGGTCACGCCTGTCGGGATGAAAGCAGTCGGAATACAGGGCGAGCCGGGCCGCAGGAGATCGTGGTGGAACCCGCTGGCCTTGAACCCTTGGATCAGCGAGCCTCCAAGGCGAGAACCACTGGCCCGCGGCCCGCGCTTGCAAGTGACCCCTCCAGATGATGCTGGCCATCAAGGAACTGGAAACATAACACATGTAATACAATGCCAGCGCATACAGTCACATGGACGACCATTTTAAGATACCACTAATTGTAAGAGAGAGAGCCTCAAAGATTATGTACATTGTGTCCGTGATTTGTTTCGGTGAGAGGCATTGAGACGAGCTTGGTTCGTGCCCAACGGGTTGTCGACTGGACACGGGCTTCCGCGCTTGGTCCGACGTCGACTCCACGATCGAGGCAGTGGAAGAAAGCATTAGGCACATGTAATTATTTACTACTCTGCTTTAAGTGAAGGGCAGAGTTTGACGAGCTCGGACAAAAAGACCCTAACACACCACGCGCAGATGGCACAAGCCGTAAAGTGTGACTTATTGCAGGTAAGAGCCCACAATTGAGACTCCCACACAAAACATCAGCCAGCCGGAAGCGCCTGCCGTAGGCCGACTTGCTGAGGCTGCTTTGGGAGTTTTAGAGCCCTCGGCAACATGTGCTTCGTGCAAGAGTAAGCTACACTTCTCCCTTGACGGGACCGAGATACTGACCCCTCCCAACTCCGCCCACACTTGATCCCAGAAATCACATTCTTCGTAGTCCAATGCTGCTACGGCCATGCTTTGATCCTGGACCAGCATCCCGTGAGGGTCGCACTCGTTGAACCGCGGCCACCTGTGTCCGTGTGTCGAAGGGTCACCACCCGCCGCCATGGCCGTCCACGCAGCCACCAGCCCGCGGCTAATGTCGCGCTCCGCAGCCGTGGAGTGACACGACCCGTTCCCCACGGGCATGTTGTCGAGATTTCCAAACACAAAGGGCAGCTCGGCTGTGTGCGTGGCCCCAAACTCGTCGACAAAGCGCCGCGGCGGGAACTTCTTCCCCCTGATCCAGACCCAGGGGCACGACGGGACGTGGTTGAACTGGTAGGCATAGGCGGGCACCCCGGCGGCGGACGTGGCACGCAGAGTCTTGTATGCTGGGCACTTGAAACCCGCAAGAGTATTAATGTGCGTAACTATCGCGTTGATGGAGTTGTTGAATGCGCTGAGGGGGTACTTGTTCCCGATCGAGGGCCCCACGCGGCCCCAAGCGTCGAGGAACCTGGCGTAGGCGTCTTCAGCGCTGGAGTTGTCGGCTTTGTAGGCCTTGTGAGTGAATAGAGACGAGTCTTGGCCGTCTGACAGCGCATTAGCAGGGACAGTGTTTAAACTCAAGTTCAATGAGGCGAAACGTACTGGAACCGACAATGACTGGCACTCGGGAGCCGACTTTGAGGGGCTCTTCCTTGATGACGACGCCATCCAGCACCGCCGCATTAAGATTCGTCTGATTAGGGAAGTTGAGGCCAAAAGTTCCGCCGAGGGACCTATGCCCCTTGAATATGACCTTTTCTTTCAGAGCTGCAGTCTTTTGGTACGCAGCTCGCAGTCTGCTGACCGGCTTGGACTGAAGACACTTCAGCTGCGACAAGTCAGCGACACCGTGCCACCCACTACGGTTGTATACCTGTTTGCTTTGGTCACTTACATCGTGGTCCGCGCATCCGAGTGCAGCAGCGTAACTCTTTCCTGTATACTGAGCCGTCTCGTTTGGCGTCAAGTCAATGCCACTGCCGGACTGCAACACCACAGCCGCGACCAAATCCTTCACTTCTGGGAGTGACGCGACGGCAAAGGCATTGACAGCGCCTGCGCTCTGTCCAAATAACATGGTCTTCTTGGGGTCGCCGCCAAACGCGCCAATGTTGTCCTTGGTCCAGCGCAACGCCGCGAGGTAGTCCTGGATGGCCATGTTCCCACCGATTCCGGCCGATGCGAGTGTCAGAAACCCCAGCATGCCGACCCGATAGTTGAACGAGACGACCACTGCATCGTCATGTGCAAGGTTGCAGCTGTCGAACAGGGGATAGTTGATGGCACCGGCATGATTTCCCCCACCGTAAGCAAAGATCTTGACAGGGAGAGCAGAACGGGCGGTCGCATCTGGTGGCGCAACCACATTGAGGTACAAGCTTCCATGACTCAGTAAACGACTCTACTCGAGACAAAACGTAATATTTGATGTCCTACCAATCTTCCGACGGCTCTGGATCATCAACCTCAAATGCCGAGTGAAGCTGAATGCACGGATGCGGTGTCCGTGTCGCGTCCCAGCGTCCATTGTGATACCGTTCCCTGACGGGCCTCGGTGGCATGAAACGAAGCTCATGGACAGGTGGCTGCGCAAAAGGGATTCCTTGGAAGAGCTGCGCCTGGTTGCTGCAGCGCGAGCCGTGGACGGACCCTGCAGAGACGTGTGCGACCGGCGCGCCGTCTAACGTCGCCGCGGCTGTCGCGACTAGGCAGATGAACGAAGCGATTGCGTTCATCATTGCTTCTCCAGAGAGTGTCAGCAGTGGCTTCTGACCGAAAGAGGCTTGTATGGTGGCCGCGACGCAGGCTGTCACATGTTCGAGTGTCCGTTCACTGGTCTGCTTGACATGGAAGCTCGACAGCCATGGTGTGTGGCGGGATCATGACTTACGCGCTTATCCATTCAATGGTGAAACGCGACTGAGTACGTAGCAACAGAGCACGGGGAACATTGAATGGCTGGGATGTCTCGCCCGCCCTTTGTCGAGCAGCACCAATTGATGCCACGCGAAAGGCCGGGTGAGACACTGTCAACAGAATGGCTCCAGCCATTATGCGATCTCCAGACAGTACACTGCACTACACCGGGGAGCGGAAAAGAACCTTTCGCAGAGTGAGGATTCTGCTACTTCCGGAAGTTGGAGCAATAGATAATTGAGAGTTTCTCTTCGAAGCTTGGATCTTGCATCAGACGACGAGCGGGTCCACGTCATGTCGCTGCAAAAAGGCAGTCGCTATCACCCGAACGACGCGATTCCTCTTCAATTGTCTCACCTTCTACACTTCGCAAGTCTCTGCCACCAGCCGGTCCAACATCGTTTCTTCCATCTCGTTATTGGCGGCCGGAACTGGCGCATCCAGGAGCTCGCTCACTGCATGTGCCCGGTATTTCCTGTCTGGCTGTACCAACACGCTCACTTATCCCATGTTATGAGATGTGAAAGCCCTCCGCACGTCACTATGAGCTCCCCACCATCTTCTACAGACTGAACCGTTCACTCGCAGTCAACGTCAACTGTACCCTTGTACCAATAACAGTCTTGGCCCGGTTCGGTACACTAGGTGCCGTGAACATTAGAGCATGAATCCGTTGTGACCGCACATGTATTCCTCCAAACACGGAGACACTCCAACTTGGTCACTTACCGGTTTATATAGATCACAAGGCAAAGAAATATACTCTCCATTAGGCCACGGCCCGTAGACCTTGCAGGTCCCGCTTCCATGTAAAATGTCAGGAGGCTGGCATACCTGCAAACAAATAGAATGTTAATCGCCGTATCATTCCTTTGATCTGCAATTCGGCCGGACTCACGCCTTTCAGCTTTGTACCCTCCGCGCAGTCCATCGCCATACTTCCTACGTTCGTATACCACGAGACGATTGAGTAGACGATGAGTCGTTGGAACAGCATGATTGTAGGAACGAGTGAGGCTGATTGGGAAAGAGCGAATAAGTGAGTGCAATACTAGAGCGAACATGCACACTTTATGTATTGGTGAGAACATGCCATCATCTTGTATTGCCAAGATCGCTGCTCTTGAGCATTAAATGCCGCAGGGGGACTCATGTCACATACATGTAATGATTATTTGGCAAAATTGGTTTACACGTTATGACCTATGACCGCTTGTCAATACGGAGCGCTGGATAGTTACATGTATGAGGTGCTCGGGCGACGCAAGTCGATCAAGAATCTTGGTTCGGGCGCAAGTCAGGCCTCTTGGACGCAGGACGGCCAGAGAACCATAGCTGCTGCGTGGCACAGGGGAGATGTCAGATCTGCTCCTCCATACATTGGCGAGGCAATTTTGGCTGAGTACTCCCGACAGGCAAGGCAAATTACTGCGACACTCTGGACGCAGCGGCTCCTTTGAGTGAGTGCAGCTTCAACTGGGAAGCTCAATGCTGAGTCTGGCAGAATGACGGTTGGTGTTTCTGGCGTCGATAGCTGTAACGATGTTTGCCATGGGCTCGGCCCAAGATTGCCGCTTGATCTCGCGCCCTGCCGTATCGGGCGAGAAACATGCCATTCGCAACTGCCTCACTGCTTCAGAGAAATTTGAGATGCAGGTCACTCGTAGACCGGTTACAGACACACAAGCGCGCGGACCATGTCGTGCGCAGGAGCCAAGGTTTCAACGCTTCTTTTATTGCGCTTGTCCTCGATTGTTCCGCAGTGACTCCGCGGGATACGCCCAGAGGCACGCAGTCTTGCGCGGGCGGCGCATTGTTCCGCGTTGCCCAAGTACCCGTAGCACCATTATCGCGACAGCGGGCAGCATAGCTTATGCTTATGTTGCGGTCATATACACTGTCATGTCTCGCCTATTATCGGCGCCCCGCGCCCCTTTAGTTTAGAACAAGGAAACGGTCATCGGCTCAAGTCGCCCCAATTTTGCATTTGTAAACGAGCAAGGGTAATTGACCAAGGTGCAGGATTTCGTTGGCGACAATTATTCAGCCCGGTGTGTGGCTGATAAGCTAGCTCGGCACTCGCACATCGTGTCCGTCCGAGATCCCAACCCCGCAGGGGTTGTTTGACCACGCACACTAGAATGACAAAGATCGAGTTTGCCGGACAGAGCGGTTGCAAACTCCGTGTAAATCGAAGCCATCGGGAAATCGGAGGTCGGCGACTGCAACCGCCGACATCATTGTTAGCCTAGGAGAACTACATGTCCAGAATGTCCCGTAGATGGCTCTAGTGAATGTGAGCTGGAGGCTCCGTGGGAAGTATAAGAAGCGGCACAAGTCCCCGAACTGATGGAGCTTCTCATCAACCCATCATCGCACGCATCATATAGCAAGCCTTCAGCAAAGTCAGTTACAAAACGCAACAATCATGGTTACCGTCGCAGTCGCAGGTGGCAGTGGGAGCATTGGCTCCGCCGTTGTCGCGGCCATAGCCGCCACAAAAAAGCACACGGTCTTTGTCCTCTCCAGGAAGGTGAGTGCGGCCAGAAATTTTTGAAGCAATGTGACGCTCACAGAGTATCCAGGAAACTGGAAAGTTCGCTGAAGCCGAAGGCGTGTCAGTCTTGGTGGTCGACTATGAGTCAATGGATGCGACAGCGGACATTCTCAGCACAAACAACGTGGACACCATCATAAGCTGTCTCAACCTCAACAGTGAGGAAGGAAACGCCGCGCAGGTGAATCTCATTGTCGCTGCTGAGAAGTCTTCCACGGTCCGGCGATTTGCTCCCAGCGAGTACGGCATCGACTACCTCAAGGCTCCTCCTCAGTGAGTATCTACAGAAGTGTGCCGGGGGAGTCCGATATACTTATTGACTGCCTTCATTCAGATTCCCTGCTGCTGAATACAAAGTTTCTGCCGTGGAGCGGCTCCGAAAATCCCGCCTGGCTTACACCCGCTTCCTCACCGGCGCGTTCATGGACTACTTTGGACCCCAAGGGGCGCCGACGACGCTCCAGATGATATATCTTGTTGTTGATCATGCGAACAAGAAAGCTGTGATACCTGGCGATGGAAACACGCCTGTCGTATTGACCCACAGCACGGACGTGGGAAGATTTGTGGCGGCGTCTCTGGATCTTGCCGAATGGGATGACGCAAGCGTCATTGTCGGCGATAGGCTGACCCTGAACGAGCTCACCAAGCATGCAGAGGACGTTGCTGGAGGCAAGCATATCGCTCCACAGCGAATTAAACTTGGCTGACAGCAAATAAACAGAGAAATTTGAGGTCGTGTACCAATCCGTCGAGCGTCTCCAGGCTGGGGAACAGATTGATGAGCTTCCCGGAAACAAAGCAGCCTACAATTTCATGCCCAAGGAGGCAGTGGACACGATCAGGAAAGGTGCAGGCCTTGGTATGGCTCAAGGCTTGGTGGACTTGGCCCTGGACGACAAATCTCTCAACTGCAGGTTTCCCGAGATCACTCCCCTGAACATCAGGGACTTTTTCAGCAAGTATAGAAAATGAGCAGAGCGCGATCGCAGTATCGAAAGCAGTTACAGAAAAAACATAGAAGCTCTTTCCTAGATCTATATATTGACAAAATCTACGCATGTGCGCTTCAATACTTGCAGACGCCCTTGCAAGACTTCCTGACGTAGTCAAGCTTGAGATATCCGTGCTCCCACTTGGTATTCCAGCCTCTCCCGCACCTATGACTACAGTGGCCATTTTTTCCTGCCCTTTCGAGCGCCATAAGCGCGTTGAAGGCTTCGCCGACGGTATGGTTTGTGCCGCGAGGCAGGTTTTCGAAGAAGAGGCAAAATCCGTGAGGCCCGTGCGAATACAGGTAGCAGGCTATGTGTTTTCCACTTGGGTAGACCCTGTCAGGGGGAAGCGAATAGAGCTTCTCCTTCAAATACCTCATCAATTTGCCTTCTTTGTGGTAATCGTTATCCTCTTCGATAACGGCTGTTCCGCAGTTCATGCTGAGGCTCTCGCAATCGTTGCCCCAAGCTTCGGGGCCACCCTCAAACTCAAATTTCTCGAGAGAATATGTACGATTGGACTGGGCTAACACGGCAAGTGGCAGGATTGCAGCGACAATACCGTAGATAGGCCGCATCTGATGGAAAACGGATTAGCCAAAGCGTTTACACCGTGAGCGATTTATTTAACAAAAATACCTTGCTGATAGTCTGCAGTGTATAGCTACACTGTTTGATACGAGGAGCGATGAGATTCGTCTACGACCAGAACTTGGATTGAGTTTGTCGGCCACCCGAATTTATAGACGCCTGCCTGCCGACTGCCTTCAATTCGTCGTTTCAAGGGGACGCGAAAAGGACCAGGAGCATATTTGCAGCGCACGTAGCAATACACCGAAACAGATGCTTTTCGTAGTATTAATCGGGCGTATAGTCGGGACTAGTGGCCCGGCCCGAGCATCCCTACGTAGGCTTCCAGACGTTGCAGGGGCGAGAGCATTGACCCCTGAGTGGCCATGTATCCAACATCAACTTGTTTTACAGCAACGCGCGCCCTTACCCCATCTTGTCTTATATGGCCATGTGCTCGAATGTCTGCAAGAGCTACTAGGTATCACTACTATAGTAGTGTACTAAGTCGACTGCCAACACCATCTCCGCTGCAGGTACTGTCGCCATCCAGGGCTTTACCCTGGCTCTTGACCAAGCCGCGACCTTGGTCCCGAACGAGAAGTTGCGGTCGCATTCCGGCGAACAAGTGTAGCCAATAAGCGCTATCTAAATAGATGAAGCAATTGACGCGAACTCTTGTTCCTGTAACCTTGACGAATGGGCGGCGCTGGTTGACATATGTGAGGCCGTGGCACTATCGCGGCCCGAGAGCACGTGTCGAATATTGTGGCAGCGGGCCGACCACCGTCAAAGATAATCCCCATGCGGAGAGTCCGTAGAGGGCGATTTGGACAGCGAAAGTGGCTGCCGCCGCCTCGCGTGGGTGTACGAGTCCTTCAAGTTGTTGGCGCACCTTGCCCATTCGACACCACGATCGAGACGACCTGGCGCCTGGGTGGCCTGCAGTAAACCATGAAGCGATGCAAGAGTCAGGCGAGGCGCAGGGTTAATAAGATTTGCACTGTATGGGGAATCGCCTTGCAAGACTGGATGGGGCCTTTGGTGTCACGCTCGCGCCGACCACCGCCCGCCGGATGCGATAGCCCATCTGGGCCTGCGGCAGTGAAATTAGTTGTTCAATATCCCATATGTTCATTGCACGTATACCTAAGTGTAGGATGTTGTAACAATCGCTTCGTGGCACTTGTCAAGTCTAGGGACAAGGTTTTCTACACAACCTGCCATGACACCTCAATCACAACACGACGCCCCTGAATGCCAGCACGCAAAGGCAAAGTAAAAGCACTGAAGCGCAATCACGCCTTGCTCCTCTTTTCGCGCTCATTCGGCAGCGTCCTCCGGTAAAGCCACTGCGCAAATTGCACGCTCGGCGTGTCAAACGCCCTGGTGCCAAGGTCCGCTAGGCACATCGTCACTGGGAGCAACAGGATCTGCGCCATAAGCAGCGACGCTTCGAGCCCAAGGGGGCCCGCTCGCGGAAGCGCCATCTTCTTTGCCCAGGGCAGAGCGGAGTCCTGATCTTGTGCGGTCAGGCCAATTGACTGATAGAGCCTGTCTCCAACGGTCCACAGCACTGGGCCGTGGACCAAGTAGAGTGCATAGGAAACCCGGCCGAGGTATTGGCAGAAGCGCGTCTCGAAGAAGCGCTTCAGCCATCTGATGTGTGCCACGGATGACACGAGGAAGATGGCCGCCCAAAAGAGGTAGAACCACTTGTAGTCAAAGACCGCCTGCGGTTTGAGGTACGAGAGATAGTACCAGCCGCGGTTGCGGGCGAGCTGCTCGACCTCGCGGTTCTCGCACGGGATGCCGCCGAGATATAGGCTGACGGCGAAGAGGTGATAGAAGATGAAGGTTTTGAAGGGCCGAAGCTGGGATAAAAGCCGAGGCAGCCGGTCCGATTTGGCAAGGCGATCCAGGTCGCCAAGCAGCATTCCCGCCACAAACATGGCGCAGTACCATCCGTCCGTGATGTACAGGAAGTACCCAATTAGCGCAAGCTGACACCAGAGACGCGCAGTCACCGTGCTGCGCGAAAAGGCCAGCGCGGAGGCGTATATGACCATGGAACCCTTCATCTCAACCGGAATGGACCAGAGGTGCATGCTGTAGGAGAGCCAGGGGATGCCGCCATCCCGGTATAAGAAGCTGAAATTCTTGAACTCGGCATATAGTGTCCACATCTCCGATCGCCAGCTGCCTTGCGGGGTGGCGCCGTCGGTCGGGGGCCCGAAAATGTGCCAGGATGTTGCGTATAGAAACATGACTATCATGAGCGGCAGGAATAGCCGCAGCCAGCGTCGGAAGAAGGCAGAGGCGAGGTGGTCCCCCAGCGCGACCATATCGTCGGCGTCGATCAACTGCAACGGCTTGATGGACAGAACGTAGCCCGACAGCACGAAGAATGTCGACACCGCATAGTGGCCCCCGGTAAAGAAGATTCGAATGCCCGGAAAGGACGCGAGGCAGTAATTGCCTTCGTATCCCCATGCGTTCTCGAAAATGGCGTTTTGCTTGAGCCTCTCGTGAACCCATAGTTCGTGGTGATGGAAGTAGACGATGAGGGCGGCGAACCCTCGCAGGCCGTCCAGGTACGCGGTCGGGCGGACAGAGGTGGCTCTCCGCCGCGCCGGCGGCCAAACCCACGACTTGGCGAGGCGGATCATGCGGTTCTGGGGTCGGCTCGTGCCGGCCGGTCTCCAGGGCTGCCCGAGCTCCTGGTCCAGTTCGACCGGATCAAAGGCGGTCTTGGCCTCTTGGCGGATGGTGTCGTCCATGATGCCGGAGGACGAGTTCACGGCTCACGACGGAGAAAGGGTTAAAAAAGATGCAACTCCTGCTGCGCGGCAGTTGGCTGGCGCCATGGGAGGTTTTGTGATGATGATGCGTGTATGTGGACACTGGACGGTCCTCATTTCAGCGGCCGGCGACATGGACTGCTGCGCCCGGTGCGCGCCTACGGCATGTACCGTATGGCCAAGCCGCCATTGCACAGTACTCATCATCAATTTGGGTTGCAGTTTGTCTTCACATGTGGAGGTGGCTTTCAAGGGCCAGCGGGTCCCGTCGAAGTGCTCGTGCGGTCGAACGTTCACAGTTCAGTTGCCCTGGGCTGGGGGAGTCTTAGCGCAAGCCACCGCGGATGTGAGGTTGCCGGAAGATCGGCAGTGCAACGCACATGAGCCGGCATTGGGGACCGAATCGAGAAGCTGTCCGAGCGAGTGTGGGATTCCCTGTGTCCGGCACCGGGCGTTGGATGGTAATGGGCAGAGTGTGTCTGCCTCTGACGCGGGACCCCCCTTGCCCTCCCAGCCGACGCTGCATGCTCGCTGTTCCATCAAATGGCAGGGCATGGGGAGAGAAGGATGGGCATTGCATGGAAGTGGAGAGCCACAACCCACCACCCCTCCTCTCCGACTCAATTGCCTGCGGGCCAAAGGCAAATGGCTCGCAGACGGTGCGTCCGTGGTGACATCCCCGCCGGAAAGACGCCGACGAGATGCAAAATGCAAAGGTTTGGGCAGGCATCACGGCTCCCGAGCGCTCGGTTCGCCCGCCCGCTGCCGACGCCGCATCGACAGACAGATTTTCCGCCCCTCGAGTCAGTTGTCACGCGTCCGTCCTCCCGCCAGGTGGCTGCCATGTGCTTGGACTTCACGGACCCTTGGCGCTTGACGCCACGGGGGCCTGTCTTGGGGAGGGGGCCTTCGGTCCTTAGCCGCTCGTACGGGTTAGTGCGAAGGAACTGGAGTCAGGGCCACACGCAAGTGACAACACCCAACCCTCTCCTCCCCTTGCCCAAGCCTCGGCAGTACCCAGCGCGGGCTGGCCCCATATCGTGATCGCGTGCGTGCAGCACTGGGGCGGCGGCTCCAAGGCGGAGGAGGGGAGGACCCAGGATCTTTGTCGACGTCTGACTGCTGCTGGTGCTGCTTGCTGGTGCTACTGCTGGCGGCGTATGATTGCAGGGCCGGTGGGTGGCTGTCGCTTGGAGACCGGATCTGCCTGCCCCTGCTGCCAAACCTGGAAGTGACTGGAGCCTCCAACGATCCCGTCCTGCATATCTTTGCGCTGGTTCGCAGCTCTCCCGTGTAAACATTCTGCTGTAAGCCCCGGTCTGGTCGGTGCGCGACAAACGCCAGTCTCCTTCACATGCGCATCGTGAAGCGACCCAAAACGCAAGACCAGGATTCCTTCCCCCCAGTGGATTTTATCCTCCCGGTTGGCATCAATTGCGCAAAAGTCAATTAAAGCCCGCGGCACAGCAGCTTTATTTCTGGTCCATGATGGATACGCCGCCGCTGACGCCGACCTTGAGAGCAAAAACGTTTACCAAGCTCGGCGACAGGTTCTCCTCAAAAGTCGGCGACCTGGCGCTCCCACGACGCGTCAAGAGGGTGCTGCCGCTCTATGTCGGCTGCGCCCTCACCCTTCTCATTCTCCTCAATCTCGACTTTCTCGCATTGGTCCCGAGCCCAGTCGCTGTGCTGCAGCGGCAGGAGACAGCTCCTCCTCCTGCGTCTCCGCCTCCGCCTCTGCCTCCTACGTCGGGTCTTCTGGGAAGCTCGTTCCCGCAAAAGATATGGCAGACCTGGAAGATTGACCCGCTCCTCTTCGGGATCAAGGAGACTGTGAGGGCGACAACTTGGTTGGAAAAGAACCCGCACATGAGATACGAGGTCATTACAGATGCGAGTGAAATGACCTACATCAACGAGCATTATGGACCAAACGGCTTCAATCGCCCGGACATTGTCGACTTTTATCATAGCATCAATCTTCCGATTATAAAGGCCGACCTTCTGCGATACATGATCCTATACGCCGAAGGTGGCGTTTATACCGACATCGACGTCGAGGCGCTCAAGCCGTTCCACCGCTTCTTCCCTGAGCGACATAACGAACTAGAGTACGACCTCGTCGTCGGAGTCGAGGTGGACGAGCCCCAATTCCGCGATCACCCTATCCTAGGCCAGAAATCCGAATCCTTCTGCCAATGGACTATTATTTCGCGCCCCCAGCATCCAGTCATGATGCGACTCATTGAGAACATCATGGCCTGGCTGAACGGCGTCGCGAAGGAACAGCGCGTTCCAATCAACAAGGTCGAGCTCACATTTGACCAAGTTCTTACAGGCACCGGTCCCTCCGCGTTCACCAAGGCCGTCATGGCGGAAATGAACAACAACTCGCCAGAGCGCAAGGTCACATGGGACGACTTTCACAGCATGACGGAATCCAAGGTCGTCGGTCGCGTTCTCGTCCTAACAGTGGAGGCCTTCTGCGCCGGATCAGGCCATTCAGACTCAGGCAATCATGGATCTCGAAATGCCCTCGTCAAACACCACTATCACGCATCCAACTGGCCGAGTCGACACCGGCGATACAGCCACCCTGCCTTTGGCCAGGTTGAAGAATGCAATTGGAACGCCGACTGCGTCAGGCAATGGGATAAGGATGTGGCCGACTTCGAGAAGCTCTCGGAGCAGGGCAAGAAGGACAAGATCAGGGAGAGGCTGCTCTTGTTGCAACCACCGCCGCCTCCGCCTGCTCCGCCGCAGCAGCAGCCGCTAGAACAACCACTGAAGCTGCCAGAGTCTCTGCCACAACTACCGAAACAGCCCGAGCAGCCGCTGGAACAGAAGCTGGAGCCAGTACCGGAGCAGAAGCCGGAACAGAAGCCGGAACAGAAGCCGGAACAGAAGCCGGAACAGAAGCCGGAACAGAAGCCGGAACAGAAGCCGGAACAGAAGCCAGAGCAGAAGCCGGAGCAACAGTCGGACAAGCTGGAGGAAAAAAAGGCCCCCGAGCAAGGCGGAGAGCAGAAACCGATGGAACAACCCGGTCAATCAGACAATCACGGGCAACATGAGCAAGTGGAGGAACCGAAGCAGCCAGAGCAGGCACTCTAGGAAGGTCGACCATTTGCTCGGACGGTGCATCACAATGTGGTTTGGCGTTGGATCATGGTATGGAACATTTTCGGGGCGTTATCTTGCTTGGGTTGGGAATTCTAGACCTCTGTGTCTCTTACGGCCGCGGTACTACGCATAGACGTGTTCATCACGAGGTATACCACACATGAAGAAGATGTTGAATTGCACAATGAACCACCTCAAGAAGCCCTGTGAAGCTACAGGGGACTGAAACAGCCGGATGAGCATGGGCTGCCCATGGGCGCCGGGGGAGATCACGATGATGCCGCTGCCCAGCTTTCACATGCTCGCACCCCACGTTCGGGTTGCGTCAGCGCGCCTTGCGTACAACCAAAACAGCAAGGCATGGAATTTACCGCGCAAGAACCAACTTCCAGCTGGGCACTAGTGATGGGCTTTCCACTGCAAAGTAAGCGGCGTTCACAGAGATGGATCCGACGACGAGGCTCTGCGGTACCCCAAAACAAGGTGCCATAGGCTGCCGGCTCGGTCTTTGGTTCAATCCCACGGCGGAAGCCAGAGAGTGTGAGTGGGACAAACCTGTCAACACAGCGCAAGGCCCCGCCAGATCGGCACCTGGGACCAGGGTCAAGATTGCAGGGGTTCCACCACTTCTGCGCCGTCAGCTCTGGTGCGCGGGAATGGGGGGTTCGACGTCGACGAGTCGACCGTGTGGCTGGCTTGCAGCCCGCTTCGGGGACGACGTCCGCTACCCACCAGGCCCGCGTCAACCACACCGCGTCCCCGGGAACAACCTGTGGAACACTCCTCGGGCCAGCATGTGATTCCGTACGTTGGGCAAAGGATCCCAGGTCTTGTCGAATCCGGGGGTGGAGACGGTGACCCGAGCTGACCGGAGCAGGATGAGGGGAGATGGGCGGATGATGACGCAGCCTCGTACGGGCACCCGTGTTTCCTGGGCATCCGGGGAAGCTGGGGAAAGGGTTTGGGGAGTTTGTCCTCCCGCTGTTTGTGACCCGCGGTCATGGTGGTGCCGTCTCCAAGTAAAAGATGTGGGTAAGTCGCAGTAGCGTCGAGTCTTGTTCTCCAAGTCTCGTCGACGGCGCATTCAACAGCAAACAAGACTTTGGGAAATTGCGATCTTCAACTACCGATTGAATCGATGTTTTTACCGGCGCTTACGTTCTAGTTTTGAGGAAACAGGTTTAGAAGAAGAAAAAGATATTTACAGTGGCCGGCAATAGCGGCCTGCAGAATCGCATCTGCGGCATTTTGCCGTAAAAAAAACTTGCCGCGCCTGTCAAAGGCTCGTCACTCCTGTCCAAAGAATCCTGTATCCCCAAGGTCTATAGCGACCTGCTGCCGTTGCACACTCAAGCAGCTGTCTAGTTTATCGCACCAATGCCTTCAGAAGCGGTGCCAGGGCGCACCACTGGAGCTCCAATTGAAGGCGTATCCACTAGCAACGCCCTTGGGCGCTGAGATGAATCCCCGGTCAAGGAATTTACAGAGCAAAGACACCGAGGGCCAGGACGGCGAGGCCCATGGCAGGGCCAACGGCAGCCGCGCCGGCGGTGACCGAGGGAGGGTTCGCGGCAGTGGTGGTGGACGGAGGCTCCGTGGGCTGCGCAGCGCTGGTTGTAGGCGCGACGGTGGCAGTCGGCGCAACCGTGTTGCTGGACTCCTCAGACGTCGCGGGCGCGTCCGTCTGGGCGGCGGACGAGCCGGCGGACGAACCGCTGCCGCCAGCAAGGGCCTTCTTGCAGAGCTCCTGGGTAGCGGGGAGCACCTTGTCTGCGCATTCTGGTCAGTACAGGATAACTAGATCACAGCAGCGAGAAAGCGACGTACTGAGCGCGACGTCCTGGCCACAGTCCTTCAGGATGCAGCCGGTGGCAGCACCCTGAATCTTGTCGAAGTTCTTGCAGATGCAAGCAAAGTCGTCCGTCTTGCAGCTCGAGCTCTCCTTGACGGCATCGTCGAGGCAGGGCAGAGCGCAGCTGGGCAGGTCGCTGCGGCTCTGGGCGGCGGCGAGAGTGGCCAGGGCCAGGCTGAGGACGGCAGTGTACTTCATGTTGACTCTTGAGCTGAGACTGATTTGACGGTTTGGCGTTGTGATGAGCTCGAAAGGGTCGCGATGTACTCGTACAAGAAGACGGCGAGGGTGACAGAGGCGAGCATCAACCAACAGGCAGAATGGATTTTCTGCTCGCTGGATGTCTTATACAGTCATGACTATCCACAGCTGAATCCAGCGGCCGCTCGGCCGCGTGCACTGTTGATCAGCACCACTTTTCACAAGGTCGTGCGTCCCAAAACAAGACGCTGTCCTGCCGCTAAGACCGAGGCATGGCTGCAGACTTTCGGGCCTCGAGGGCCTGTGTGGCAAACTGTGTACCTCGTTCTCCTCCCAGATCCTCCCATCTCCTCAGGTACCCCGTCCGTGGGTACTGTCCCGTCAGATGCGCATCGCCATCAACCTGCTTGCCTGCCTGCCCGACCAGGCTGCCTTGCCGCCAGATCAACTTGCAAGCGGATCCTGGAAAAGCCCACAATCAAACCGGGGCCACGGCGGCGCTCCCAGAACAGGGGGTTCCACAGCGTTGTGCCGAAATAGGAAATTCTCCTCCGGCGCCATGGAAGAAACGGTCGGGGTAGTCCGGGGCCGTGGAGCTCCACCCGCTACCGAACTCTGGCGCCGGGTCGCGGGATGGCAATCGGGAAGCGCAGACACTGGACCAAAGTACGATGCCCGGTCCGCTATCGGCAGACAACAAAGACCGCCTGTAGTTCTCAAGTAGGCATCCCGAGTCATGACTTGGAGTCTCTCATGTCCGAGTACCTGCAACACCAGCGACCGTTCGCTGGTACCGTAAACAAAGCGAGGTCCCGGCATCGTCTTTTTCCGTGGCTCTTCCAGGTTTCTGGCGTTACATGTGTCTCATGCTATTAATTGCAGGAGCATCAATAAGTCAAGGATGAGCTGGGCAGGTGCGCTTCCAGCTGAATGGCGCACACTGACGTCAACCCCTGCAGCGACGCTACTCTAGCTCCGGTACTCATGCCCGGGGTTTCGATAAGATCAATTGCCTGTGCTTTCGGATGCTACCTTGGCAAGCTTGGAAACTTGGCTTCCCGTGTTTAGGTCGTTCGGTCGACGCTTTGATCGTAGATTCGGCGTGGCCCGCAGATGCAGGCCAAGTGGCGAAATGCCAGATAGTCATGGAAATCTTTGGGCTCAGCTTGCTGCAGTGATTCTCAGCTCCGCCGCAACCAGAGGAGGTCCGGCCTCTTACGCGGCGGCAAGGTCCGCATAGCACAGGGTTCGACAACCCGCAGTACTAGCTTCATGTTGGGATCCCCCTCACCTCCATGGAGCAACATTGAAGTCAAACGACTGGAACTGATGGACAAACGACATGGAGGCAATGGAATGGAGCTTCAACGGCCCTCGTGCACACTGCGCCCATGCGCGTTGGCTCGCATGCTTGTATGCAACAGCGGTGTTTTAGTGACGTAAAAGCACCTTCGCCTAACAACATTCGAATGGCGAATGGTGTGTGCAGCAATTCACCGGGGTATGACGTGTCGACCGGCGAGACATAACTTTGAGAGCATGATTGCACAACAGCCGGATTGTGCCTCACTTCGCATGGCCGCAGTGTAAACCCTGGCTGGTTGAAAATTGAGTTATAACATGCTGAGCAGCACGTTGTTAGGCCCACGAACAGAGGAGTCTCGCATATATACGGCATTAACTTGTAGGCCATGCCACTCTTGGAAGATAGAAACAGACTGGATCGCGACATGGTTCGCGTTCATGGTGCAGGGCTTCGCGAAGCGTTGGTTACTCCCACCCCATTGATGTGCTGCCCGAACCCATGCTTGGAAGAGATTCGATGGTCATTGGGCAACTACCCCAGCCCCTCTCTTCTGGGCTTTCATAAGGCATCGTGAATATGCCGCCCCCCACCGGTTACCCATGTCTGGGCTTGCACCCAACATAAACGATGACAGGAGACTCAGCAACCTTCTCATGTGCCCAATCTCATGCAAAGCAAGGATGCTTTGCGGGGAAGCCAATACTGTACATTTTCGTGAGCGAAGATGCACACCCCTCTGTCCACGCCCAAGGGGGCCAGCTATTTGCCGAACTAACCGATGGAAATAGTTCCTTTCCATAACTAGAAGTTGCAAAAGAGAAACCACCAATGGCTTTCACCGAGAGATGCCGGAGTAACTTACCCCATGATAAGTACGGCTTGGTGAGCCGTTATCGTGCACCAACGCTGGTGGTGAGGCAAGGCATGATCCGTGCTCAATTGTTGGCCTTGAGGTCTGGCCGGATGTAGCCGGGGCATACCACACCTCGTGTTGTATACTGATCGATCCGACCAACGGACTTGGAAATGGCCTTTACAGGTTGTGTCCTAAAGTCTACCCCGTAAAGCGTTTTGACGGTGCATAATGCCTCCACTTACAGTACTCCGTAGATCTCCCGCAGACTCCAATATGCAATAGACTGAGTTTCCCTTCACGCCCAGCTCGTGCAGGTCGTGTGCTGCCACACCATGGGCTGCCTCGCGCGGCTTCAAGCCCACATAGACAGGGATTTCGGAACAGACCTTCCGTGACACCGCCAGGACCAGCTGGCAAGGGTATTTTGCGTTGTTGGTTGAGCACCGAGGTGTGTCCAACGGTGTCTGTCCGGCAAATACATTGGCTCACTGGACGCTAAATGAGCGGCATCGGAGTCTGAGAATGGCTGAATGCTTGCTCCACATTGTCTGATCGCAAGTGTACAAAACGGCATCTGGCGGGCGTAGATTCTTGGTATCGGTGGATTGTTTACGCACATGTTACAGACTATTGTTACATCTTTACAAAAAATGAGATAGCTAGCCCATTTGTACGGTCCGTCCAATGCGAAATGAAGGCTGGTAGAACCTTCCTCAGTGAAGCGATAGCCTGGAGGAGCCGGATGAACTGTCATTGGCACCAAAGACCAACTGCTTCAGGCCCAACCGCCTCCTTGCCCTCAGTCAGCGAGCGAGGGCATACGATGAGAACGTCAAACATGAGTTGGTGCGGAGTCGCTGCCGTCGATATGATAGCCCACTTGAGACTCGGTATGCACGATATAAACGCCGATCTCCTCATGAAAAGAACAGTAGGCATGCTCAGTATTGTTCCCATGCCCATGCACCAATTCACCAGGTCCCTTTCTGGGAGACCCGCATATCTTTGAAGCACATTCAAAATGGTGCGCGCGTCGATCTTAACGTCGTTCCTGGCGGCGGTGTCAGCCGCCCTAGCTGACCGCCGTTTTATCCCGGGCGGTTATATCTTTGAAGCAGAGGACGGCCATGTAAGTCTCACTGATCTCGAGGGTCGAATACCACAATTATTGACCTGGTCAGGACGCGGCATCCGTGGTTCAAGCAGTGGGCGGCCATGGCACCACACGAATGCATTTCAACTATAAGCTTTTCAAAGGCGTGTCTGTGCAGCTGCATGATATCGAAGGCCATAGAGAGATAGCCGCTAAACTTGCTTCCGCACCAAGCATTAAGAATGTTTGGCCTATTGAGATCCACCGCCGTCCTAACATCACGGGCAACGGCAAGCCTTTAAATCTCAAGGACATGGATTTTGGGGGAGAGGCTGATGGAGATCGTCTTAGGCGCGATGTCATGAACGAGACGGATACTTGGCCGCCGCATGTGATGACGCAAGTTGATAAGCTTCGCGCTAAGGGTATCACTGGAAAGGGGATCAAGTTAGCCGTCATCGACTCCGGTGTAAGTGGCCTTATTTTGGCCTGTGCCACGCGAGCGAACTCCGTATCCTCGGGACGTCATAGCTAATCTCATCTCCGCAGGTCGACTGGAAGCATCCGGCTCTAGGCGGTTGTTTCGGCGAGGGCTGCCGCATATCGTTCGGTTATGATCTGGTAGGCGATAACTACGACGGGTATAACATGCCGGAGCCCGATCCTGATCCCAGATCCACATGTAACGGCCACGGCACGCACATCACTGGAATCGTTGCGGCCAAGGACGAGGCGCTACACTTCACTGGCGCTGCGCCAGATGTCACGCTCGGCGTATATCGTACTGAAGGGTGCAAAAACGGGGACACGGCGAATGACGTGCTTATCGCTGCCTTTAACATGGCCTTTGAGGCCGGCGCCGATATTATCACATGCTCGCTTGCCGACAACCATGGTTGGTCCGAGACTCCCTGGAGCGTTGTGGTGTCTCGCATCGTAGAGCACGGCGTGATGTGCACCCTCGCGGCAGCTAATTACGGCAGCCAAGGCGCCCTCTACGCTACCTCCGCCGCCGATGGCAAGGGGGTAACGGCCGTCTCATCCTTTGAAAGTGATAAATACGTCCATTTGGGTTACGCCTCCAAGGTATACGTTGATGGCGGGCAGGAAAAGGTATTTGTCAGTTGGCCGGCAAGCAAGCATAACTGGACACCCATTTCTAAAGCACCAATGCCTGTATACCCGCTTAGCTTGGAGATCAATCTGGAAGACGCCTGCACTCCCCTTCCGGACAGTACGCCAGATTTGAGCAATCACGTTATTCTCGTAAGCAGCGAAGATAACGCCCAATGTGGCTTCGAGGATAAGGCCAGGAATCTGGCTGCGAAGGGGGCGCGGTATATTCTCTTTTATTTTACGTGGGCGGACTTTCCACTCTATACCTACGAAATTGGGGATGCAAACGTTACGGCAGCTGCTCAGATACCTTTCCGTACAGGCAAGAGGTGGATAGACGCCATCAAGGCGGGCCATAACGTGACCGTTCTGATGCAATATCCCAGAAAGAAGACCCGCTATCTAGGCTACGAGGAACGAACCGAACAGGGCGGCTACTTAAGCACATTCACTTCCTGGGGTCCGACCTGGGAAATGGATGCAAAGCCAGTGGTCGGTGCACCAGGAGGCGCCATCTTTTCGACTTGGACCGACGGGGAGTACTACAACACCCAGGGCACGTCCATGTCAACCCCGCTGACAGGGGCAATCATGACTCTCATTCTTCAAGTCCGCGGACCGACGACACCAAGGTCACTAAATAACCTCGTTTCTTCTACTGCGAAGCCCCAAATCTGGTTCGATGGCACGAATGCTTATCCCGGCGTCCTAGCCCCGGTCCCCCAGCAAGGCGCCGGACTGATCCAGGCCTACGACGCTGCGTATGCTACTACATTATTAGACCCCTCGAGCCTTTCCTTTAACGATACGGATCACTTTGCAGATCATCTTAACTTTATCATTACGAATAAGGGACACTCAGCGGTCACATATAGCATCACCCATGCCCCGGCACTAACAGCCTACGCCCTCGATAAGAATAGTATCTGGGCTACCCCGTTCCCTCCCGAGGTCTCCCAAGACTACGCTACGTTAGTCTTTTCGGATATTCAAGTCAATCTCAAGCCCGGAAGTCGCAAAGTCATTAGCGTATCAGCTCGACCCCCATCGGGTATAGACGATAAGCGCCTTCCCATTTGGTCTGGTTACATTGTCATCAACGGCACTGATGGAACGGCTCTGTCTTTGCCCTATCAAGGCTTGTCCGGATCTCTGCAGAAATCAACCACTTTGGGACCGGAATATGGCTGGATGTCATGGTCCAATGAGACCATGGAAAGCTATTCGGACCCGGACCCTACCCGCGCCCCAGCCAACTACACCTACAAGCTGCCGCGCCCGGGTACGACCACGCGTGACCTCCTGCCTATGCTCACATTCAGGCTCGCCCTTGGTTCACAGCTGGTGAGAGCCGACCTCGTGCCCCTGACGACCTGCGCGCCCAAGAACGCGACTAGGGACCCGCTCGGCGGCAACTATAAGACACTGGGTCAGCATCCACTCTTCCCTATGCGTTTTGCTCCCCGTGGCTTGCAGACAATAGTGTGGGATGGCTCTCTTGACAGCGGAGAATACGCGCCCCCCGGGAGATATAAGTTCGTCTTTCGTGCTTTGCGTGTTTATGGCGACGCTTCGAAGTTGCAGGACTATTGTGCGGCCGAGTCTCAGCCCTTCAATATCGCATACAAACATTGAACCTTTGAGATTCTGGTTGAGAGACACGCTTCAAAAATGATCTGGAACTTCATAAATACTACGGTGGCTTAGCAAGGCGACGGGGCCATGCACCAGCCTGCCGCTTTCAATTTACTTCCAACGAGGCGTGTTACAGTAATGAAGGTCACGATATTTTTGGAATTTTTGCGCTCAACGTATTTCGGCCCAGTGACAAGCAATGAACCCTGTGGTGCGTGACCCTAAAAGTCTATGTTGAAGGTAGGATACGCGATGTATCAGTACCCAGCGAGTCAGGGGCAAACGGGAGGCCTAGTATAGGTAAGCAAGATGCCTCCATTCATATATACATCATACAACAACAAAACAGCACTATCAGACCCACCTCCCAGCAATAATCGGACACAGAAGGGTTTTACAGGGTCATCTTCAGGCCATATTTGGCCGTGTATCTGGCCACTCGGATGTGGTAATCACCAAGGTCCATCTCGCATCCGCCTTCACGGACCGATGCAGGCAGGCGAATAACTACCGCAAGGGCCGGGTGCCGGTGGTGGGTGTCGCAGCGCACATCCACGCGCCACTCGGTGGCCAAGGCCTGAACCTAGGCCTGGGCGAAGCCATGAATCTCGGATGGAGGCTTGGAATGACGGTGCGAGAAGAAGCTCAGAATGGGGAGACGGACCTTGCTTGACACGTAGGAGGACAAGATGCACTCAGGCAAGGGAGTGCTTTTCAACCTCGACCGCGGCGCCGCGCTGGAGCAGCTGACAGTCGATGGGGGCTATGAGGATCGGGTCGACTACATTGAGCTGGAAGCTCAAGATACACGGGGGTTGTGTGCCTTGCGTCCGACCTGATGGAATCGTCACGTGGATGGCTGATGATTCGCAGCAGGTTGATGTGGAAGCGGCAAAGACTGTTCTTGGCCGCTGGTTCAGCGTCTAGAGGACAGGCCACTGTATCGATCGTACACGATATAACTTCATTTCCACTTCAGAACCCATTCATGAGCTGGTGTCTTGACTTACATAATTGTGCATGTTCGCTTTCCACCTGATTTGCCGATTGAGCCAGCCTCATCAGCCTTACCCTACCAACTCTGCCGGACGCAGCATGGACTCCTCACAGACAGACGCGGCCATTGCGAGCAAGTTTCGGATAGCAATCATCGGTTCCGGTCCGATAGGAAAGCTGCTCGCCTGCTCAGCAGCAACACACCCCCGCATCGAGATTGTTCAGTACGAGGCCGACGTGCTACCTCTCCGCCCATCGTTTGGGTATGGCGTCGGTCCGCAGACGTTGCTCGCAGCCAAAGTGCTCAACCCGGAGCTCGGCCGCCGGCTCGAGGAGACATGCTACACATCGCGCACGTGGATGCGTGCGTGGCACGGAGGCGTCGAGGACCGATTCATCGCCAACGTGGAGGTGCCGGAGGGCAAGGTATACGGGCGCGTGGGCAGAGGCGAGCTCATGGGCCTGCTGGATGACGCGCTGCCGGAGGGGAGAAGCACTTCCGACATTCGATACGGCAAGCGCCTGGTAGATGTGCGACGCATCAGTCCGCAGCAACTCGAGCTTGTCTTCGACGATGGCACCAGGGAGCCTGCCAACGCGGTGTGGGCTGCCGACGGTGTCAACTCGATGTGCCGAAAGCTTGTTCAGGGGGACAGCTACCGCCCGCCGAGCTACACGGGTTTCCTTGCGTTCCGAGGCAAGGTAGACGCGGCCAAGGTAGCGGAGACGGTGGGCGAGCGGTTTTCCCGCGAGTCGTACTGCTTCGTCGGGGCAAAGGGCTGGCATCTGCTCATCTTCCCCATCGAAAACAACACGCTGACCAACGTGGCGGCGTTTTGCACCGAGACAGAGCAGAGGAAGCTAGGGCGCGCCAGCAAGGTGACCATGGACGAGCTGCTTGGCTACTTTCCAGGACGCAACGCCAAGGTAGAGGCCTTGTTGAGGGTGAGTATCAAGTCGCGTTACCGCCGTGAGGGCGTATGACAGGCGCTGACGAGGGTCCATTACTCGCAGCTCATGCAAACGGACACGCCAGGAGGGTGCCAGCGCCTGGAACTGTCACACCTGGGCAAGCTGGGAGCGCTGGTTAACGCCCGTCTCTGCATGACGACGTTTGGCGACGCGGCGAACGCCATGACGCCGCACATTGCCGGGTCCATGTCATGCGGGTTCATAGGCTGCACGACGTTTCTGCATGAGGAATGGAATCCGCGAGTACTCTCGGGAGAGCTGCCGGCAGGCGCTTCCAACGCGACCATCGCCGAGGCTCTGATGGACGCATCCCGACGGTACCAGGAGAAGCACCTGCCTCTGGCGCAGCGCTTGGTCGACGCCTCTCTAGAACAGGCTTCGCTGTGGACCGGTGGGATAGCGGACGTGGAAGTTCTCCGAGAGCGACCTCTATTTCTCTGGGGCTGCGTCGATGACAAGTGGTGACTGTGGTGAATTGATGCGTTATGCCGTGGTAGTGGAGGGTGTCGCTGTGTGATTGTGGACGGACATGACAGCAGGCGAGTACGTACACGCGTTAGATGCCAGCTAATACAATAAGTCAAGTAGTACCAATTCCCGGGAAACCTGGGCTCGGAAACAAGCCACGTAAAATCGCAGGTGGCCTGTCGGAGAATGACGGACTGCACTTCCCGTAGTCAAATATCCGCTGAATCGGCATGTTGTTGGTGTACGAAGTGCATGGGGAACATGCACGGGCGTAAGTTCCAGCGCTCCACAGCTTCTTTCTAGAGCATCGGGGCGAACTGATGGCGGGGCGAGGGCGAGGGCGCTGTTGTCCCGTGGAGAGGGGGGGGGGGGTTCCAACAAACAGGTGGAAACTCCCAGGCCACCTCAGCACCACCCGTGGACAGGTCGGGTCCGGGTGACTCCGCTCATTGCCTCGCAGGGCCTGACACGCGGGCTGTATTTTGGCAGCTGTAGGCCTAGGAAGCTCTGCAACATTACCCCTGGTCCAAGGTTACTTCGTAGTTGCACCGCAGTAGGGACGGCCAAAACAGCGCTGCACAGCATTTCCAGTACCCGACCCTCGTCAACCCCAGCAGGGACGATATCATTACTCACCTATCGTGTTGACTGCTAGTGGACGTGAATTGGATCACTCACAAGATGTGGGTTCTCCAGGTAGCCCAGGCAGGTACTAATATTCATACCTAGCTGCACGACGTAGCTCAATGGCTGATTGTATGTATTCCCGCTCGGTGTCATTTTCCCAGATGCCGTGTCTCACGCAAAGTTGCACGGCGGGACAACCAACAACATGGCACTCCAAAAGTGCTCCGGCCCCCTACCAGCGGTGCCGGCTTGCCGTCGCCGCCGATGCTATTCACAGGCTACAGAACAGCGGCCAGCCCGAAAGGGAAGGCCCCGGACAAATCGACCAACCAACTGCTGACGGTCAGACGAAGATCGAATCTCGCGTCGCGCCAGCACGGAATTATTGGAGGGAAGTTTGCTGCAAGTTCTTCCCAGCTGGAGCGTTCGTCGCGATCGCGGTCCGCTCTCAACCTCGCGACATCATCAGTAGAATCGCGTCGCTCTCGCCCGGTATGGACGGCTGCGAGAGTGCCTTTGGGCCTGCGGCCGGGCCTTGCAGTGGGCGCTTTGACTTGACGCTGTTGTTTGAACAGTATTTCCTCTCCATCATACCTTCGGCCCTGCTTCTCGTAGCAATTCCCCCGCGGCTGGTAGCGTTGTCAAGGCAGGGCACAAAAGTGCATCAATCGTCTCTCGCAGTGCTGAAACTCGTGAGAAGACCAAAGTCTGACTTGAACCTGAACCTGCTCAATGCTGACAAGGCCAGGCATGTTGCGTCCTGCTTGGGGCTCTCCAGCTGTCGCTTGCAGTGCTTTGGGCGAGACACTCTGATGAGTGGTCCCCCGTGCAACGCGCCGCAACGGCGGCGTCGAGCCTCGGTGTCGTTGCGGCTTTGGCACTCGCGATACTGAACTCTAGAGACCACCCCCGCTCTGTTCGGCCGTCTTCGCTCATCTCCCTTTACCTCGTCGCCTCAATTGCCTTGGACATCGTGCAATGCCGCACTCTTTGGCTACTAGGCGATGGAGTGCGCAACACGGCGCAAGTCTTTACCGCTATAACAGCCTGCAAGGTCGCCATGCTCGTCCTGGAGACACGCACCAAGCGCGGGGCTCTCCTGCTAAAGTGGCAGCATGCCGGGCCGGAGGCTACAAGCGGCATCATCAATCGCCTCTTCTTCTGGTGGCTCAATCGCCTCATGACCAGCGGCTACCGGGGGAACCTCTCCATTTCGTCACTCTACGACCTAGATGATGAGCTGGTCTCGGAGCCGCTGCTGGACCGGCTGCGCTTGTATTGGCGCATCAACAAGAACAAGGGCGATAGCAAGTATCCTTTAGTGTGGGCGTTGCTGCATGCCGTCCGAGGGGCGATCCTGGTCTGCGTCGTCCCTCGTCTGTGCTTTTCGGCATTGAAGCTCGCAGAGCCTTTCCTTTTGCTTCGCGTGGTGCAGTACATGGACGACACGCGAGAGGAGAAGCCAGAGATGGGCTACTTCCTCATTGTAGCCACGGGACTGGTGTACATGGGCCGCGCTGTATGCGTTCAATCTCGTCGTCCGTTGTTCAACGACATGCTGACCGCGCCCGACAGTTCGCCAAGACCTTTTACGAACACAAGCAGCACAGATACATGACCATGATCCGCGGTGCTCTGTCTGCACTCATCATGTACGAAACGACGGACTTGGACAACGCCGCCAAAGGATCGTCGACTGTAACACTCATGACGTCCGACGCGAGTCGCGTTGCCGACAGCTTCGATGCTCTGCACGAGATCTGGGCTAGCATTCTCGAGCTCTTCTTTGGCATTTGGCTGCTCCAGATACAGCTTGGCTTCGGAAGCATCGGCCCTCTCATTGTCGTCGCGGGTGTGTATCTCTCCGGCCCAGGCTGGTTGCCCCTATACTAACACGAGGAACTCCAACAGTGTCCTATTTCCTGATGAAGATGCTGTCCGCCCGCATGCCCCCGGCTCAGAAGCTGTTCAGCGGGGCCATCGAGAAGCGAGTTTCGACGACTTCGTCCATCTTGGGATCCATGAAAGAAGTCAAGATGCTCGGGCTCGTTGGATCGTGGCTGGACAAAATCCAAGGCCTCATGGTCCGCGAACTTGCGTGCGCGTCCAGGATGCGCACCCTCGTCACATACATGAATGTATTTGGTAAGAAGCTCTCTTCTCCATTCTAGGAATAATGTATCTGACATGTTGGCTCAGCAAACATCCCTTCCTTCCTCGCGCCAATGTCGGCGTTTGGCATCGCCATCGTCGCGTCTGGTCTTGGATCGTCGGAACTGTCAGTTGGCAAAATCTTTACCTCGCTTGCCATCATCAGTCTCATCTCAGGCCCACTGGCCAAGCTTCTTTACACTGTGCCCAGTGTTGTCCGCTCGCTTGCGAGTTTTGACAGATTACAGGAGTTTCTGGACAAAGTCGGCAAGGCGAGGTCGCTCCGAAGCGAACCAAGCGACGGCGAGGCGGCGCCATACAAAGACGATGTCGTTGTTCCGGTGGGAAACTCAATTGTGGTTGAGCATGCGAGTTTCCGGTTCAATGTGGCAGAAGATCCAGTGCTTCGAGACATCAACTTGCGCATACCGCACGGTTCATTCGCGATCGTCGCTGGCAAGGTCGGCTCGGGCAAATCGACTCTGCTGAATGCTCTGCTAGGCGAGCTAAACACCAGCGGGAATGTCTACATCGAAAGTCTCGACCAAGGCATTGCGTATTGCGCGCAGACGCCGTGGCTCGTCAATGCGACGATCCAGCAGAACATCATCGCGCAGTCGAGCATGGATCAAGAGTGGTACGATACTGTAGTCAGCGCGTGCGCACTCGATGTGGATTTCGCGGATCTTCCACGGGGAGACCGATCCCTGGTCGGGACCAAGGGCATCTCGCTGAGCGGAGGCCAAAAACACAGGGTGGTGCGTTCATAACCCTGTGCCCGCAGTTGCTGTTGCTAGACACTGACGGATGTGAGAATAGGCCCTGGCGCGTGCAATATACGCCAAGAGAAGGGTCCTCTTTGTCGACGATGTACTCAGTGGCCTCGATTGGGCGACCCAAGCTCATGTCTGGACCCGGGTGTTTGGTCCTCAAGGGCTCCTGCGGCGGAGTCAGTCGACTGTCATTCTGGCCACGCATTATGGTAAGCCTGGTTGTGCAGCCCATATCATTCGACGTTGCTGACTGCTGTCCAGTCAAGAAAATCCAAGACGCCGATACCGTAATCCTCCTCGAAGATGGCACAATCGCCCTGCAGGAATCGCCCGAATCAATTGGTCAAATGGAGCAATTCACAAGGCTCGTATCTGACAAGAATACCCAGACTTCATCTGATTCCACACCTAGCGACAGCAATGGAGACGTTGATGCGACTACCAAAACAGCTGGGGATACAAAGACCGCCAAGTCGAAGAAGGCTCGATCAGGAGACGAAGATTCTGAGCTTGCGATACGCAAGAACGGCGATTCGGCCTTGTACGCATACTACTTCAAACACATCGGCTGGGCGTATGGCCTGTCATGTTTCTTGTCTGGATTTATTTCGCCGTGCAGCAACCTAGCTGCAAGTACGTCTACTACATTGAGGCTGTGTACGATGAGCTGTGAAGACTGACAGGTACCGTACAGACATATGGATGAAGACTTGGGCCGAGGCAAACGAGAGCCAATCTCATGTCAACACCGGTTTTTACTACGGAATTTACTCCGCTCTTGAGATGTTCAACACTGTGATGATTGGCTTCGATATTTGGTAGGCTTTGTGCTGCCCCTTTGCTGTTTGTTGCTCCGTCGATACTGACCATGAGGTCCAGGTATATCCTCGCCAAAGTAACTCTCAGAGCGACACGGGGAGTTCATTTAGATCTTCTACAAACGGTCATGGGGTGTGTTAATACCCTGTTGACATTGAGACGGCTGTACTGACTGACAATGCACGATAGAGCGCCTCTTTCGTTCTTCACGGGAACCGATACTGGCGACATCCTGAATAGGTACGTGGCTACCGTCATGGGTGTTCCCGAACGAAGCTCACCGGCCATAGATTTAGCAAGGACATGCAATTCGTTGATATGAGCATGCCCGTGGCGCTGCTCACAACTTGGTTTGGTACGTTGGCCACATGCAAAGGCCGCCGCACCATACAGTACAGAAGCTCACATGTCATTCAGGCTTCCGCTCTGTCATCATGAACGCCGTCCTCGTCCTTCCGGGCTCTAGTTACCTCTCCATCGCGATTCCGTTCACTCTCATATTCGTATACTTTATACAAAACTTTTATCTCCGCACGTCGCGCCAGCTCCGCCACCATGAGCTCCAGGCCTCGGCGCCGCTCAACACGCATCTCCTCGAGACGATTGACGGGCTGGCTACCATACGCGCCTTTGGCTGGCGCGCAACGTACCGCAAGTCGGCGCTCGGACTACTTGATGACTCGCAGAAGCCACACTACTTGCTTTTCTGCATTCAGAGGTGGCTCACTCTTGTCCTGGACTTGTATGTGGCGGTCCTGGCAGTGTTTCTCGTGGCGTTGGGGGTGCTGTTGCCAGATTCCAGCACCAAAGGGGCCATGGCGCTGGCGCTCCTCAATATCTTGGGCCTGGGAAGCTCTTTGGCAAACTTGGTCAGTTCGTGGACGTCTTTGGAGACATCTCTGGGTGCTCTCGCGCGCATCAGGGACTTTGAGACCGAGACACCGCAGGAGATTGCGCCATCGCAGCCAGAGAAGGCTGACCCGGAGTGGCCGTCCCGTGGTGAGATTGAGTTCTGCGACGCGACCGCGTCATACGACAGTGGTTCCGATTCTCTGCTCGCGATAGACCATGTATCGCTCAAGATCAGGGCTGGCGAGAAAGTCGCCATCTGCGGCAGGACGGGCAGCGGTAAATCGTCCATGCTGCTGACTTTGTTTCGGCTGCTTGAGCTCGACTCGGGATCCATCATTATTGATGGACTGGACGTGGCGCACATTCCACAGAACAAGGTCCGGCAGAGCCTCATTTCCGTCCCTCAGGAGCCGACGCTCTTCCCCGGCACAGTCCGCTCCAACCTCTGGCTCGCAGACGACGACGACAGCAGCGCGCCCTCAGACGACGAGCTCCGCAACGCACTGGAAACGGTCGAGCTCTGGGACGCAATCGCCTCACAGAGCGAGGGCCTCAACACGGACATTCCTACGGTGTCGCTCTCGCAGGGGCAGAAGCAGCTCCTGTGCCTGTGCCGCGCGGTGCTCCGCCGGAAGACGAGCGCGGTGCTGGTCCTCGACGAGGCGATGAGCGCGGTGGACGGACATACGGAGCAGGTCATGGTGCGGGTACTGGAGAGTGAGTTTGCGGAGCACACGGTCGTGTCGGTCGCGCATCGGCTCAACACGGTGCGCAAGTTTGACAGGGTGGTTGTGCTGGAGGGAGGGCGGGTGGTGGAGGTTGGGGAGCCGGAGGGGTTGCTCGAGAAGCCGGACGGGAAGCTACGGGCTCTGTGGAATAGTCAGGGGTGAAGGGCTGCACCACATGCAGTCCGTGGGGCAGGACGAACCCTACGTTGAAGCTCAGCTTTTGAGCAGTTATTATAGCTGCTACAAGATTTCCGTATTCCGTTGGTCAGACATTGAGCGCCTGCAGGCCGTGACGCTTCATGGTCAATGACGGCAGCAGCGCCGCCAAAGGAATCCCAAGCACCCACACTTTCTTAACTTCTTATACCGACGCAGTGGCCTTGACAGGTGCCAAACAAACGCGGGTGAGACAACGCCAAATAAGCGATGGGGGACCGAACCGACGCGTCGGATCTAGTGCCTGGGCCAATTCCACCCCAGGCAGCCCATGAACTAGGGCAGACGCATACTTGAAGAAGTCACGGTGCAGTGTGCCCTTCGTATTCGCAACGCTTGTTACGCTTCTCACTCAGTGTCGAGGAGAGATGTTATCGACGTGTTGTTTGATGCTGATCGTCAATGGAGCCGTTCGGTGCCACGCTGCCAATGCAGAATACTCGCCGAGCCTAACTGCATAAAGCTACGCCATCCCGCGCGGCCCGAAAGTTTGAATTCCTCAGACATGGCGTCAGCGACGGCTAAAAGCTCCGCAATCCCACCTCGACGCTTCCCCACGCGTGCCGGGTGCCAGCATTGCTTCAGCGTACACAGTACCATGTAGTAAGTCAGATGCGGCCCCGGGACAGCTTCTGACGCGCGAGCAACATGTCCAGGTGAGGCTGTCATGACTGAAAGACATGGACCTTGACAAGCGCTCACGAGTCGTGTGCGTCCGAGTCCGTGTCAAAGCCTAAACGCCCGCGAATGGATATTCTGCCTCGATAAGACTGTCGCAGATTGCTCGTTTCGTTTCGGCCGAGTGAAGCATCCACTCACAGCCGGGGATTTTTCTTCCCCGCGCATTCCACAGCACCGCCCGAGAGCCGCCAGCGCATCGCTAGTCGCCTCGCACGTAAGGTTCGGGATTCCAGCGAGCCGATTCGTGTGGCTCCGACAAATGTCAGAAGCAGACTACCTCGAGGTCACTCGTACTTGCGACGAATCAAGACTTGAGGCTTCAACATCTCGCGAGACAACGTATCGCTCGTCAGGCCTTGAGGTGCCGTGTCTAGCGCATGCGCTACTGTTTGAAGCACACGAGAAGACGCGTTTGCACGGTATTCTGCATTCACCGTGTGTTGAGCAACGCTGGGTAGCCATAGCGTCTATACAGCAGGGCTTGCGAGGTTGAACGCGCTTTCCGGTGATTGTTATGATGAGCTAGATGACGAAATATTAGCAATAAAGGGCGTCCCTACGTGCACTCTGACCGGATGCAACGTCAGTTCGTGTTGATCCGTATCCTTTCCTGTCCTGGCAGTGTTTCCCGTTCGCTTTTGAAGGACGTTCAGTATGAGGGCATCTGGCTTGCATTCTGTTGTGGCCGTGACCGGCCTGCTTGGCTCTGTCAGCGGTCACCATAAACATGGCTCAAGTTGCGAAGAGGTTCCCATCGTTGAGTATCAGCCAGTTGCTGTCGTTTGCTCCGGCTCCACGACCGCGAGCACGATTACTCGGTACGTGCAGCCTGTGGACGATGATACGCATCACCACATATGAATTTCCCCGCTCGTCTCACTATGGAAAGGCTAATGAGTATGTAGGACATACAATGGCTGCGCACCAACATCCTGCGTCGTCACCGTGTCAGAGTTTCCCGTTACGGCTGCCAACATCACGACAAAGACCGTGATCGGAACATGCGAGGGCACCCGCACCCTGCCGGTTGGCCCCGGAGGCGACACGACTGTCATCGTGACGGAGACTCCAGGCTGCGTCATTACCAAGACCACCAAGGGACCCAAGCCGGGAACAACCACGCTCAAGCCGAGTACTCCTGGAGGCACGACGACAGTTATTGTCACCAAGACCACCTGCTCCGAGCCGTCGCCGGAGTCGGCAACTGGGACTAAGACTCGGCGCCCGAGTCGCTCCAGCGAGGAGTCTACGGTATCGCCCACGGGCTCGTCCGCTACATCGCGATCAAGCACGACGGCTTCACGCACCACGACTTCCCGCACTGGTACCCAGTCCACTTCCTCGAGTGCATCAAATACATCTACAAACACGTCAAACACGGGCACGGGCAGCACCACGTCCACAGGTTCCTCCACGTCCGCCACGACTTCGTCCACGTCAACGTCCGGGTCGGCAACCACGAGCAACACCCAGACCACGTCGTCTACAACCACAAACAACATCATACCGCCCACAACGTCATCTAGCACGTCTACTTCGACAACCACGTCGGCGACTTCATCAAGCACATCCACGCAAACCACGCCGACAACATCGTCATCCTCCACCTCAACCACAACTACTACACAGACGACCCCGACAACGTCGTCTTCATCATCATCCACTTCGACCACAACCACGGAGACCACGCCGACGACATCATCCTCGTCTACCTCCACTACAACCACAACAGAGACGACTCCCACTACAACCTCGTCAACTACCTCGACGACTACCACGTCAACAACCACAACCACGACCGATACAGCCACCACTACACCCACGACCAGCCCCACGGATACGCCCACAACAACATCATCGACATCAACCTCCACGACCACAACGACTTCCACCTCACCCACGCAAACATGCCCTGACCTCGAAAACGGCGACTTTGGCGACACGACCGGAACCCTCGCCCCGTGGTACATCTCGGACCAAGTGACAGCCGACTCCTCCGGCGTCGTCGCCGAAGGCCCTGACGGCCGCAGCGGCAGCTCCTTCGCCCTGATCCCCTCGCAGACGGACCGCGCGCAGGTATACCTGAACCAGCAGATCCCGCGCTGTGGCGACCCCCCGCCCGAGGTCACCCTCACCATCCGCTTCGACTACCAGTTCACGGGCGACTCGGAGGGCTGCAGCATCGGCGCCGCCGTCAACCGCGAGACGACCAACCTCGTCACCATCACGGACGAGGGCGTCACGCCTGGCGAGTGGCAGCATTACGAGGGCCAGCCGATCACGGTTCAGTTGACATACGACTCGCTCTTCACGCTGAAGCTTATGTGCGACTCGGATACACCAAACACGCCGGGTATTCTCATCACCGACATCACCATCTACTAATACCGTTTCGTGTCCATGATCTATGATACCACCTTACTAGAGGTCGATATGTAGTTTATTCCTCAGTACATAGTTGAAGATGATAATTGGAGACCACGCTTTCACTTCCGATGAATGAGTCTTATTACACGGACAGAGTTTAAGTGTCGTATGTTGAGGTGCACTAAAACAAAACGTGGTCGAAGCCACGCCAACCGCTGAACGCTACATGTTGATCGCAAGCACGATGGAGCCATACCTCCAGCATGAAATGACGTCTCACCAGGGGCTCTGGCTTCCAATCGCCATGTCCACTCGCTGCACTCCGGGTCCCGCTGACCGGCGTGCCTGGTCCAGCTCCGCATCCACATCCCAGACCTGCAACAGGTCGTCCATCTCGCACAACAGGTCCTCCACAACATCCATGGGTTCTTGAGACTCCTGCTCACCCTGATTCCTGTCCGTTCCGGCCTTGCTATCTTCGAGTGTGTGGGTGGGTTCACACGTGGGCTCCGCGGCGGCCGCATCGTCCGCCGCCAGAAACTGCACGGCCATGCCTTGCATGCCTGGGCTCTGTGCAACCTGCTGCGATGCCGTCGGAATAAGCTTCTGGCGTAGCCCATCGGTGCGACTTGCCACGGCGGCGAAATGTTTTCTGAACTTGTCGCTCTGTGATGTTGGAAGGTCACCGATTGGCGTGGCCGGCGGAGGCGACGCTGCCCGACCCCTTTGTTGAGGGTCAGGTTTACTATGCGGGTCTTGCAAGTCCTCGATCTGCTCTCTCTCAGCGCCCTGGTCTGGTAGTCGCCATGACACGCGTCTGCTGGTACGTGGTGCGCTCCACTGGGTTTTCAGGGCTGAAGCAATTCGTCCCCCCTCTGTACTCTGTTCAACGTGGCCGATGCGTGAACGAGTTCGCTCCGGCGATGGTGTCATAAAAGAGGCAAAAGATTTGACTGTGAATTGCGGCTCCGGCGTCGACAGTCGTACTCCAGGCCGTATTGGCGTTGCCTCAATGTGATCTTGAAACTCAAGGCGTTTGCCCGAGACGTTGCCACAAAACACCGGAATCTCTCCAATACCACCCCACGGGCTTTGTGCCTCCGGAGGTATGACAGCTTGGGTTCCTTGAGTCTTCGCGGAATTGTCACCAGAGGATAGGAAGGTGCTTTCGTCACAATCTCCAACCGAAGATCTTGTCGGCCGGGTAAGAAGCTGCGTCTTGTCCCATGGAGTCTGTTGAGATTCCGTGATAATGGTGTCTGGGGCTTTCTGTGGCGTGTTTGTTGCTTCTTCTTGTTGATCATTGGACCTGACGACAAGTCCAATCATTGGATTGTCCGTCTCGGCATCTTCTGGCTGCAGCGCATCGACATTTTCCTGATGGAAAGAAGCTTTGTCCACGTCCATGGCCTCTATACCGGCCACATCACTCTCGGACTCCGTTGTCGTGTTTGAGGCCGTGGACTTCACGTCGGCTGTTGCATCATCTGCTTTCGCCTCCGAGCATGATGTCAGTTGCGAAAGCCTGGCCCAAGGGCTCGACGGAACAAGGCGATTGAGGATGTTCTTAAACGAAAACTCGCTCGACTGCATGGTGGGAGCTGGTCGTGACGGCTCCGTTGAGGCAGCACGGTTGTTCTCTGGCACCATACTGGCTTCGAGAATCGGCTCTGGATCCTCCATAGCAGTGGAGGAGTTCGTAATCTCAACGGATCGGAACACAGTCAGACTCGGCGTCTCGGGGTTTGTCGAGCTGATCTTCCAACCTTCCTGCCCTTCGCACTCCACTTTCAAGGGCTCGCCTGACACTGCTGACCCTAGAGCACTGACATTAGGTTTCTCGAGGGTGGGTTGAGTCTTTCGAGGTTCTTTGGTCGGTGTCGCAGACGGACGGAAAATTTCGATGTCGGGTTCCCGAGCCAAATCTTGCTCAGCTTGACCATTGCTCGTTGAAGCAGCGCCCGTGGCAGCACAATCTTCTCGCGCCAAAGCATCATTGACAAACTGCTTGATGGCGCCGTTTCCGTGCTCGTCGGATTGCATTTCAAGCGATACCAATGCTCCGGAGCTGGATCGTTCTGGAGCATCTGTGCCGTCTCCGAAAGGCGAGGTTGCGTCTTTGGCACCATCCGTCGAGTATGGACTGGCATCATCTCCTGCTGAGCGTTTCTGAGCAGGGGCACAGTCGCTGATCTGTTCTTGTGGGGCGCATTTTGCATCTTCCGCGGTCTGGTTACATATTGCGCTGGTGCCTTGCGCATCGCCGTGACTCGAGATATCTTTGCAGTCATTTGATGCTGATACCGCGGCCATTGGGGGCTCGGTGACCTGACGGTCCACGGAACCGTCAGAGTGTTCGTCTTCTACACACTTGACCAACGTGTCCGTGTGGTCTGTGGCACCTAGATCCGGCTGATCCACAGCCACTGTCGAAAGCCGCTCCTTGTCAGACTGGCCCGGCCGTTGTCGGATCTTGAAGCAGAAGCTGGAATCCATTTGAGTCTCCAGCTGTGTGGCTGGAGGTGGCGCGATGGGAGCATCGATGTCTGATCCGAGTGCGTCACCTTCTTCCATTTTATCCATGTTCTGGTCCTGGGTCTCGCAATTTCCTGTAACTGCCTCATGCTTCTGAATCGGCCAGGATTCCACAGCGACAGAGGACACCGTTGTTCTCCTATCCGGCTTTGCTGCCCTTCGACCTGAGGCCACGAGTCCACCGCGTTGAGATACAGGGGACGAGAGAGTCGCCGCAGCCGCCTCATTTTGGCTCAATTCGTCGTCCGCTAGGCCGGTGGACTGCAGGACGCACTTCCACATATCTCGTCGCGGGGAGACCCGCTTCGGCGTATTGGGAACACGCTTTCTGTGACTATCAAACGATCCGCCGGGCGTTGATGTTGTGAGCTCGTCCTCAGCTGCGTCCACTGCCTCAAGACCTCCAATCGGTGGTATGGATTTAAGACGTCGGGCGGTAGGGCTCGAATCGGCAGGGCACCCGTCCGGATTGCCCAAAGCGAGAGGTTCTGTGACACGCAACACACGTGAATTGGAGTTCCGACGAGCGAGGGGAGACTTGGAAAAGCTGGGTTCGCTGGATTCGAGCTTTCGCTTTTTGCTGGCCACCCTTTTTAGCCACTCGGATTCTCTTGCCCGTCTCTTTTTGGCCGAAGCAGTAATTTGAGCCTTAGACGCAGCCCAGAAAGAATCGCGCGATGGCGACTGTAGATGGATACTTGTTCTCCAGTCCTGGATCATGGACAGCGCTTCGTCTTCGAGGTGGGGATGCTTCTCGGTGACCGGTGCCTGCTTAAGGCTCTCGGGACTGGGAAGGTGGCATTCGAGGTCGGATTCGCTGAGCTCGGCCTCCTCGGCCGCGTGCCAGGTCAGCGGTAAGCTGTCTTTCGTTACCGCGAACAGTGCTGCTCCTGAGTGAACCCGCTGTTTGCTTCGCCACGGGTTGGTCCAGCCGGATTCCTTGTCAAAGGGACCTTGTAGGGAGGCAGACAGCAGGAACGGCACACTCCCGTCCAAAAACCTTTGGCCCGCGGCCTCGTATCTCTGTCTTCTGGTGGTGGGACTGTCGTAATCTTCGTCCTCGGAGCCGTGGTAGTAAATGTCGTCGACGTCGCAAACTGCTTCGGCGTATATGTCGTCCTCCTCCCAGTCGGGGAGAGGCTGAGCTGGGAAGACAGCCATGGTGGTCGTCTGTTGATTGGGCACGAGAGTTTATCGACAGGAGGCCCTCGAAATTGGCGTCAGTCCTAGGGCTGCAGCGCCCATTGACACGCACCGATGGCTGTGTGGATCTCGCAAGTGACGGATGGCGAGACGCCTGTTCGACTCGTTGGTGGAGCATGCATTTGCTGGGAATTCGTGAGGCTGAGATTCACATTCGGAGGGGGAGACAGGCAGGCGCGTCGCGTGTCGCGGCGGCACGTGACGACGCGTAAATGGCAGGTGCAGGGGTTCAAGTACCTGCCGATCGTACAAAACGTCGAACATCACGTGGTCTACGGGGTGTGCGAGTGCAGGACCAAAGGACCCGGCGAATTGCTGGATTTACTGCACAATTGCAAATTTTCGTTGCCGTATCTGCGCGTCGACATATGTCCTACCGGCGTGGCGCTGGGTGGGCATGTCTGTCCTAGCTGTCAACTTGTAGCCGTTGTCTGTCTATGTATCTCAGGCACTGGTTCCTTTGGGTAACGTATGGCGGATGAAAGTCAATGATGTACGGGCTCTTTTCTTCTTAAATGACAGGAGAACCATATTGCTCGCTGGAGTTGTTCCGAATGTGTTTCTCTTGGGTTGACATAGAACTCCATCTTGTTGCCTGCTGTCCAAGTCATTGTCCCACCCGCGGCTCCGTGCGCGTCTCGCCTGCCGAAGGGTTTTTGTAGTATTCCTCTCCACAACCCCTTGCAAATATTGCAAAGGACTTGAGGTCAATGAAACGGATCTGGAAATAATTCACGTACTATTCTCAAGTGATAACGGCTTCCCAGGACGCCTTGCCAGCTGCAGGGTAGGTTGCTGCCAAGCCCAAATCTGAAACACGGCAGTGGATGGGGCGATGGTTGGCGCAGCAACAGCCTAGCGTCCAATGGCCTTGAGCTATTGTTGTGATTGTTCCCAACTAGGCTAGCGCCAAGCAACGGTCACTCCAACGCGATCCGCCATCGCGCGTCCCGATAGCCATCACCAGTCTTATCACGCCGCACCAGACAGCTGCCATTGTTTGCGCCTTGCCGCTTCGCTGCCTGGATTCTTTATTGTTTTTGCATGTCTTCAGAAATTCACGTCCTCGCAGGTCCCGACACGCAGCCCACGACTGGCGCATCGGCTTCATCGCGCCGACATCCGAAATTAAGCACTCCAACATCAACTGATCAAAACACCCCGCCATCAACGTCGACGCCGCCATCGAAGCACTGCATTTCATGGCGTCATCGCCACCCCGATAGCGCCTCCCCTTTTGCCCCCCAACATCGCCCGCCATGGCGCATGCATGGCTGGACTCGCTGTCTGAGGACTGGGTCTCCCAGCCGGGCGACAACTCGTCCGACAAGCTGCCGCCTCTGAAGAACAACAGCAACAGCAACACTCCAGACTCGAAGCCGCGCCAGCGACCGAGCCGAATACCGCGCAGGACTCCCAACAGCAGACTGTCGATATCCTCTATCGGCGAAACGAGCCCCGCGATCCTGAGCGAACGCAGCGCCAGCGAGATCAACGTTTCCAACCGGCGCCTAAACTGGCGCCTGTGTCAGCAAGTTAAGCAACGAGAGGCCTCGAACTCTACCGAGGGCTCCGTAGTCCACAATAGCGTCCTGCGGAAGTCTACTGGGAGCCGAAGAAAGACCGAGACGCCAGAGTGGAAGCGGCGCCTGGTGCATGGCAAGGTTGCCTATGGCGAACAGCGCGACCTGTTTTGCTCCGCCGCCGAGGGCTTGCAGGGCATGTTTCGTCCACCTTCTGCCGGCGGCGATGCTGGCGAGACAACGCTGCCATCGAGTCCACCTCAAGTCTCTGCACCTCCGACGATAGACAAGGACCTAGAGCGCTACATTGACGCCGCCGACGAGTCCGACGGACCGGCCGACATTTCCCCAAGCCCGAGCCCGCGGCGGCGCGAGCGCGGCATCCAGTACAGACTCAACGACCAAGACACGGAAAGCCCGTCAATAGCATCGCGACGCGCGCCGAGCGCGATGACCGCGCCGCAAAGCGACGACATCTACCGCGACGAGAGCTGTCTGACCGCTCCCGACGACGCGGCCAACATGACGAGAAAAACAAGCGGCCAGACCGACACTCGAAACGAAGATTTCAGCCCCATATTGATTGGCAAGCACAGCAACGACGACGGCAAGGTCGGCTTTGCACCCATCGACGTGCCGGTCGAGCAGCTCTGGCAGAAGCTGGAACGGCTGCGTGTCAATCAGTTGCTTGTCGACTCGCAGCTCGATTCGCGAGTGGACCTGGAGCCCAAACAGGATCGCGGCCGAGACGATCCTGGCCTTAGCGATACCACGCAGGAGTTGGGACGCAAGGGCGCCTTTGTTAATGTTCAGCGGGGTGGACGATCTGGAGACGGTTCTTTCTACCATCGCGGGCTCAGCTCGGAGATCGGAGTCGACACATCTGAGATGCTCCCGGAGGAGTCCATGCAAGCCAGCACGCCTAAACAGTTCCCATCGGTTAGGGTCCAGGGGACAAACCCAGTGCCGACTCTCCATCTGTCGCCGAGTCCGACCTTGCCTCGCGCACCGTTCCCCAGCCCCGAGAAGCGCCAAGCCCGAGACGCAGCGGCCACCAGTCCGCTGAAGCTGTTCGGCCCGTACGACACCTTTACGAACCAGACCTTGCTCCGACGCATAAGCCAGTTCGAAGAGGCATCTGGAAGCCCGTCGCGCCAGTCAAGCATCTCGCATGCAGACAACCCCATTCAGCAGCCATCACCGACCACCGACCAGGATGCATCGCCCCACGAGTTGAGGGCAATCAGCCGCTTTGGAGGCGGAGACTTGGACGGATATTCGTTCCCCGGCGATCTGTCCTACGAGTCGAGTGGGGATTGGGAGGCTGCAGACAAGGAGAACGTCGCGCCTGCCCCTGGACCTTCTGCTCTGCCTCCATTCTACGCGCCGCGCGAATCCTCGCCTGATCACCAAGCCGACTTGCAGGTGCGCAGACGCCGAAATACAGGCTCTACACAAACCAGCCGCCAGGCACTCTCGTCGTCTACGGCCAGCAACCAGCCCTTCCCTGCCTTGCCCAGCGGAGCGCCCCTGTCGGCCTTCACGCCGAAGCGTGACGGCGACTCGGAAGGCAAACGGCCACGCACCTCACCGTCCAAGGACCCAACGCCCAAACGTCGACGAACACTGCATCGGTCCGATGTTGCCTTTGGCCGCGAGGAGCAACTGGCCGCGATCGAGGGTGCCCACCAGCAAATGCAAGAAGTCATGGGGAAGAAGCGCAAGGATGCCCGCGCCGGCGAGTTCCAAACGGCAGACCCCAGCGTTCTGGCCATGCGCTCGATTCTCTGGCCGCGGAGCCATACTTCGAGCCCGCAGGCGTTGCCGCCCGTGAACCCACAGCTTCGTGCGCTGCAGGCGGCTGCCGTATCCCCCGGGAGTGAGCCTTCCGAGACCGAGCGAAAGCCCTCGATCCGAACACAGGACTTTGTCGACCAAGCAGCACAAATCATGGCCATGATTCGTAGCCAAGTCCGGCCGGACCTGGCGAGCCTTGAGGAGTCGGTCGCTGAGGGAGCGGCCGACAGCCCAAGAGCCCCGATGACGGACCTAACTGACGAGTCTGCCGAGCCGTTTTCACGCCCCCCAAGCCGAGATGGACAGCCCAGGCCTGCGCTGAACCAGTTTCAAGAGGATCCAGACCTTGTGAGCCGCCTCAAGAAGTACCGGGAACGAAGTGATGCGGGTGATTTCATCTCCTCCTCCTTCCGGTCGATGGGGTTGGCAAACACTGGTGGCCAGAATGAGACGGAGCGAAGCCGGCCCATTGCGCCTGCGCATTTGCGGTCGAACGGACCTCTCCCCGTCAATGGAGACTTCGTCAGCGACTTGCCCAATGTTCGAATCACATCCGCCGGGGGCCAGTCCCATGGGCTCCTTAGCCCAAGCAAGGAGTTCCCTTCCAACTCTTCCAGTCGAGACTTTAGTAGAAACTTTCCTACCACATCTTCACGTGGCTCCGAGTCACGACGCACCATCATGCCGGAGAGTGTCTCTCACCTGATCCCGGACCGAGTCGGAAGCATGTTCCTCGACAAGCAGAACAAGACATGGATCAAGCGCAAGGGTTCGACGTCTACTGCTGCGTCAGTGGACGCGGCGCGATTCGAGGAAAGCGAAGAGGATCCGTTTGCTAGCATCCCGGATCTCTCTGTCGACATGACCAAGGAAATGCAGAACCTGCGTCTCGGCGCCGCGCTCCGGGGGCCTGGGGCCGAGGATGCCGACCACCAAGAATCACCCGGAAGTCCGTTTGGCCAGCGATCGCGTCAATCAAGCAGAGGCTATGGTACCTTGTCGCCTAAGGATCGTATTGGACCGCACATGTCTCCACTGGCAAGAGGAGAGCTGGAGAGGCTGGAAGACCGTGCTGCCTCGGGCTCTGTTGCATCTCAGGATGTCGAAGATCAAGACTCCGTCATCTACGGCAGCCGTGACAACGCGGCGACGTCGAAAAAGAGAACTCTCACCATTTCCTTCTCATCACCGGTCGCTTCAATCATACACGACGTTGTTGCCGAGGATCTGGATAGCCTCGACGATGATCCCCAAGCGGCGTACGACAGGCCGCCTGTCAAGCAGTCACTCCGGAACACCATGTCGAACATGACGCGAGGCGCCTCCCAAGGTACATCTCGGCCGATGTCCAGTCGTGGAGCTGGCTTCGTGCCACGCCCAGTGTCCCGCATCGACGAGCAGGACGAGGAGAGCACAGTCGAGATACACCCAGATGAAGACCGACAAGTCAGCATCGTTGGTGATCATAGCGTCGTCAGCCACCGAACACCTCGCAGTCGGCACGCTAGTCTGAGTTTCATAATCAACCACACGCCAGGCCATGGAGCGATGCAATACCAGCCAGATGAGAGCGCCATGATCGGTCGCAACGTTGGCAAGCTTTCGCTGAGCCCTCTATCGGAGTTTACTCTCAACAATCCGGAGCAGTCGTTCGGTTTCGAGGTTAGCTACGTGATGGGCCCGCGGCACATGGCAACGGGCGACGGCTCTAAGAGAGTCTTGTCCATGACGATAAGAGAGCTTGTGGACAAACTTAGCGAGGTTGAGCCGTATGAGCCATTCTGGGAAGACCTGACGGATCTCGATCTGCATGACAAGCAGCTCACGAGCCTGCACATGCTGGACGAGTTTTGCGGCAGGGTCGTCAAGCTGGACGCCTCTCAGAACAAGCTGAATCACCTCGATGGCGTCCCGTCTAGTGTGCGACAGCTCAAAGTATCGTGCAACATGCTGACCGAGCTCACGTCGTGGGACCACCTCATGCATCTACAATACGTCGACATTTCTGGCAACGAGATAAAGAGCCTCTCCGCACTCAAAAACCTGGTGCATTTGCGCAGCATACGGGCCGACGACAATCAGCTTACAAGCCTGGATGGCCTGGATTGCCACGATGGCTTGCTCTCGCTGAGGGCGCGCAACAATTTGATTGAGGAACTCGATTGTTCCTTGACGTTGTTTGAGCGGCTGACAGAGCTGGACTTGGAGGGCAACATGATCCGCTCCATTCACGACCTCGAGCTATTGCCGGTATTGTCGAAGCTGGTGCTGCGGAAGAATTCCCTGTCCGAGTTCACGCTGAAGCGAAGCATGAAGACGCTGCGCCAGCTGGATCTGAGCGATAATGATCTCACCAGCCTGGACCTGAGCAACACACCAAACATTCAGTCCGTTCACGCCGACCGAAATCGAATCCGCGAGCTTACAGGCTTCGACCGGGCTAGACGGATGGACAGCCTTTCTCTGCGGGAGCAGCATGGCAACTCGTCTTTGGACATGAGCTTCCTGGCCAGCGCTTACGAGGTCCGGAAACTCTTCCTTTCAGGGAACTACCTTGGTCGCTTCGAGCCAACAGTTGATTTCCTCAACCTGCAGCTCTTGGATCTGGCAAATTGCGGACTGCAGGCGCTACCGGACAAGATGGGGCAGCTCATGCCGAATCTGCGGACGCTCAACGTCAACTTCAACGCCATTGCCGACCTATCGCCGCTCCGATACGTCCCAAGATTGAAGAAGTTGCTCGCTGCAGGCAACAGGCTTGCAGACTCGACAGCCGTCACACAGCTCTTGGTCGACTTCCCACACCTCACGCAATTGGACGTTCGGGACAATCCGGTCACTCTAGGGTTCTACGCCCCGGTGCAGGTGCTGGTACCGACGGAGCGACAGGGCTCCTGCGACCCATTCACGCTGCCAGACGCTGACGTGGAGCGGGATGAGCTGTTTGCGAGCCGACTGGATGAAGCGACAAGGCTGCGGCGGAGGCTACATCACGTTGTGCTGGTCTCGAACTGTAGGCGACTTAGAAGATTGGATGGCCTGCCTGTGAGACGGCGAGATGTACTTGCAGAAGACGACTTGTTGCGCACACTTGTAGCTGAAGGCTTGGTGCCAAAGATGAAGGAGGGTCCAGTGGCGCACTCGGAAGTAGCCACGGATGCTGCCGCAGCTGTTGTACCCGACGAGCCAGAGATGGGAAAGGATGACGCTGCCGCCGTGGCAGCACAGCTGGAAGAAGAGATGGAAGCCTCCCGGCAGAGAAACGAGAGCAGCCGCTGGAGCATGGAGAACAGCTTCGCCTGAGCTCTCCAACACGTCTCACGAGACCACGATGCATTATGATGGGCCTGGAGTTTGAGCCACTCACCGCATTGGGTTCCTGGCCTTGGGGAAACAGGACAACATGGACAGAGCGAGCCCCTAGAAAGGGAGGACACGGGTCGCGGAGTTTTGGGGGGTCATTTCTCTGGTTAAACGCTGGAGTTTTTGGGTGGTGTGAAAGCTTCAAGCTTGACCATACTTTTGTGGTGACTGGACAGAGCGAATGTTTTTGGCAGGCTGTGTTGGGATATTGCATTGCTGGGTGTATGATAGAGTACATTGCGATTTTCAGGCATCAATTCGAACGAATCATAACGGCATAACACCTGGCCGTCATACAACAGACCAGCATCATCGCCTACGCTGCCGATGTCAAACCGCGTGACGCAGTTCGAGGCGGCGGTCGCCGCATTCCCCAACCAAAGTCCCGATAGAGGTCGATTGATCGAGCGTCCGAACGTTGGACCCGCAGTCTTCAGCGTTTGCAAGGTAGACTTTGTAGTCCTGCCAGTCAAACACGGCGTAAACGCGCTTCAGGAAGTTGGCGCCCAGGATGGCCTGGTTTCCCAAGTCTGTAGGTAGTCAGCATTTGACGTTCAGGCGTGCGTGTTGAAGCGAGGATGCAACAACCGCCGGTGTCAACAGTTTCCTTTGGTTGGAGCAGTAGAACGTACCGGTCGGTTGAGACGCCACACCCAAGAAGCAGCTCTCGCTGTTGACTTTGGATCCGACCAGGTCTTCGAACGGCAGCTTGATGGTGGTGTCTCCGAGGACAAAGTCCAGGGATCCCTTCAACTGCGCGGTGTCGCAGTCTACGGTATAGTAGACTGAACCGTCCCTCGCCGCAGACTCGTGTCGCTGGGCGGAAGGAAATCTTGCGGTGATGCGCTCGGCCACGGGCGCTGGTAGGTAGGATATGGTATAGCTGCTGTCGAGACTGGCTAATAGCTGCTTTCCTTCCGTCGCTGGGAGAATGGTCCCGTCTGCTGCTGTTATAACAAGCTTGTCAAAGCTAACGACGACGGTGGACGGCTCAGCGCCAGATATCCTCCTGTCATCGAGGGCTTCACCCGGTGACTTCAGACTAGCCTGCATGATCGGATGCAAGGCCATCTGGCGCTCCACAAGAGGGCCCGAGAACTTCTGGGTGTCAATGCCGCCAAAGAGAACTGAGCCTGGTGCGACAGAGTTAGTGACAGGACAACCGGGGCCGCTGACGGTACGGGGCGTGTGTACCTCCATCGTTGTCGGTGCCTCTGATGTCTAGGCTGAAAGCGCTTCTTTTGGTAACGCCTTGCCTGCGAAGAGTCTCCACGATCGACACATTGTCCTCGCCCGCAGACGAGGGCCCCATCGCGGTACCAAGCACCCCAAGTGCGACATGAGTGGTGTTGCTTCCCACGCCGATCAATTGTCGCTCGACTACCGATGCTGTGGTCGTTCAAGTATCGTCTAGCCGTCAGTATCACTCAACATGCCCGCCGCCTTGCTTCCAGTTGAAGGTGTAGCTTACAGCCCAAAGTAACGCTGTCAAGCGCCATCTGCAACTCGCCAGGGCCCATTCCGAAGTCGTGCCTCGTCTTATCCGTGCCGTAGAAAGTCTTGCTCATCTGCTGATAGAAGTAGCCGCTCGTCCGGCATAGCTTCCGGTGTTCGAGTTGGTCGACGTTGCTGCAGTTGGGATTGATCCATGTGGAGGGTGAGGTGAGGCTGAATGCGAGTCTGAGGTGCGTGCCCGGCGTACCGACGGCCACGGAGACAGTGTAGAGCACGTCGTTGACCGTCGGCACGGAGAAGCGAAATCGTTTCTTGAATCGGCCCGTTGAGTGGAGGGGAGTGGCTGTGAGTGGGAGGTGCACGACGCCCGTCTGCGCAGGACCTGGACCATCCACCGGCAGGGCAAGAGTCTGCAGTGACAGTGCCACAATCGAGATCAGGACAGCATGCATTATTACACGCAACTATCGATACGCGATGGCAGGGTGTCGCTTCGCAGAAGTGCCAGAGGCAGACGTATGGGAAATGCCGGTGCGTTGAGCCATCTCCGGGACTGGAGTCTGGAAACATCCCCCCCGGCAAATGCGAGCGCACAAGTACTTATCGAAAGGACACATCATGCGCGCCACCCACCGGTTGTTGCTTAATGGTCCGGCATTGCTATATAGACGAGGCGCTTGAACGCCAAGCATTTCAACACATATGCGTGCAGGAAAGTGAGATGACTGAGTCGGTGCTGCCAAAGTCTAAATGGCCCTACTTACTGTCGTCTCAGGCATCCCTTTTCGACATCCGCATTCGATGAAACGCCCAGAATGGACCGGCATTAATGCACTTCGCCTCATGTTTATACACGCCCACCGGCGGCAACCCGCGACGTGGAAAAGTTGTCCGATGCTTCTTACTTACATACGACGGTGACTCAGCGTCGGCCAGCATCTTAAATGACACTTGAAAGTTGCCATCTCAATGCCGAGATTGCTCGATGACAAGGATACTGACAACGGGAGACGGAGTGTTCCTTAGAGACATCATTGATGCGGATGCCGAGACAAGCACTTGGGCGCCAAATGGTCTGAAGTAAAAGCCTCACACGGATTATGCAGAAGCGCAGGCTGGAACAATGCAAATTTATGGCTTTCTTTCTGAAGGGGTATGCTATGCTGCTCTTGCCAAACATAGGGAAACTTGACTCAGGGAACCGATCTCAGTAGACGTCGACCCGTTCAAGAGTCGCCTCTGGTTAATGCTTCTGAACCCCCTCGAACATTTCGTATCGGTTCTGTCTCCCATGTTCCTTGGCCCTCTTATGCAAGCAGGCCGGAATGAGCCGTCGCACCAGACGATATGAGCATAATGGAGGGCAAAGACATGATGTGATAATAGTACACATATGTTAGCCATCGAAGATGGGCCAGAACGCCGCCGCTGTCTACTGCAATCGGCTCCCTTGCCGATTCCCCTACAAACATATTGCTGCTGCTACATTATATTCGTGCAGAAACCCTAACCCGCGATTGAATGAGACCGGAGACGACTCAGCGGGGTCATATATAGTGATATCTGGATGTGCCATGACCGCGCCTGATATTGCTGTTATATGACGTACGCCGGCCGCAATTGGTGGACTAATCTTCTGTTGAGTGCAACGCATGGCATTGATGGTCGAGCAGCGTTGACGGTGGGCCAGAAACACCACCGAGGGGCCCGAGACGGGTTGCAAGCTGATGGCACAGCCTTGTAAGGTATCCAGAACTTCATTATCGGGATCCAGCTACATGGTAACGTAACTGGACTATCGGCGATGGGCTCCGACATCCATTATCTACGGAGGCCGCATGCTCAGAAGTCCCATGGTCGCTTGAGATATCGAAGTTGAACGTTGGGGGGCCGAACCACCATACTGGAGCAAGAATTGGGCATTGACTGGGAATCACTCTGTTCCAACCTTCCCTTGTTATCAACTCATTGCTACAGTACAGTACAGTACTGTACAGAACAGTATTCGCCATCAACGGCCGTACATGATTATGGCAAAGGATCGCCCTTGCGAAATGCCGGACACTCCGCGAGAAGGCCCGTCGAAGTCTAGAACCACCGCCGAAACTCCCCCACGTTGGCAGCCTGCCATTCACGGCACTGTTCCATGCGCGTCTCGCGCCGAGTCTCCTCGCCACACCCGGCCAGGGCAGCCGCATGGCGGGGAGTGCCACTGCATGCCCACACACTCTGGACACTGAACGAGGGCGGTTCATGTTCCTGTTCCTGGAATCCTGATCGAGGCCCCGGGAGCTCGGCATGCCCCACGTCTACCGCGGCGCCACATTCTCACTTGGGAAGGTTGATCAAAAAGTGACACGAGGTTGTCTCCGATTCGGAGCCGCCAATCATTGCCCTGTCGGTAACGTTACGTCTTTGTTCCTGCACCCCAGCAGTGGGCTCGGCACATTTGCTGCATGCAAGATGCACGACGCCCAGCAGTCAGTCGCCCATGAGACCCTTAATTGATGCACCCCTCGTCGAGCCAAGCAGGGGAAGACTGCAGTGTAGAACGCCCTCGGCATAGGTCACACGGGATATCTTTCTCAGCATGTACTATACGCGTGCCCACGCGACGCGTTTGTCCAGACTAATGAGGCCGTGGCCTAGGAAGCAGAAGCAGCGCTGCTAGATTAGGCAGGTGGAAGAGCTCGGGTCTCCCTCTGCGTGCTGGTTCAGGTGATGTTACACGCTCTGGCCTGCTGACCCGTGCAGATGGCAGCCGTCCATTTTCTGGGCTGAGAGCATTACTGCAAGCTGCTGCTATCCAGATTGCGCCGGAAAAGTGAAGGCTGGGTGATAGGTCTTTTCTTTTCGGAAGATGTGTGTTGTTCCCACGTTACAGCGAGTGAGAATTGCTCCGCGATGCTCAATGTCCTGGTTCACGCTGACACTGCAGAGACAATAGTCTACGCTATGCTGGAGCAGCACTCTACCTGACACCATGTCCAACCCTTGACACTCCTGGAACGGACTGTGGTGGAAATGACGGTTCGCATATCATATGCCCGCCACGTGGGTGACGTGCCTGTTCACACGCTCCGAGTGTCTTGGCCAATGCCTCACTTGTCTATTGAGAGACTTTGTACAGTAATTACCGTATGTACTGCAACTAAAAAAAAGCCAATCTACAGTGATTCTGCCCAACGTCTTTTGGCATTCGGCCGGTTCGGAAGTATACAGTACCCTGCCAAGATGCAAAAAAGCAAGTCAACTGGCCCGTGTACATCGTGCCGAATTCGAATCTGGCCTCAATGTGGCACGTGGCAGCCGCCGGTCCGCAGTCCTACCGAGCTTCGCGGCCCGACCCAGGAGCGGCCCTGCTAGACGCCTCCCGGCCGTTGAGCTCCAGCACCGCCATCTCATCACATGCGACAGCATGGTAGTATTTTGCCGTAGACTATCGATATCTGGCGCGCACCCTAGGCGCACCGACTCTTCAGCCGAGCAGCTGTCCCATCAGGAGCACGGTCCAACGTCACATAGTGACGTTCTCGATAACATGCCTCGGAGCAGGGGCACGAAATTGCCTCTGCTTCTCATGGACGGGCGCAACAGTCTGGACTGCTTCTCAACCGTTAACCCTGACTGTTATTTAAGGGGTTCGTGTCCAGCTTCATGATAAAGCTTGGAGTTTTCAGCCAGCCAATCTCACTTACATTCCCTCTCATCTGCCTGGTGCTGTGTGAACTTGCAGGACATCCTTCAGCAGCGTAGTTGTCTTTTCATTCGGCCATGGCGCCTCTGAGTCTTTCGATGGCGTCTGTCGCCAGCATGCTGGCCATGCTGCCAGCGGCGCTCGCTGGCTTCAACCCCGCGTCGAATAAGGGCGTTGCTCTCTACTGGGGTGAGATGATCACCACGTCACTCCGATTTGATGGTCTCTGACGTGGGTATAGGCCAAAACTCACATGGACAGGGCAGCGGCGAGTTCGCCCAGCAGCGCCTGAGCTACTACTGCGCAAGTAAGATATATGCCAGTTTCTCGAATTGGGATAGCCGTCAACTAACATGAGCCCAACAGACTCTGATATTGACGTAAGGTGACCCGTGACCCAGTCTTATACTGTCGAAGACTCTGACGTGCAAAGATTATCCCGATTGCCTTTATGAACGGCATCTCGCCTCCCGTGACCAACTTTGCAAACGCCGGAGACAACTGCACAAAGTTCTCTGACAATGCGAACGTCTTGAACTGCCCTCAGATTGAGTAAGTTCCATGCTCCCGGGCCGCTGTCTGTACGTTTCGACGCTCACATTTACTCCCTAGGGCCGACATCAAGTCTTGCCAGGCTGGCGGCAAGACCATCATCTTGTCGCTCGGCGGTGCGACTTATACGCAGGGCGGCTGGGGCAGCGCAGGCGACGCGGAGAACGCCGCGCAGATGGTCTGGGACATGTTCGGCCCCGTGGGCAAGAACGTCGACCGCCCCTTTGGCTCGGCCGTGGTGGACGGCTTCGACTTCGACTTCGAGTCCCCCACCAACAACTTGCCCGCTTTCGGCAAGAAGCTCCGCAGCCTCATGGACGGCGCTGGCGGCAAGAAGTTCTACCTGGCGGCCGCTCCCCAGTGCGTCTTCCCCGACGCCGCCAACCAGGCGACCATGGATAGCGTCGCATTCGACTTCCTCATGATCCAGTTCTACAACAACTGGTGCGGAGTGTCCAACTTTGTCGAGGGCTCCACGTCCCAGAATGCCTTCAACTTCAACGTTTGGGACAACTGGGCCAAGACGACGAGCCCCAACAAGAACATCAAGCTGATGCTCGGCATCCCCGGTGCCCCTGGTGGCGGTGGCGGCTATACCAACGGTTCCAAGCTCAAGGCCGCCATCGAGTGGTCCAAGGCGTACAGCAGCTTCGGCGGTGTCATGGCGTGGGATATTTCTCAGGTCTACTCCAACACCGGGTTCCTCAAGGAGATCGTGAGCGACCTCGCTGGCGGCCCCACGGGCACGAACCCTCCTGGCGGCGGCACCCCGACTAGCACCAGCAGTGGGAGCACTCCTCCTCCCACCGGCAACCTTGTCCCCCACTGGGGCCAGTGCGGCGGCCAGGGATGGACGGGCCCGACCCAGTGCCAGGCTCCTTACAAGTGCGTGAGCGGCGGGCAGTGGTGGGCTTCGTGCCAGTAGAGCAACGTGACGAGGAGACCATCCTTTCTGGTAGAGGGTAATGCAGGTGGCGGACCGACTTGGTCGTCGTATGGCGGAGAACAAAAAAACGTCTCGAAATTTTTATGTATATATTCTTTTCGGTTGCCATATTTTGCTTTTCAGTACATAGCTGCACAGATCGTACATATCACATTATCGTCCCACGAGCGCGTCCAGCATGGCAAGTGAACAAACGTGAAGTCTTGATACGCTATGCACTGTCGAGGTGCGCCTGGAAGAGGCCTGGGCCTGAAGGTGCTGCTGAGACAAGGTGACGTTGAGATACGGGGGCGTTGATCGCGCAAACGGCACGAGAAGGCGTCGTCATGCAGACTTTCGCGACTGGCATGAGTGGTTATTTTACGAACATGAGCGGGAACTGTCAGCGTGTTGCGTCTACGCGGAGATGCCGCTGAGAGGCTTCAGACAACGAGGCTGGCCTTGTCTACCCATGCAGCAGCATCTCAACAGGAACTATGGCATGGCTGCGCCGTGCTATTGTACATCTGTGAACAAGGAATCTGAGAATTTAGCACAGCACAGAAGGCAGCATTGGATGACGTACATACGAACGAGACTGGAACGCAGTGCCTGGGAAAAGGAGAGAAGAGGAAACGACGCGAGGGCGGCGGGAGGACGGGGCTAAGCGACCAGAAGGTTCTTCGCACGTTGGCTCCAAAGGGATGGCCAGTGCTGGATCTAAGTCAATCACCTGTGCGTGTCTTGGGTTATGAGCTGAGATTTGACGAGATTGGGCGTCTGCCGACGACGGAAGCCAAAGAGGACGTGGAAATGAGAGGTGTCGGTCCAGTGGACCCCCAGTGCCCTGAAGATACGAAGTCCAGGGGGGGAAGGCTTGCAGGGAGGCACGTGCCTGTCGGGTAACTATGCTACGGTGCAGTTGATCGCCCGCTGTATCACCGTTGAACTCTGCGAATTCGAGGAAGCGCAAAGGATAGGTATGAAACGCCCGCTACGTTTTGCCTGCCATGAAAGTGTACGAATAAATTAGCGGGCGCTTCATGTAAGCCTCCGTCACGCCCGTGAAGGGTTCCAAGGTTTCAATCAAGCTTGTGACGAGACGCCCTGCCCCACTCTTCAGGCAGCTGGCGCACCACACCCCGCTGCGAGATCCGGCGGGAAGCGCTGGGGTTTAGTGGACGTGCAGCGCGCCGACGGGAGCCGGTCAGCGGCCGCCCAGCAGGGGTTGCAGGGGGCCCAGCCGGTGAAGAAAATCACCTGCACCCACCGGAGACGAAGCTCCCCTGGTGGGTGGGTGGGTGGCAGCGAGTAGCAGCAGCAGCCGCAGCAGTGGCACATCAGCAGCGGAGCGCCATCGTTGGGCCGCCCCGGCATCTTGGAATCTGCCCGGCGCTTCTGCCCTACAGACCCAGACCTGCCAGGCCAGGGCAGATCGGAAAATGGAACCTCCACCGTCTGGTCCATCAAAGCTCCCTTTCTTGGCTCGTGATTCATCCATCCCTCCGACCAGGCCAACTTGACACGACAGCACACCCAGCGCGCACATCCCCCGACGACCACTCACAACTCTTTGCCGTCGCCTTTGACTTCGCCTTTGACCACCTGTTCATCCAGATCCCCCTCTCGATCGTCGCCGCGGCAGTCGCTCGTTTCGCCGCCCCAAACGCCGGCACCCACGCCCAGCCAGCCAACCGTCACCATCGCGTGCGCGACAAAAAAAGCAAAAAAAGATTCAGCACCAAGACGCAGGTCGCAGCAAGGATCCCTGTCGTGTCCCTCCGCCCGCCTGACTGCCGGAGACAGACATCATCGACGGACATGCCCCTCAACCGCCTGTAACGCCCTTCAGTCACCCTCGCTTCGTTCACCGCCACGACCACGACCGCGACCACGATCGAGACGGAGGCAGAGGGTATCCGTCGTCGCGAGACAGGACACCATGGACGCGTCGTCGGACGCCGGCTGCTCTTCGTCCCTCGCATCCCAGCCCCTCGAGCGCTCCGTCTCCCAAACCAGCGCTGCCTCGGCGCGCTCCCACCGCAGCGTCGTCCGCCGAAACCGCCGTCTGCTAAGCCATCCCAGCAGCTCCGCCAGCAGCATCGCCGCGAGCGACAAGTCCCTCACTAGCTTTCCCAACTTCTCCCCCGAGGAGCCCGGCAACGGCCGCTTCGACCTCGCCGCCTTTCAACGGCTCGACTACCGCGACCCGGACCGCGATGCCGCCGAGCAGGAGCGACTCAAGACGGCTACCCAAGAGTCGGAGAAAGGGCGCGCACGGAACCTGAGCGGCGGCCGACCGGGCGTCTCTATCGTCGACACCCTCACGGGCGGCAGGTCCGCGCGGGACGCCCTGTTCGAGGACGCGCCGCTCCGGCAGTCCATCCCGGGCGCCCTGCACCGAGCCGACGACGAACACATCGGCCGCCTCGTCGCCCGGCACGGCGCCGTCGCCCTCGTCAGGCAGATCGCCGAGGACCTTGCACAGCGCGACAGCCAAATCTCTGCCCTGCGGCGCAAAGCCGACGAGCGCGAACGCGCGTTACGGCGCATCATCCGCGAATGCGGCCTCTCGAACCTCGACCTCGAGACGCGACTGCGCAGCGTGGAGAGCGAGCTGCGCGCCAACGACAAAGTCCAGCGAACCGAGAGCAGCGGGCTGACGGACTTGATGAGCGACGCGATGCAGGACACCATGGCAGCCAACGCATACGGCGAGACAGATGGGGGCGCCTCGACCATTCGCGCCGGTGCTGCTACCCTCTCTGTTCCTGGAACGACCGACAGCGCAAGCAACAACAAGGGGACCATGCGAGGATGGAAGGATTATATACTGGGCACTGGCACGACGAAGCGAGCTAGTCGCACCAACAGCGTCAACGGCAAGGGCGTCAGCCAGACGGCGGTCGTCAGATCACACTCGAGCATGGATCGCCGTCCGACGATCCAGGAGGACCTGTTCAACCCACCCACCGAATCCGGCTCCAAGTCAGTAAGAAGCGCAAGCCGCGCCTCCAGCGTGTATTCAGGCAATGCGTCTGAGCGCAAGTCGTCAGTGTCCCTGGCCAGCCTCGCGCTCCGGCTCGTGGCAGGCGGTTCGGCGACGCCTCGCGAGGCGGACCCCAGGGGCAGAGCCGCTACGACCTCGGTTCCCGCCGAGTCTGTCCGGGCTGTGTCTTCCGCCAGCGGAAGGACAGCGCCGTCGTCACGCGCTGTGTCGGTCGCCGGCGGGCCCAAGGCTCTGATGGCAATGCGACGTACCACGCCGGCACCCCAGGCCCCGGCCAGCACCAAGGGACAGGCTCAGGAGCTGTGGGGGAACATGGTAGGGAGCCCGCCCGACCTGGCGGCAGCCAGGCAGGAGAGCTACGGACCGGTGGAGATGGACGCTATCCGGTCGCCCGAGTCGCAGCCCCCGACCCTCACGCACATCTACAACAACTTCGCCAGCGGAGAATTTTTGACTGACCGGTTTGGCTTCATTTACGATCAGCGACGGAAGAAGAGGCAACGCGAAGCGGCGCAGATGGCGCAGAACATTCGCAAGGGGAGCCGCGCCGAGATGCTTATGAACGGTCGTTCCGGCATCTCGCCGAACCTGCTCGACGACCCAGTCCCGAGCCCCAAGTGGAGCGTGTCTAGCGATGGCCGCCCCGAGAGCCCGGTCAGCCTGGAAGAGCGCGTGGCGGACGAGAACAAGCCGAAGCGCTGGCAAGACTACCTTCGAATCGCAACGTTTCCGACCGAGCTGCTCAGCCACACGCCCAGCATGAGCTTGCCGTCGCTCGAAGTGACGGAGGGGACTGACCTCCCAAGCGCGTCCCAGAGCCAGGCCAGCGAACCCGCCAAGACGTCGGGCATCACGCCCACGAGCTCTGGCCTTGTGCCTCTGGCGAGCACGACGACGGCCATCGACAACGAGACGACGCAGGCAACCGAGCCCGAGGCAAACGCCGGCACCTTGGTCAAGGAGGATGCAGAGCCGGTTCGGCTCTTGCTCCAACAGCTGAGCGACGTGCACGACTCTCTGCAGCGTGACAAGACCGTCAAGTGGAACGACTTTCTACGCAAAGTCCGGGCAGAGCGACGGCGCGAGGGCGAGGCGGCCATCGCCGCGGCGGCTGCAGTGGCAGAAGCACGGTACGAGACGCCGGCCATGATTCTGCCCGAGACGAGAGTGGCCGACGGCGAGATCATCGGCATAGCGGGCCTGGGCATCAAGGGCAAAGTGGGCAGAGCCAAGTGGAACGAGTTCAAGACGCTCGTGTTGGGCGGCATTCCGGTCTCGTACCGGGCCAAGGTATGGTCTGAGTGCTCCGGCGCCAACGCGCTTCGTGTCCCGGGATACTACGAGGACCTCGTCGCCCAGAGCGGCGAGGACGACGATGCCGTCGTGGTGGGCCAGATCCAGATGGACATCCACAGGACGCTCACGGACAACATCTTCTTCCGCAAGGGGCCGGGCGTGCAGAAGCTCAACGAGGTACTGGTGGCGTACTCGCGGCGAAACAAGGAGGTGGGGTACTGCCAGGGCATGAATCTCATCACGGCCAACCTGCTGCTCATCACGCCGTCGGCCGAGGACGCCTTCTGGATCCTGGCATCCATCATCGAGACCATTCTGCCGCAGGGCTACTACGACCACTCTCTCATCTCGTCGAGGGCGGACCAGCAGGTGCTGCGGCAGTACGTCTCGACGGTCCTGCCCAAGCTGTCGGCGCACCTGGACTCGCTCTCGATTGAGCTGGAGGCCCTGACGTTCCAGTGGTTCCTGTCCGTCTTCACCGACTGCCTCTGCGCCGAGGCGCTGTTCCGGGTGTGGGACGTGGTGCTCTGCACAAACGACGGCAGCACGTTCCTGTTCCAGGTGGCGCTGGCGCTGCTCAAGCTCAACGAGCGCAACCTGCTGCAGTGCGATACGCCGGCGGGGGTGTACACGTACATCAACCACCACATGACGGAGCATGCCATCAGCATTGACGGCCTCATCCAGGCCAGCGAGGGCCTACGCAAGGTGGTGCGCAGAGAGGACGTGGAGCAGCGGCGGGACAAGGCGATCCAGGCCGAAAGAGACCTCGTGGCGGAGAGGCAAGGCACGCGGGCGACGACGAGATCGGCCATGAGCCACGACGACGACGACGCGGGGTCGCTGGCGGAGACGGAACCCCGACCCATGGACAGCTGAAGTGCGGGGCGAGGATGGCGTGTCTGGGGACGGGCTCGAGCAACGAGGCGGGAGGGTGTTGGACATGCGGAGCGACTTGATACCCTTTCTCATTTGTGTTTTCTTCTCGTGAGTAGGCGCGTGCTTGGAGAATGCATCGTCGGGTCACGGCCGCCGGCGATTAGCGTTGGGGAGAGGGCGGCGGGTCGGCCACCCATCCGTTGGGATACATCCCTGTCTATGGTAGAGCTGTCTAGATATATCATGGCAATACATGAGAATAGGATAGGACAGGATAAGATACATGATGCTTGGTACATGCGGGCAGGTTCACACGCCACACAGGACCGGCAAAACGGAAGACTGGGAGGGAAGCGGGCCCGGGCTCTCGATACCTCGTCCCGCCGGCGGGGGGGCGCGGCCGGCCGGCCTCCTTACAGCTTGGCCTTGTTGTCCTTGGCCCACTGCTCGTACCACACCTTGCCAAACTCCCTCCGGTCGGCCTCGCGCCGCTGATCCTCGTCGAAGCGCTTCTCCTCGGCCGCGAGCCCCGCGCCGTTAATCTCCGCGACGAGCACCTTGTACATCTCCGCCTTGATGGTGCCGTAGACGCCGGCCTTGGGCTTCTCGAGGAGGTCGCGCTCCTTGACGAAGGCGAGCGCGTCGGCGACGCCGTTGGGGGCCAGCGCGTCGGCGATGCCGGCGTCGACGGCCTGCGGGCCGGAGAAGCGGCGGCCCTCGAGGGCGACGGTGCGGTAGGCCTGCGGGGTGAGCTTGTGCCGGAAGATGGCCGCCATGGCGGGCTTGAGGGGCGCGCCGAAGAGGACCTCGTTGAGGCACAGGAAGCCCTTGGGGGCGGGGGCCAGGCGGTAGTCGTGCGCCGTGGCGAGCATGAGGCCGCCGGCGTAGGTGTGCCCGTTGAGCAGGGCGATGGTGGGCATGGGGAAGCTGCAGGAGGGGCGTGGGCGCGCCCGCGCGTGTCAGTTGAGTCGGTTCCGCCGCTTAAGCTTTTCATCCCGCTGCGTGACCCTCCCCCTCCTCCTCCCCGCTCCCTTATCACGAGAGGGCTGTCTCCTCTCCGGGCTCATAGAAACCCCCTCCCCTCGAGATTCTGGCCCTCTCCCCCGCTGTGGGATCCTCGCCCATCTTCACGCACGGGCAAGGGAAACCCCACGCCTTTAACCCCCCACGGGAGTCCACGGCACTGGATGAAGAGTGGAGAGGGGACACGGGCACCGTCGCGGCGGGGGGGCAGAGAGCCAGAGCTTCAGAGGGGAAGTCGGGAGCTGAGAGAGGGACAAGGGAGAGGATGGCGCAAAAGCGAAAGAAGTGAAGGAAAGGCAAACTCACGTCAGGAAGCGTCGCCAGACATCGTAGAACAGCGCCCAGAAGCCCTCGGTCGTGATGGCATGCTCGAGGTCGAGCCCGTTGGAGTAGAACTTGGGGATGCCGCTGGTGGTGACGACGACGCCGGGCGCGTAGCCGCCAAACTCGATGACGTCGAGGGCTGCGAGCAGGGCGCGGCAAAAGGGCGTCGTGAGGCGGTTGTCGGGCGGCGAGACCCAGGTGAGGAGGTAGACGCCGGCCGACGGCTGGGTCGCCGTGATGGCGCCGCCGGGGTGCGCGCCCAGCGCGGGAATGGGGATGCTGAAGAGGGGCTTGTCGGCGGCCATGGCTGTGGTGTGTTCTCTTTTCTCTCTCTCTTCGTGAGGCCCTCCTTTTTTGGGTTCGTCGATATCGGCTGGTTGCTCGGAATATATGTGAGGGTGAGGATGAGATGAAGTTGAGGTGAGAGAGCGCGTGGCGCGCGCCTGTGCCGAGGTACTAGCCGCTACTGGTAGCGGCCGGCAACCTCAAACTAATCAATCCATCAGCGGCAGCCGACAGCCTCGTGCCGCCGCCGCCCGCGCCCGCGTCCCTTCGGCCGACCGCCGATTATGGTCAAAATCGGTCCGAAGTCCGGTTCCCGATCTGCTTCTTCGTCAGCCCCTCCAGTTCAGCCAGCCCATGCGGTTCAACGCATGCATCTCCCCCGGGGCCGCGCGGAAAAGAGACGTGTTTCGGGGGCAGAACGCCAGCCCGGCTGTTCCGCTCCGGCCGGTTTCACATGTCTCCGCCGAAAGTGGGGCCCGCTCCGCCACGGGCGGGCTACCCGATACCGGGGGCGGGCTCCAACCCGGCCGCCGGGCGCGCGCGCGCGCGCCGGGCCCCCGGCAGTAGTGTCGCGGTGGGCTCTCTCAATGTCACCAGCCCACGTTGTGAGAATGCTGTGGGAGGGCAGCGATCCGGGGCTCCGCAGCGCGTGCGCCCTGACAGGGCGGAGGGGGCGGGCGGGTATGGCGCATCAAATGCCCAGGGACTTGCTGGCCCCTCAACTCGCTGCGAGGACTGGGCATAAGGCTTGACTTGCATGGGCCGCGCCCGACCCATACACGGACGGACGGGGTCTTGTCGCCCGCTCCAAGCTGAGCTTAACCTTTGGACACGCACGGCTGCGCTGCATAAAGCCAACGTTACATGTACCTGTACGCATTACCACGCAAAAGCTTGATAAAGCCTCGACTTCATGTTCCCAGAACCCCACTGCGCCTTTTTGGATCCCGTCGACTCGCCAGCCCCGAGTACCTAATGCCAACGCGAAACCGTTTGCTCCGGGCCAAACTCCCCTTCCGCTCACGACCCTCCAGCTCGTCCCGTACGCCAAAGCCCTTGCTAGTCCAGCACTGAAGTTTCCTCGTTGAAAGCCTTTGTTCATCAGCCTCTCGCTCCTGGTCGATCCAACAGCACGGCCTCAGCTATCAGCAACGCCCCCCCGCGGTCCGGTCCGTTTGTCGGTGACACCGCCGGTCTGCCCCGCCGGATCTCGTATCCGGCAGGCAACATTCGCAGGCGCAGCAAGGGCTGTAGTGGTAGCACACCCCATGGCAAGTGATTGTTGGCCTCGTTGGGTACGGGTATGTCCAGTGCACGAGGCTGGCTCGCGTGTAGCTTTGCCGCGCACCTCCGCGGCTGTTGCTCGCGGTTCGGCCGTACTGCTTGTTGTTGGCGGCAGCGGCGGCGAAGAACGGGAGGCGGAAGATTGCAAAGGCACCCTTCATTGTGAGAAGCGTGAATTCGGCAGTTGAAGAAGAGATGTGGAAAGCTGTTCGTGCTTTGAAACTGTTCTAGTGTAGTTGAGTTAATATTGTAGCTCGACTTGTGCTGAGGAGCGCCAGATGGGAACTAGACGCGACGGCATCGCGCTTTAATACTCCCGCTCAGAATGTGTATGGCGTCGATGGCTCTGCCGGCTCATGGCACGCGGCAAACCGACTTCCTCACTCCTTTCCCTGTGCCGGACGCTGTGTCACGATGATGAATGCGACGCTGACGACGATTCCACATGGACGTGCTGAAGCTGGAAGTCGAGAACCGTTGCTATTGCCAGCGCTCTATACGTACGGCATCCGGCACGACAACTCCGTCCGCCAGCCCAACCGCGACCATTATTAGGCCCGAATCTTCGGTCAGGTATCGATGAGTCTGGCCCTGATGCCCCCATGGGATGCCGGCCAATGGCCTCTCAGGGAATAAGGCGACGGCTTACGAAGCGGGCAATGCATGCCTCGAGATGTTCGTCATGCGCATCCCTCAACCCCGACCAACCCATTGTTTAAGATTTGCCGCAGTCGACTCCTGTATCGGTGTACCTTTTGTCTCGGCATGGAAGGGCGTTCGAGGCTCGCGCCATGCCTGCTTGGCATCGCATCACCCTCCGATCAGGCCTCCGATCAGGGGCCGGGGTCATCAGACTGCACCGTATCGTTGACATCTGGACGATTGAGGACAGCTCTGCGACATCCTTCAAAGGAGGCGCCTCGAAGCTGCAGCGATTATAATTTCTGACGGGTACTGGCCCCGCGAGGCGGCCCGAGCCGTAGTTTGGACCGGCGTGGGTTATGAGGAGTCGAATAGATCGCATGAAGTGCGGACTACTTCGTATACTGCGCTGTATGCAAAAGGCCCTACATAATAGTTGCCAGGTAAACAACCGTGACTGTACACTGCACACTATGAAGTATAGTGGTGTCTTTGTAAAACCCTCTGCGCATATGCCAGAGTTGCGTGCGACAGGAATGACGCTGAGCGTCCCTTGCTCGTCGGCGCCCTTGTCAACATGTTTAGGCACCAGGTGTCCTCGTCAAAGCCGAATCGGCTTGCCCGAGATGCCTCCGGCAAGTAAAGGCCAGGAATACGCCGTGAATCAGGCAATCTCTGATGTCATTTGAGCAAGTTTGAGGCAGCTGGTGCTACACTCCAGACATCACGCAGCTTATGAAACGAGGCGAAGCAGTCACGCCTGCCCATGCCTTCTCAAAGATGACATGGTGCCGCGCTGAAGACTTGCTGAAGTATAGCTATCGCTGCTAATAGTCCGCCGAAGGCCATCGGACGGATGAAGCGGCCGTTCTTGTTCCCAACATGGCTGCCAGTGGCAGCGGGTACCCGCCCCGTACGCCAATACCAAGATCACCAAGGGATGTGATGGGTCGGTCCCCAAGGTTTCTGTCTCCATGAGCCAGCGATGCCTGCCGCCGAAACGGCCACCAGAGGCTACTCGCCCCAGGCTGAAGTGCCGATGGCCCGATTGTTGGTCGGGGCCGTGGCAAGCAAGGGTGTGCTCACCCACCGGAAGAAGGCCGTGTTGATAACGTGCCGAGCCATCGCCCCGCCTCGGCAGACACTTTCATGCGGGAAAACGGTTAACCGGCCTTGGAAGCATGCCAATACGATGGCCGTGGCCGCAGAGGACGAGTGACCACCGTGCTGCTGGTCAGGAGAAAGCCGCACGCGGTGCACCGAGAGCCTCTGCGGAACGTCGTCATCGCAGACGTGTATCGGGACGTGAGTGGCGTCGAACCTCTATTGAGTTGTTCCTATCCCTGACAATGACTTCATCTGCTGCTGCTTAAGCTTCGAACCAGAAACCGCCCCGGCAACCGGACGAGACATCGGAGCAGGTTGTGGGGGGCCGGAACTCCTTCTCCGGCCTACCCCCTCGCGACTTTTTAGAATTGAACCCCTCGTGGCCAGGTGGATGACCCATCGCCCCTCAGCTGGTTTAGGTGTCTTTGCCCTTGTTTCCTGAAGGAGCACAGCGTTCGCCGAAGGCGGCACCCCACGTCAGCTCACCGAAGTCCCATACCGCCAGAGTGGTTCACAGCGCTCTCTCGCCAAGACCAGTGCAGAATAACGAGTCTCACTTGATGAAGACGATTGCTAATTGTAAGTGTAGGAAACCATAGTCGGACAGATAATCCACAGATGACGTTTTCCCAGCCAACCGAGAGATGCCTAGACCTTTACCCGAACCTTAAGTGCGACGACTCGCGTTAATGCCGGCGACCCAGGCCGGCCGATACTACCTCTGAGATATGCATTTAGAGGTAATTGTCTCTGCAAATAGTAAAATCTGCCTTTAAGTCAGTCTTTTCAGCGGCATCATCAAGGAGGACCAAGACTTCGGTTGGCCGCACAGTCAAAGTGAATGAAGCGAATTATTGCTAACCCTGTTGTGGTCTATATGCTTTTGACTCTTGAATGGACAGCCGCCTGAGATGGAAATGGATGCCCCGGACCAAGTCTGTGAGCCATAGGGCAATTGTGTGCGTTGGAAAAACATGGAAGGCTAGAGAGACGGCATCAATGTTCTACTCCCCCCAGCGACAATTCTGAACTTCATGGTTGGGCCCCCTCTACATGACTCTCGCCCTGCGCAATCTCCATCTTCGCTATCGCGCTCATCACCAAAGGACACGTCTCCGGGCGGCAAGACTGCTTCGCCTTCCTGAGGCCTTCAGCCCAGATGTTCCACATTTCCATGGTCAGAACTAGCTCGTTGTGGTTGGGATTGAAGACACGCTTGTGCTGGATGTTGGCCCAGAGCCGCGTTGGTGCGTAAATGAGCCACATGCAGGCGGTTCGTATGATTGGGTCCGTAGCGCTTGACTCTTCGAATGCCTGATGGAAGGCATGCGTCGCCAAGGGTGAAAAGTCCACGTCGGTGACTTCTGAGCTGGTGTAGTTTGCCCTGCTTGCCGCGCTGAGCTGCGCGAGGAGAGCGATCATGTTTTCCCAACGGTCATGCTGGTAACGCGTCGCTTTGGGATCTTTCGGGTCTGTGACGTCTCAAATTAGCAATGGATTGATAGCGACAGTCAGGTGGAGAAGACCGAGGGCTCCCGTGGGTATTACTCTGAGACTTACCGAACTCTTGCCAGGCGTCAGCGACAGTGTACCCAAGGGCGGGTAGCCCAGTCCAGAGCAGCTCGCCCTCGTGCTTCATCTGTTCTCCCGTCTCGGCGTCATCCATCCTCTTCTTTTCTAGTTGGACGACGAATTCAACCATCTTGGCCTGCTTCTCCGGGACGGTGCGCTTCGCGATCTCGATCAGAGATTGCCATGTATTCCAGGGGAAAACCCCGAGCGGAGCCTTCACGTCTGAAGTTTTGGCGGCGGCCGCGAGGGCTGTAAACTCCTCGAGAGCGTCGTCAACGGAAGCGTTGGGCTTTTTGGCCAGGTTGTCGAGGAGCTTGTATTGGGGTAGAGCCTCAAGTTCAATGATCCAACGGGGCGGCGCGTCGGAGCCTCCGTGGCCAGGGGGCCTAAAAGCCCGGAACATTCTGGATCGGCCGTCATGCAGGTGCAAGGGAGACGAGGACGCTGTCACGACCAGCACGAAGAAGAGCTGTAGCTGCATGATTAGACACAGAGGTGCGATTCGCTCCGGGAAACTCAGTAATGGTAGCTTACTCCGAAGATTGCAGCAGGTTTGCGCCGAGCGAAGGGCGGGATTATATGGTATGAGAAGAAAGGCGTTGCTAGCGGCCTCTTCGTTCATTTGAGAGTCTATGCGCGGAAGAGAATGCTTCAGCTTCTGATCGATGACGAATTGTCAAGTCCTCAGTGGTGAAGCTGATTCGTGCCTCTCCACGGGCCACAACTGTGGTGGGGTTGAGGAGGTTGTTCTTGCGGAAATGGGCACGGCGAACTTGTGGCTGTAACGTGAAGACGTAAGCACAGGTTGGTGCTCGGGCGCTTCCCGTTCTATGCACCGACGCTGCACAAGACTTTGGCCAGCAGTCTCACCTCCGCCACGTACCACGGCAATTCTTACCTTACCTCAGGCAGCGTCGCCTATCCTTGCTCGGGCCCCCGACCCAGATCGACCCAGACAGCTGACACAGAGTGATGACTTGACGTCAGGCGTTTCAGGGCCAACTTAGTCTCAGCAAACCGGGCGACATTGCTGTCGCGTTGCCCCATAGCTTGGCCCTGACAAGAGTCACTGACCGACCACCTGCGTCTCGCCTCGCGCCAGCCAGAAGAAGATTGCCAGATCCAACGTTGTGCCTTTCCTGGCGACAATCGGTGGCGACACAGCTTGCGGCAGCGAGAGGAACGACCGGCAATGCATCAGACTGCAAACAAAGGACTGGTCAAGTGCCGGTGCGACGGCGACGGATCTTGTGCACGTTGTCGCCGCCACCGGACCTCTACGCAAACATGACTTTGTCGCCGTGAGTTACAGCAACAGTGAGAGCATGGTTGGCGTGGGCAGTTACTATCATATTCCCGCTCGCGAAACGGGATACAGAAGGATCTCTTTGATGTTGCCCTGCTCTAGGCAATGGCATCCGACGCGGTCCAGCAGCAAGCCATGACCCAGGTACCACGAAGCGGGAAAGAGCCTCTCAATTTGCCGCGTACAATGACAATCTTCCTATAACCAGCTGCCTCATACATGCTCAAAACGCTCATTAAAATCCGACGACGGTCAAAACCAGTGCAACACAAGCGCAAGATGTGGAATGCTCTACCTCCAGTCGACTATAGAGGCAAGCGCCTCCATCGGCCTCGCCGTTTCCCCCGTGCGACTGAAGCAAAGTGCACCTTAAACAAACTGCAATTGAGTCTTGGGGTGAAGTAAAAGATTCTCGTGCCATTTGATGACTTATTATCCCATATAAAAAGGCATCGCAACCCTCAGAGCTGTGCTCACCGAGAACCGCACAGCGTTGCCTCCTAAAGTACCAAGAATGCAACTTGACAATGAGATTCAGCCTCGCGAACGTCCTGCTAATCGCCATCGTTGCCGGCCCGACTGCGCAAGCGAGCACCAAACTCCGGGACGTCCACTGCGGTGGCAGCAGCTGGTCCAGAGACCAAATTACCCGTGCTATAGAGCAGGCCAAGGCGCCCCGCGACTCAGATTATGTTTACCCTCGCCCGTTCTTTAACAGAGACATGAAGGAGAAAGTTCTTTTCAATGTCGAGGGTCAACTCTGGGAGTTCCCTCTCACTGACCCTCCGTGGACCAGTATGTGTCTCCTTTAGGAGCTTTCCTAGCAAGGAGTGCTGGATTCGTCGACGCAGGCTTGTACCCAACTGTCCTAGATGGTGTGAATCCAGGTACTTTTCGAGTGATCATGAAGGAAGACTTCAGACATGTTGGGGTTACCAACAAGAAGCCTGGTCTGGCTGGGGATATTTACAGATGCTAGAACTTATGAACGTTGAGAAACAGCTGTAATGACGCACTCCACCAGCCTAACTTGGAGGATGCATTGGTGAAGCTAAGTCGGTCACATGTAAGGCTAGTGGCATGCGCTTTGGCAGGCACTGCGTGCAGCCTCAAATTAATTGAACTGAGGCTCACTGTGTTGTTTTATATCGAGCCGTGGCTGTCATCCTGTGAGCTCGCTGGCATATGCCATGCAGCAAAACGGCGCGCACGTCATGTTCTCTCGGTGAATGGAAATTTAGACTGCTGTGTGGCGAGTAATGGCGCACTGACGTGGTAGGACGTGTCGAGACATGGAGCTGGCGGTCGGAGCGACGCTTATTTGCAGAGACCGCGTCATCGCCACTGTCACCAAGAGTTGGCCTGTTTGAGAACTGGATCGAAGGAATGAAGAGCGTATCGGTACACAGGATGGTACCCGTAGCAATAAGATTTGCGACTACGACATAGTAGTAGCTGAAGGAAGCAGCGACGGCAATGAGAGAGGCAGCATTCGCAGCGACTCTACAGCAGTGCATGTTGGGTCCAACAGCAATCAGGGACAGCGGGAATGGAGGCACAACCCCGTTAGGCTACAACAGCAATTGCGCTTAGGTCGGCATGCAACACTTGCCTTTGTAGGCGGCTACATTATGCATTTTCCGTCTTGGTACAAGTGACAGGGGCTGGCATTCAAACGGTCGTTTCATGAGACATCAGCCACGGCCAGGGTCGCATTTGCAAAAACGCCGAGGCGCATCCTCTCACAAAGCGAAGTGAGAAGACATATACTTCCCAATGCTGTGACGGCTAACTTACATAACTAGTTCTAGGACTTATCTAATATCCCTTCTCCTCGAAATACTCGGACTATATAACATCGACAGCGCCCTGGTGAAAACGTAAACAATGAGGTACTTTCCTGCTCACCAATAGACACTGTTCCCTCTTCTGCCTCAGAACACTGCCTCAAAATGAGACTTCCACTTGCTCTGATACTCCTCTCGTCCACTGCATATGCCGCAGTGCCTTCAGTACAGGCAGCCACAACAGAAGATGACGCCGAAAAATACGTAGCCGACTTCAATCGACAGGTAGACAGTGGAAAGGTATGCTTTTGCCTTGTCTTTGGCTAGACCCCAGGCTGATAAGACAAAGTGTGATCCGAAATCACAGGGGTGCACTTTTCTATGGGCTTATACCAGCCTTTATGAGGCTGCACAAGGGCCGAAGTGGACACGTCAGATCCGGAGCAGGACGATCAAGTGTGCCCACGGAACGGTAAACATCCCCTTTGCATTTGATAAGGAACCAATTGCCAACTCATGTTTGTTTCGCTTCTAGTGTACTGCGTCGAACGGAGTCTGTAAGCTTCAGAAGAACCTTGATGACAGCGTCACGTCATTGTGCCACTAGCAATTTTCGCGGTACGAAGACTATGCGGCATGGGAAGTAGTTTAGACTTGTCGGAGACACAATGAATATTTCGATTAGGAACAATTGATCCTGATCGGCGGCCATGTGAAGCTGGAAGAGTCGAGATCAATGCTCCGTCATCGTTCCTCGCGAAGACTCCGTCTGGTGTCCTTTTGGACTGCGAGTGCAAAGGCAATTTTGCTGGTGCACTTCAAAGTGGCCAGCATGGATTGGACCAAACGCAGATTCCCCTCGCTGATCCTGGTTCCGCCATCGCATCGAGGTCCGCCGCGACATCACAACGCCACATGACCAATGCAAATTACAGGAACGATCGGGAATGTAAACCCCTTTCAGCCATCTCGTCCTCCACGCCGAGAGCACAGCGTCTTACGGGCACTGCTTACAATTCATGTGACGGGAAACTCAAGTACGCCGAGCCTATCGGTTCCGCATCCAGCTCTTCGGCAACCAGCGTCAATCTGATTCGATCCACAGCCCCGATCTTCACGGCTTGTGGACGGCATCTCGCTCCCCGCACGATCACGACAGAGTGCTTCCCTACTCTTGCTTACACGTATCAGCTCGCCCAGGATCCCAAGACGAAATTCGTGGCTGAGTTCGAGGTCCACGCGGTTACCGTTCTACCCAGTACTCCTCGACCGTTGTAACATGAATGCATACCAAGGCATACTTCGGTGTGCGTAGCTTTGGGCGTCTTCCCCGCCATCCACTCACCAGTCGACGCCAAGTGCTTGTCTGCCTCACAAGGACTTTCCTGCATGAATGTATCAAGGCACGAGCGCGTATTACTCACGGCGGACACGGTATCCACTACAGTGCAGCTGGACAACCGACAGGATGTAACTCCCTCGAGCGCAATGGTGAGAGCAAAGTGGGCGCCGTTCGTTTGTTTCGTTGATGTTGGCTGGCGTGGTCGTTCTGCCTCACGATTCGTAGCATCGGCAATTTATTGCCGGCGTTGCCTCGGCTTCAAACCCGCGATCTGTTTCACGAGTCCCGAAGGTAGCCATCGTGGGGTGTGGTCGGTGTATTACCTTCCTGAGGCGGCGCGTATGCATGTTGCCTGCGGGCATGCATTGGAGCCCGAAACGGGTCCGTACATGGCCTTGGCGTGGCTGTGTCAACTGTCAAGGCATCGCGTAGTCGATGCTTCCCGACACGTGTTGACACAAATCCCTCACGGACCATCTTGAAGCAACGCAGTCATGCCATGGCGGGGTTTGGAAGGCCCTCTCGGCCATCATGTATAAAGGTCTACTCCTCAACTTCCGTGATGGGAGGACCGAGGAGTTCATCGTTCGCGCGTGTCACTCCTGTCTAGTTTCCACCAATACACGAAAGCTTTCTCAAGTTCGAACAGCCCAACATGTCTTTCCGCCAGTCTGCCTCCAACATCCGCGTCGACGACGGCCATATCCTTCGCGCCTCTATCCAGAACGGCAACGGCGACTGGGTCGACGCTGAGATCGACCTTGACGGGTTCATCGGCAACAGCAACGGAAGGTTCGAGTGGGGTGGTGAGAGTATGTCCCTGTCATTCAGAAACCTTGCGTCACCGCTACTCCTAAGCACATGTTCTCGACTTCCCTTTTTCACAAATTACCCTTGCCCATCTCCACCCAACGCCGTCCTCAGCCGCAATCATCCACAAGCGTGGTATGATCTAGGGCACAGCGCAATCTAAACGAAACAAACTGCGTACTGACATTTTGTCTCTCCGCCCTTAAAGACTTCAGCCACTCTGCCGAGGATATCAGGTTCAGCATGGAAGGCGCCAATGGGGACATCCCTGTTCTGCGCGCCCGCCTGTCCGACGTGGATGGCAACCTTCACGATGCCGACATTAACCTGGATGAGCGCATCGGTAACGAGGATGGCAGCCTTTCCTTCGGTAAGCATTATCGGCCACCTTCCAATCACAGCATCCTGCATTTTGTGGCTTCCCGTTGACACCCGAATGCAGCGTAATTGGTGCATTGTACAACTTGAGGGCGAAGCAAATGGGCCAATTTCTGCTATCACGGACGTCATTTCGCCTATTGCGTAGCTTGTATAAGTGAATTAGCCATCAAAATACACTCAATTCTGAAGTCAAACTATCGCGGACTACATGTGCGGTTCACGTTTCTGGCGGCAGGTTCATGCAAGCCACATGCGCGAACGCTAGCGCTAGGCCCTGTAGAAGCGTCGAAAGTAACACCACATCAGCCCTATCACAGCCTGCTTGACACCAGATAGGGAATGTTCTGCGCCTCGTAAAGATCCTTGTGGTCGCTCTTGATGAGGTCGGCGCCCTGAAAATCGCGTCAGTAATGTAGAGCCAGCCGTCACCAGCATTCTCTCGCACTCACCTTCTCGCCAATCATGTACACAGAGTTTTGGATGCGACAGTCCGGGATGACGGGAATGACAGACGCATCTGCCACGCGGAGGTTCTTCACGCCATGCACGCGCAGGTTGGAGTCAACGACGCCTTGGTGGATGGACTTGGAGAGACGTGCAGTTCCGCAGGGGTCTGGAGCAGATGTTAGCTGACTGCAGACTCAGGTTGAGGATGCAAACTCACGGAAGCCAGTCTGGCTTCTATCCAGGACAACCCTCTTCATTTCCGCGTCGGACTCGAGGGGCATCTTCCACGGATATTCGGACACGACGATATCCTTGAAGCCCGCGCCGGTCATCAGCAGGTCATAGGTCCACCGCACTCCCTCGCGCATGGCCAGGATATCGAGGTCGTTGGCAAAGAAGTTCAAGTTGATGTTGGGCTGCACCAGAGGGCTGGACGAGTTCAGAGTAACCTCGCCTTCGGAGAGGGGCCGAAGAAGATCAACAATGACGGTCATGTAGCTGCCCTCTTCAGGGACCGGGTAATGCCACTGGAACGCGGTGCTGAACATGCCGACAAAGTCAAGCTCGAAATGAGGCTGGCCGGCGGGACCAAAGGGGTCCAAGCCACCGTTTGCGGCCTTGGCGGCGCGGTACTCCTCATGCTTCTCAAGTCGCTCATCGATGCGAGGGAAGCCAACGAGCTCCAAGAGCCCAGAGCCAATGGGACCAGTCCTGTCGCGGTTGTAGGCGGCAACTGCGTTCTGCTTGAGGGGACCGTCCCGAAGAATGTAGTCATCCAGGCCGTAGCCATCCTTGATGCGAAGCACAAAAGGCACAATTGGGTGATCGAGGAGATGCTGGCCAACATGAGGCGAGTCAACCTGGACTTCAATGCCGTGTCGGGCCAATTCTGCTGCAGGACCAATGCCGCTCAGCATGAGCAGCTTTGGTGTTTCGAACACGCCCTGCGACAGGATGACCTCGCGACTCGCGTAGACGCTAATCTCGGTGTTCGACGCCTCGCTGACGACAGTGACGCCCGTGCAGGTCTTTGTGGTCGGATCGATGATGAGCTGCTTTGAGCGGACGCCGTAGATGATGGTGACGTTGGGCTTGTTCTTGAGGTAGAGGAAGCTACCCTGACGCTGGCCGTCGTAGATGGTGTCCACGCAGTGCGTGAGGCCACGCATTTCGCCCTCGTATATGTCCTCGGTCAGCCGCTCGCCCTTTGAGACCCACGCCTCGGTGAGCGCATCACGGAACGGCTGCATCTCCGGAACAAGATCGGCGTGAGCAATATTCACAGGACCTCCTGTGCCGATCTTACTCAGCTCGGCCGGGTATAGCTTCTCGTCGTCGTGGTAGGTGGCACACTTGCGGAGGTAGTCCACGCAGCCATCCCAGTTCCAGCTGGGGCCGCCAAACTCCTCCCAGTCGTCAAAGGTGGGCTTGGATCCAGGGATCCAGGTGAAGTAGTTGGCGCACGAGCTCCCGCCGAGGACCTTGCCGCGTGTGTTAGGCTTCTCAATGCGCTCGTAGTCATCGCGCTTGATCATGGTCGACTTGTAGGCCCAGTCGTGCTTGCTGCCGCGAAGCCCAAATGCCTGTGACGGGGTCGTGATCTCGGGGACTTGGTCGGGGTTGGGCACGCCGGCTTCGACGATGAGGACTCGAACATGGGGATTCTCAGCCAGGCGGCCAGCGACTGCATTGCCAGCTGTGCCGCCACCGACGACGATAAAGTCGTACTCGTTGCCATTGGAAACCATCGCCATGACGGGTGGTGTTTAGAGGTCTCGGGAAGTGATAATGGCTCGGCTGAAGTTCAGACTTGTCTATGCAAGTAGAGAGAAGTTGTCGATATCGATCAAACACCACATTCCATGGACAGTCGGCCAGGCCATACTTATACGACCTCGAGCCGGCGTCCTTCCGCCGCATCAAGCCGTTGCTGTACGGACTCGGGCCCGGTAGCATCGTCATACCGGCCATGCCGAAAGTATGGAGTGGTCTGGCTGAGAACCTGGAATAATGTCTCAATGCATTCAGCACCCAGGCTCTGAGGCAGAGGCGACGTCTCAACTCGGGCGGTAGATGCTCGGCAAGATCGAGAGCCGCCTGCGAAATGTTCCGGAAGCCCCTGGCGGAATTCGCTCGGCATCTCACGCTGGTGGGCCATGGTTCAGCCACGGCCATCAGCCCGCCGCCCGGGATTCCCTCGGAGTCTTTGCGCCAGGGCAAGCACATTGCATAGCGACGCAACGGGGCATCTAAGTTCTCGGAATTGTATGCCGCGAAGGCTCTAAAGTCCTCTTCTCTTTTTTGCTCCGACGCGCATTACAGTGCCGGTCTTGCGGTAGATCAACTTGCCGCTTGACGCAAAGTCTCACCGAAACGGCTCACTCGGAAGGCCGAGGTCCACAATTAAGTAGAGCGTGTGAACGTAGAGACCTCATAGCACTTTGGGCATTGATTGCTAGCGACAAAGAGAAGTACTATTTGCAAAATATTGCGGCGGGCTAGGCTATGAGTCTTCTACTACTTTACCGTGCTTTTGACTGAACTTCAGGTACTCGCGCCATGCAGAAGGGACGAGACACGGAGGCACGGGAGGACACAGAGACAATGGAGATATTAAAATGAGACGCAAGAGTCAACCGAGGCAAAATAGGTAGCTTCATGAGAGCGGCGACGGGTAACATGGCTACATTGCAAACAAGTGTTTTCATGGACTATCCACTCGGTCGCTTCTGGCGGGCCGCAAGCCGCTACGACCCCCGGTCGGGGCTGTCTCGGCGTTCAAGTTCTCGTTTCATAGGTCATATAGCTCTAGGCGCCTTGCATGCGTGTCTAAGACGGGCATTCAGCTTAACTTCACTACACGTATCATAGCGCTCGGTATTGCTATGGCCCTCACAGGTCCGCAGTGCTTCATGGACGGTTCAGCCAGGTGCCGTGGTCTCTCCCCATCGCCTTCCAACAGACTTGGCAGCAGACAACAACAGCATGTTTACAGGGTAACGCGCAAGCAGCACCTTCTCTCCGTATCCGCTGGCGCTGATGCAGTTGTGGTCTGGTGACAGCCCCAACTTCTGCAAGTCGACGTTATTGGAACTGACGGCAGGGATCACCACCGCCTCATGACCTTTGCAGGCGCCTTACGAGTCCTAGGCGGAAGAGAAGAGTGGCATTGATAGGATGTCAGGCTGAGCCTCAACAGACCACCCATGCCACCGGTCTCAGAGGCCCTGGCCCTGGGTAATCTGACATGATCCGGCTGCCGCCTTCCCGCACCACCGGCGATATGAAGTGGAAAAACGCATCGACTATTTGGGCATGTTGCAGAAGCACGATTGACTCATTGCTGCTGTGCGACGTGGACGCAGAGCCACGGACTCCCCGGCTCAGGTTCTCATCAAGTATAAAGCAATAGGCTGCCTGCGCTTGCTCAAGGGGTCCCTCGTCTTTTTTGCTTGACCTCTTCGCTCAACTGTTGCGCCATTTCGCAAATCCCAGCACAAGCTCAAACAACGCTCACGGCAAACGCCACCGCACTACGGCACGCTCACGGGAGAGACACCAGACGTTTGTGTGACAATGAAGAGCGACTGGAGCAAGCCAGAGCTTCTGTACCGCGTCAACTGCAGCTGCTGTTCGCAGGCGCCCACCGTCGAGGGCCAGGACATCGTCGCCCGCTCCCGCGCCAACGTCAACCTCTTTGCGCAGCACGACGAGAGAAAGCTCGAGGAACTGCAGAAGAGCTTCGAGCAACACATGGACTGGTCATGCAGAGAGCCGTCTCCGTTCATGTCGGCATACGGCGACGAAGAGAGAGCAAAGGGACGGGCCGAGCAGCTCGCCAACAAGAGGCACAAGGACGTGACCGTGACGACGATTGACGCGAGTCTTCTCGGCAAGGGAGCTGTCCGGCATGTGCTTTCCGTGAGGGCCCAGTTCAACATTCAGCTCGAGGAGGAGGTGTATTATGGTGCTTGGTACGAGTTTCTCATTTTGCACCGCGTTCCCAAGGAGGCTATTCTGGATGTCGAGCTGGTCGACTCGTGATGGCGCGGCCGCTTCGGCGTGCCTGTCGTCCTGGACGCGGCTAGGATGCAGTGGCACGGGTCTGACGAACGCTATCTGGCCGATCGAGGCTGGCAGGGTTTGAGAGATTCGAGAGCGTTATCATGTAGACTGTCATGGATAAGTAGGTAATTGATGGCCTGTGTATATGATGTTCTAGTTACGATGATATTGTGAGTGGTTAGGTAGAGAAGGGATTGTTGCTGTTTAAGCCAACCAAACGTCCACGGGTCACTTCAGGACGCATTTACACTCGCTGCCCCACCATAGCTCCAGCGGGTGCGCTAGCCACCTTAGCGCCACTAAGGTAGGCACCTACCTGAACTCCCCCACCACCGAATCCCATCTCCAACGCCCGGCGCACCTAAGGTACCTTCCAGCTGGCAACTTCACACCTCAACACCACCCATCGCCCATCGCGATTCGCCTGCGCCAACCACTTGCCTTACCCACACCCGAGGCAGCAATGGCGACGCAGAGCCCGCCGGAACCGCCCGCCACCGGCGGCGGCGGCGGCAGCAGCAGCAGCAGCGCCGGCACCGTCGTCTTCTTCCACCCGGACCTGGGCATCGGCGGCGCCGAGCGGCTCGTCGTCGACGCCGCCGTCGGCCTGAAGCAGCGCGGCCACCGCGTCGTCATCTTCACCAACCACTGCGACCCCTCGCACTGCTTCGACGAGTGCCGCGACGGTAAGCCCGCCCAGGGGGGGGGAAGGAACTGATCAGCTTGCTCACACTCATCTCGCTCTCACCCCCGCAGGCACCCTCGACGTCCGCGTCCGCGGCGCCTGGCTCGTCCCCCCGACCATCCTCTCCCGCCTGTCCATCCTGTGCGCCATCCTGCGCCACCTCCACCTCCTGCTGCACATCACGCTCCTCACCACGGAGCTCGCCTCGCTGCGGCCCCGCGCCGTCGTCGTCGACCAGCTCTCCGCCGGCCTGCCCCTCGTGCGCTACGTCCTCGACCGCGGCGTCCCCGTCCTCTTCTACTGCCACTTCCCCGACCTGCTGCTCGCCCGCGGCCGCGACGCCTCCCTCCTCAAGCGCCTCTACCGCGTCCCCTTTGACGCCATCGAGCAGTGGACCATGGCCTTTGCGCACGCCGTCGCGGTCAACTCCGAGTTCACCCGCTCCGTCGTGAACAAGACGTGGCCGCGCCTGGGGAGCCAGGTCCCCATCAAGGTCGTCTATCCTTGCGTTGATGTTGATGCTGCCGCTCGCGAGGACGCGGAGGTCAAGGCGTCGGCAGGCAGGGGCAAGGAGCTGCTGGGCGGCGACAGAATCATACTTAGCATCAACCGCTTCGAGCGCAAAAAGGACATTGGCCTCGCCATCAAGGCCTTTGCCGCCATTCCCGTCGCCGACCGCAAAAACGTCCGGCTGGTCCTCGCCGGTATGTGTCCCTCTCGCGCCCCGTCACGGGCCTTGCTATGCCGGCTTCCTTGCCCAACTGCCTTCTCATGACTGACCTCATCCAGGCGGTTACGACCCCCGCGTCTCCGAAAACGTCGAGTACCACACCGAGCTCGAAGCCCTCGCCTCATCCCTCTCCCTCGCCCACCACACCATCACCCCGCCCTCCAAGTCCTCGCCCGCGTCCTCCCCCGCGTCCACCCTCTCCGCCGTCCCCCCCTCCGCCTCCGTCATCTTCCTCCTCTCCGTCCCCTCAGCCCTCAAGGCCGCCCTCCTCCGCTCCGCCTCCCTCCTCGTCTACACCCCCTCCAACGAGCACTTCGGCATCGTCCCCCTCGAGGCCATGCTCGCCCGCGTCCCCGTCCTCGCCGCCAACACGGGCGGTCCCGTCGAGACCGTCAGCGACCCCGCCACCGGCTGGCTCCGCGACCCGGACAACTCTGCTGCATGGTCCGCCGTCATGCGCGACGCCCTCGCCATGCCTGCGTCCCGCCTCACAGCCATGGGCGAGGAAGGCGCCCGCCGCGTGCGGGAGCGCTTCGGCAGGGACAAGATGGCGCAGTCGCTCGACGACATCCTCGGCGAGATTCGCGCCGCGAACCCCCGGCCACCTTTTATCAACTACATCATCAACTTGGTGTTGCTCGTCGTATTCTTCTACCTGGGCCTCCTGCTGGCTTCAACGTATAGGCGCTTCAAAAGCGGCTGACCTGCAAGCCAGGGCATCGCTTCATGTACATATCTCTCTTAATCAAGCAATCACATGGAATTACCCGACAGGGTTCATAGACAAGCACGCTTTAAGCCTCGAAGAATTGCACAGGTTGAAACAGCCAGATGGCGTTTCACTCACTCCATTGGGATATCATCGCTGCCTATCAAACACCAACACTCGCTGTCCGTCCGTGTCCCTAATCAACCATATTCCACGCACGCCTCCATGTCCCGCCAGTGTATTCGTCTCAGAGCCTCAAAATCATCCTCGGCCAGCCCCAGCATCATCGAAATGCTGTCTTGCCCGCGCCATACTATGCATACTGGTGTAGAAAAGAGAAATAAAAAGAACATGTGGCGAATGCTGCAACCATCCTTCGAAGAGAGGCTCGTGCCTTGCCCAAATGCTCAGGCGCCGTTGCGAGCCCGAATCCCTTCTCAAATCCTCACGGCCTCGAGTATGTAACGCACCGGCACCGCCCCATGCATGCAGTGATGATTGTGTGCGCTGGCCTGTTCCCGTTGCCCTCCGCATGTCCATGCCAATGCTGAGACGAAGGCCATCAATGATCATGTGGCCGTCCATATTCCAGCGTATACAGAGTACACGTTCACCCAGCTAGTGGCGCTGCCGCCACCATGGGTATGAAGCAATAAGAAAGGGAGCGTTGGCTTCCCAGTGGTATCATAAGGTGAACTCAGAGTGTGAGTGGGTAGATCTGGTGTCTAATGTATATAACGACGCGCCGTGAGGCTTCAACGTGTGCGGAGCAGGTGTGCAGTCTAGTGGCCTCGTCATTTCCAGAATGATTCGTCCCATGCACTTTGAGAGTGGGGTGGTATATGAAGTGCTGATCGTCACGGCTCTGGCTGGAACGAGCTGTCGTCGTGGACGGGCACCTTCTTTGCAGTCTCGTTGCTGGCTGTGCTGGCACCCGTGTCGCGTCTCTTCGCCTCAAAGGGCCGGCTGGTAGGCGCTCTGGGAAGCAATGAAGTTCGTTTGCGTGATTTGGCCATGACGAGGATGTCATCGTCGCTTCCGTCCTCGTCAGCATCGTCCGGGTGCGAATCTGCCGCGACAGTCGAGGGGCTCTTAGGCTCTGCTGCAGGAATGTGCAAGGGCCCGCTTTCCATGGCAGTGCCATTCTCAAAAACTCGGTCCTGGTCCATCGCTAAAGCGTCCTTGGCCAACGCCGGAGGTGTCTGGTCAGACGAGTCAAGTCGAGGCGACCGGCTGTTGACGACGCCGGGCTTGCAGAGAAGCTCGCCCTCAATGTCGGCCGAGATGGAGCTGGCGCCGCTGAGCAGTGCTGGCAGAGATGGGTCCGATTGGTAGATGAGCATGTGGTGCGGAGCGTTCTTGGGAGGAATATCCGTCGCGACAGGACTGGTGGTCTCGCTAGGACTCGTTAAAGGTGTACCCATGCATTCCATGGACTCCATGCTGGACGATTTGCATGAGGTCATGGTGTTGCCCCGCGGCGGCGCTCCGGAGTGCCCAGCCCAATCTTGGGGCTGAGGTGACGGTGGGCAGGGGATGTTGACAGGGTCGGCTGTCACAGGCTGAGCGGCAAGCTTGTCCGGGCTCGACGACACACGGTACTCAGTCTGCCTGGAGCTGGCGGCGTTCTCCGGACGATGAGCTGTCTGGGGTCTCTCATCGAGCCGAAGGTGCTGCCGCGTGCCGAAGTTCGGGTCCGAGTTGGGCTGGCCGTGCTGATATGCAGCCGTGGTCTTTGGAGAGCTGGACAAGGGCGACGGGGTCGTGGTGTGTGGATATTTGCCTCTGCCAAGGTCCACGGATCGCATCGACCGTGAGTGTCTGGGTCCCTGGATGTTACCCGGCACGTTTGCGTTTGTCAAGCCGACCTGAGCATGGGCTCGCTTGTCTGCGGAGCCGAAGAGCGTCCGGTCGACCGAGATTGATCGACCGTTGTCCTCGAGGTGCTGCTCCAACTTGCGCGAGGTCCGTCTTGCAAACTCCCCGTCATGGAAAGCGTCGCGCTGGTGTCGCTCGGAGTGCGGCGTGGCCGGCGTAGATTGGGTTTGGGGCAGGGGCGGCACCAGGCTCAAAAAGTTGTGGCTCATCTTGTGCTGCACGTTGTGCCGTTGGAATCGCGTGCTGCATCCAGTCTGGCCAGCGGCCGCATGAGTTGACTCGGTAGACGCAAGGCCCTGCGGCTTTTCCAAAGGAGGAAGGACGGTTGCCAACGGGTCGTATTCGACGCTTTCTGTTTGGAGGTCGACCGTCGGCGCTGATGGCGCGGCGTGGTGCACGACAGAAGGGTCCTTGGCAGTTTGGGAGAAGTAGTCGTCTCCGCGAATGCTCGCACGCCTCTCATTGGAGTAGTGCGTGGGGGGCGCCGTGTGCTTCAGCATACTGTCGCCGGCGGAGCTGGCTGCGCTGCTTGTGGCTCTGCGCCGAGACTTGCTCTCACTTCGCTCTACCAAAGGGTGTATGACCTTGCCGACAGCCTTCTTCATGGCGGAGCGCGCCCGCTCGAGGAAGTTCAGAGGAACAACGGCAAAGGACATGTCCTTCTCGTCAACCTGAATCTTCCTGCCGCACGAAGGTCTCGCAGGGTCCGTGTCGTCGAGCCAGCCAACGACATTGGAGATGCCCTGGACAACCCACGGGTGGCGCTTAATGTCCCGTAGCCGAATGCGCTTTTCGGGGTTCTTGACAAGCATTTGACGCAGCAGATCGTACAGGAGGTTGTCGACGTCTTCGTACTCGAGGTCATTGTCGTCACGGTACGGGTGCGCGTTTTGGCGCTTGTACAGTGACGTTGCTGACGGCGAGGTAGAGGGATCGACCGGCTTGAGGCGCTTCCGAGAGATGTGAACGTCCTCGGTCGCAATTTTCCTGAACATTTGAAACTCGTCCTCGGCGAGGAAGGGGATGCGAGCATATATCAGACAATAGAGTGTGACGCCGAGAGACCAGACATCGATCTGCTCGGACACCTTGGGTTGCTCTTGCTTATCGATGTCGGTATAGCAAAGCTCAGGGGCAAAGAAGGCCGGTGTGCCGACAGTCTTGGCGAGCTCGAGGTCGTCGTCGAAGTCCTTAGCTTCCGATTCAGACACGGTCTCGTCCAACTCGCCGTCGCGGATGGGGCGGCCGAAGTAGGACACTCCGAAGTCGGAGATCTTGACGCGGTGATCCCTGCTCCAGAGCAGATTGGCGGGCTTGATGTCGCGGTGCACGACTCCTTGGTAGTGCAGATACTCCAAACCCAAGACTGTGTCCCGGAATGTGGAGCGCGCCTGGTCCAGCGTGAAGCAGGGCACGAAGGAGAAGTCCTCGGCAAAGGGATCATGCGCGCGGGGATTCCAGTCCACCGAGGACATGTGGGAAATGATGGAGTCTGCCATACTGGGAGATCGCCCTCGGAAGGTTCCCTCTTCAGCGTAGGCGCCGTACATGGTGCCTTCGAGAGCGGTCGTGGCCGTAGATTGCGGGACAGGAGTCTCGATTTCTTCGGGCCAGTCGACGTTCTCGTCGAGTTCTGTGGGCGCCAACGCTATCGACGTGATGGACAGCGAGCGAGAGGGTGCCAGAGACGATCGGCGCGATCCCGGCGGCGACGAGTGCCCGTCAGTGACGGCAAAGTCTTCGCGCGAGGGGATGCGTGACCAGTGGCCGGCGCTGCTGCCGCTCTCGTCTGCGGCCCCGTGCTCGACGCTCCAGTAGTCGGAGGGGCCGGTAAAGTGCTGCGCCATCTTGGCTCTCTTGAGCTCTTTGAGGGCCTGCCGGCGCTCCATCATCTTGTTGTACTGTTCCTCCTCGGCCGTGGGAGCCTCGCCGCGGATCTCGCGCTCGATGCGCCGGCGCTCGTACTGGCAGATGTGGGGGAGACCCTTCTTGCGCCATACGACCTCGCCCAGCTCCACGTGCTCGAGGACCATGTAGATCTTCTTGAGCTCGGGATCATCGATGACTTCGAGAAGGGCGACGACGTTGGGGTGGCGGATCTTTTTCAGGATGGCAATCTCCTTCTTGGTCTTGTCTTGAGGGGACATGGCCGTGACCCTGCCAAGCCTTCGCTTCTTGGAGAAGCGCGGGATGATCTTGATGGCGACGTTCTCGCCGGTGGCGCTGTTGCGGGCAAGCTTGACCTTGCCGTGCATACCGCGGCCGATCTCTTCGATGACTTCATACTGGTTGATGGACTTGCGGCCGGTGGTGATGTCGGAATCGATGAGGGCTTTGTGCGTCCTAAAGGCACATTGTCAGCACGCGGGAGACGGAGATTCGAATGGCAGTGGCAGCCGAGGCGCCAGAGGCTTGGTGCGGTCTACACCAGTCATGACATGGCGACACACGACCGCGATGTTCAGGCAACAGGACTGGAAGGGCAGCCACGTACTCTCGGACTCGGTGCGTCTGCAGCGGGTGCAGATACGGGCTCCCCGCGGCGAGGGCCGGCGTATTGCTTTCGCTGATGGACGTGGTCGGGAGTTGGCGAGGGCTAAAGAGCCCCGGGGAGGAAACGGGCGTGGTGGGAGCGGTCCTCAACGGCAGAGAGGCGGAGGGAGGGATGTGAGCGTGCAGCGGCGGCAGCGCGGTCGAGGGGCGGGTGGGCTGCGGCTGCTGCGGCTGCTGCTCCGACCCCGGGTGCTGCGAGGAGGAGTCCATGATGTTGGTTCTATCTCAACGTCGTGGGCGCTCGGGTCGACATTCTCGAAGGAAGATCGTCTGCGAGCGACGGGACGAGGAAGGGTGACAGCGGCCGGGCGTCAACCGGCAAGTCTATCGCAGCATTATCGGAGAGAAGGAATCCGGCGGGGTCGGCGGGTCGAGCGTGTCGTGTTGTTTGAGGAACGGGCGCCCGATGATGGCAAAACAAAGTGGGAGGAAGAAGAGGCCGAAGAGTGTGATCTGGCGGGAAGACGTTGGAGAGAGGAGTCGATTGCCTTTGGGGACAAATGGATCAGCAGCAGGCTGGTTGAAGTGGGAGTGGTAGCGGCACTGGTGGAGGACGAGGTGGTGGTGGTGGTGGTGGTGGTGGTGGTGGGAAAAGATGGAGGGATTGAGAGGGGGCCCACTCGATATGCAGCAGCGTGGACTCGACGAGCGAGAGGGCGGAACACCGGCTGGTGGTGGTGGTGGTGGTGGTGGTGGAGGTCACTCTCTCGCCCAGGCCCTGGTCGTCGCAGCGGGTGCAGAGTGATGGTGATGTGACGTGCGGTGCAGAGCCCAGCAGGAGCCAGATGCAGAGCCGGGCTGGCCGGTACGTACCTGCGCAAGTACCCGATGTACCTCAGACGGCGGTGGACAGTGCGCAGATAACGGGCGCCGGTCGGAGGGTGCAAGAAAAGACGCGCAGGGGGGGCGGGATGGAGGGGCACGGCGCCGCGGGCTCTGCGCCTGCGACGGCTGGGTTGGGGATTCCGGCACGGTGAGGCTTGGGCGAGGTTGGGAGTCGCCCTGCGTTGTCGCGGCGGCGGGCGGGTGGTGTGACGCTGGATCAGGCCGTGCGGTTGGATTTCGGGACACTGTACGTACCCGGCCCAGGACATTGAGTCTTCAAGAGTTGCTGCCGGGCGGCCAGGATCGCTGGGGCGGGCGGCGCGCGACCTCAGCCTGACGTGCGTCCATGGGCTGGCGGTACAGGTGCAGGTGCAGCAGGCGCAGGCAGGTTCTCAGAGGTGTCGTGTGTGTGCGTGTGTGTGAGTGTGTGTGTGAGTGCGAGCGAGTGGTGTGTGTGGGTGCGCGTACGATGGGTGGGGCCAGTGGGGCCGTTCGCCGCTCGGACCAGTGCAGGGGACGGGAGGCCTGGAAGGTGCAGCCCAGGTGCGCTGCGGGAGGAACGACGGACGACGATGGAGGCATGGAGGGCTCGCCGGGCTGGCTGAGAGTGCCGAGTGCGGTGCTTTACATTGCAGCGCTGTGAAATACGGACGGCAGCATCACTTCTCTGGAACGCTGCGCCGGGCGAGGCTTCGTCGGGCAGCCCAGACGCAGTAATTCTCAGGCGGCAGCGGCGGCGGCGGCGGCGGCGGTGGACGACGACGGGCTGCGGCTCGGACGGTAATAAGGTACCAAATTTCCCTTCCGGCACTGTACGCTGGTGCCTCACCGGACGGTACGGTACGGTGCGGTGCGGTGCGGTACGGTGCGGTACGGTACCTACGGGCGGTTTGGACGCTGCTCGCCCATCCGTGGATGCCCGCCCGCTCGCTCGCTATCAGAGCCCGGCAAGCCTGGAAGGGGCGGCGCGATTGGGGCGCTGCGTCTGCCAAGACCAGCTTATCGCCCGCGGCGGCGTCATTGGCCCGCCGGGATTGGCAGTGGCTGCCCCTAAGGCACGGCCAAGGTTGGCGTGCCCCAACCCCTACTGCAGGCCAGCTGCAGGCGGGCGGCGGCGGGTGCAGCTCTAGCGCTCGACTGGGCGTCGGCGCCCCCTGGTCGCTGGGCTCGTCAGTCGGCGACCATCAAGCACCCACGAGCGAGCCAGCCGGCACGACGATGGTGGTGCAGACGGCACGGCTATCGGGTTGGGAGCTCGCGCGCGACGGGCGCCCAGGTCCAGGTCCAGGGCGCCAGGGCACCACCCGGGCAGGGGGGGGAAGCAGGTTGATGATCGGCGCTCGTTCTGTCGTGTGCTGCTCGGCATCCAAAACACCCCGAGTTCTGAACGTCGACTCCCGTCGGACTGGCTCGCTGGATGATAAGGCAGCAGGACGCGCATCGCGAATCTCGCAAGCAGGTGGCCGCTTCATATTCGAGGTACCTTGGTGATATGAGGCTCCCAGAGCAGAGCACTGCGTGGTATGTAGGCAAGACAAGATTGCAGTGGGAAAGGGTTCCGCCGCCTCGCCGTCGCCGCCGCCACCGTCGACGCACGCGCGCAACCAAGGTTTCCGGGACGAGCGGCGGCCGTGGCACGTCGGCTGCTTGGTGCTTGCCTGCTTGCTTGACTGGCGCTTTGCTCCCATCCGCTTGCTTCCTCAATCCTGCCCGGCATCGCGACGACGCGCATGGCGGGTATCCGGTGGTTCGTCCCCAGCAGTTGGGCCGCCCATGGAGCTCAAAGAACCTCCACCGTGCAGCACTTCACCAAACCATGCCATGCCATGCCCCCCTGCCAATATGCACCCGGGCATGGTTTTTTTTTCTGCTGGGAGCCAGTCACAGCACGGGCCGAGGACGGGCGCTGGCGTTTTTTTGGCTTTCTTATCGCAGTGCAGATCCAACGAAACACGCCACTCAATCCAACGGCTTTCTCCTTTCTTCTTACTCTCTCCAATCGGTTGACTGACAGGCTCGCGAGATAGGTATGGATATGGATATGGGATATGGATTGCAGGACACATTCATCAATCGCCCGGAGATGTCCTTGTCCCGTTTGATGTGTGTGCGTATGTGTGTGTATCTGCGGCTGTGCCGTAATTAGCAGCAGCAGAAGCAACAGCAGTAGCATCATCCAAAGCCGAAGCGCCGCCGCGGGGTGACGGGAGGGGAGGAGGGTGGCTGGCGGCCGAATTCCAATTCCCGCCGGTGAAATTCCATCGTGGGGCGGCTGGCTGTCGACCTCACCAGTGAACGACTCAGCGAGTGAGCGACTGTCAAAACGACAAGACACACGCACGCGCGCATAGGGGGACAAAGGAAGCTCGCCTGCCCGCCTGCTGCTCCTCGTTGTCTCATGCCCGATTCGATCAAAGCCGAGATGCAGCTGCACAACTCCCGCATTCGTGCCGGATCTGGGCCCGCCAGGACCCCCCGACGACCTGCGACGACGCCGCCGACGACGACTCGAAGCCCATGGCGGGCGCAATCGCCTCGAACCACGTATGTCCAGTGCGAGCCGAGCATCGTGGCATGCCTCCCCCCTCTCCCTCCTGTCGTCTCTCCTCTCTCTCGTCTCGTCCGGCGCTACGCCTCCCGCCCGCCCGCCCGCCCTTCTTGGGGGCAAGCGAACGAGGCAAGGCCGCGCTCGTGCTACGTGGTACTTGGTCGTAGGAGCAGAGCACCGGGGCTGGTAGCTGCTCCGAAGGCGAGACGCTAGATGCCCCCCCGCGGTCCGCAGCGAGCTGCCATCGCGTTCCGTCGCAGAGCGGCTACGACACTGCGCAGGCGGGTGCCCGCGAGACAGACAACCTCACGATGGCTTCGTCGCCACGGCGATAACGGCCTGGCTGGCTTGGGCTTGGCTGCCGGTGCTGGTCCTGCGCGGCCGTTGCTGGCCAGGGCAGGGCCCCCCCGGGACTCTGTGCCCTCGATGCTGTGGATGCATCAAGCGTCCAATGCGGCCCATCGCCAATGGCGCAACGAAACAGGGCCCCCCCTGAGGCCAAGGTAGCACGGAGCGCCAGTTGGGCCGCCCGTCGCCGAGCTCGCTTGCCGGCCGTGGATGGGATGGCATCACGGACCTGCGATCTCTGGCTGGGCGCCCAGTCCGCTGTCGGGCCGCGGTGCAGGACCAGGCGATTATGGACTAATGGATTTACACAACTGCAGGCGGAACGGGGCCCAATAGGTGCGAGGTCGGTACTACTACCCGCTTGGCATTGGCAACGGCTCCAACCCCCAAGATGCCGACATGCCATGCCATGCCATGCCACGGATTGCATCCCATGCAGGCAATTGCTGCTGCTGCTTCGATCCCTGAGGTTGGTGCCCCTAACATGCCCGTCCATGTCTGTGAGGTTTGCTTGGCACAGCGCTGTGCCGGGCCGCCGGTCAGGGTGCCGTCGTGCCGCGCCTTCATGCCCCCGAATCGATGGACCACCCCTCCTCCATCCTTGGGTGGTTCACGATGCTCGCCCGCCTCGTCCCTTGGTGTTGACTCCTGGGCCGGCCACAGACAAGTCAGCTGGTCCGTGCGCCGACCACCCTTTGTGCGATCGACGGACATGGGCTGGGGCACAGAATCGACCCAGGATCCATCCATGCAACAGCGCCCACGATGGTCGCGAATAACAGGCTGCGGCGTAGGTACCTTAGCTGCCCGCCACTCGAGCCGAGAGCCCACAGCGGGCCGTCCAACGGGCGGGTCCGCTGCTTATTAGAATGTGGTGTCGATAGTCGACAGTCTGTGTGTCCATGACTCGGAGGACGTTCCCGTGTCCCTCAGAGCACGCAGAGAGCGGCATATCAGTCTACTGCATCCTGCTGAGATGTCGTGCTCCGTTGCCTTCACGTAAACTGTAATGTTTAATACTGTGTCGTGCGAGGCCCTGCCCGTCCGCCACCCGGCGCGAGCCCGCATCCGCCGCCGGGCCATCGCCCTTCGTTTCAACCACCGGCGATGATGCGCTGGCGCGACGTGCACGCCGCGACAGGACGGCGCTGGTCGTGAGGCGTCCATGCCGTGCCTCCCACGTCCCCCAGCGGCCTGGACCGTGGCTGCATCCCTCTTGTTTCGCATGAGTATCCTCGTCCCTCCCTCTCTCGCGTGGGGGACCAAGGGGCCGGCTTGACGCGGCGCAAGAGGGACGAGGGACGGACGTGCGGACGGGCTTCGATGCGGCTCAGTCTGCGACTGTCCGACCGTCCGTCCATTCATTGATCTGTGGGGGAAAGTGGTTTTGCCCGCAGGCACGGTCGCACAGAGTCGCACACGCAGACACCACGCGCGGGCGCCCACGCGCACACACACATGAGGATCGTCGAGGCGATGCGAGTGCTCACTTTCGGCTTCAATCTGCCAAGCCTGGCCGGGGTGGCACGGGCTGGAAGCAGGGCAGGCAGGGAACCCAGACGCCAGGGACCCCTCACTCACTGCACTGAATTGTCATCGTCGTCTTGGTCGTCTTCACCACCTCCACCACCATTGCCATTACCACCGCTGCCACGGCGGACCACTGCCCTCCGTCCATCGTCGTCCGCCGCCGCCATCGCCGCCGCCGTGGCAACCACTACGCACCCGTCCTTGGACGGATGACGATGGGCGTCGCGACGGTTGGCGCGGGAAGCGAGCGACCCGACCCCCCACAAGCGCGGGCGCCGCCATGCCCCATGCCCATCTTTGGCTCTTGCTAGATACATTGATACAATACGTATTGTCGCCCTCGCCCGTGTCGTTCCCGACGCCATGCGACGCCATCGTCATCATCGCCGTCTTGCAGCTGGGCCAGCCATCATCCTTCGGGCGTCGTACAGACTGCGGAGTACGTACATAATACAAAGTACAGAGACCCTTGGGGTTTGGGGGCATGGACCCTGCCTCGGGTCGCTCAGGGCCCACGCAGGTCAGAGAGCGTCCCGTGCGACGCGACCAAGTGCCGACGACTTGTCACTTGTTTGCGCGACCAACGTGGGCCTGGATACCGGGGACGGACCAGTCTTCACGTCGATGTGATTTGGAGAGAGGGAGGACCCCAGTTGGGCAGCCAGATGAAGCAATGTACCTGGACGCCTGCGAAGACAGACTGTCGGACTCGGATATGCTTGATGAGGCAGGCGCCACGTCAAGCGTCCCAGCTGTGCCTCTGCGCACTCGTAGATCAGACAAAGGATCAGAAGCGTGGAATCGCGCTGCTGAGAGGCTGCGCTCGCTGACATCTGCAGCGGCCCTGCATCATCAGCTCTCTTGCCTCTCCGGGGCAGGCAACGCAGCACCGTCTGCGTCCCTCAGTGGGAAACCTTTTTGGGCCTGCTGCATCCCGCCCAGGGGACGGAAAAAGTGATGTATCACCTTGCGGGCACCGGGCACCTCCAACAGCAGCCCCCCAGCTCACTTCGTTCCCCTTGGCTGCTCGCGACGAAGCCAGCCAGCCATTCAAGCCCACGCGAAAGGGCCGCTCGACTTTCGATTTTCTCGGCGGCTTGCCTGCATCCGGACGGGCGCGCAGCTCGCGCCCCTGACGCACAAGGCGTTTCGTTCGACAGGGTGCTCGCTCCGAGATGTGCGCGAATCTGGCGTGGATGCAGCAGCACGGATCACGGCCACCCCGGCAGGTGAAGCTGACGATGGAGGCGGGAGGAACTTGCTTCGTTGGATGACGGCGATGCAGGCGCACGCCGAAATGGGCTGACGATAGTATTGCCTGCAAGGACGAATGGTCGTCTCGATGGTCTGAGCCTCGGAGGGACGGCGTCGGTTTCGCGGCAACGTGGACGCCGGCGTCGAGAGCAAACGCGACGGGCCCCGCGTTGCCGTGCATGTCGTTCCTCGGTACCGGTACCTTGGGTGCGGGTTGGAGGGAGCGCTTTCTGCAGCTGCCAAGTGGTTCTGTCGCCGGGCCGCAACACGATGGAAGCCCCCATCCAACAACTCCATCCCAGAGGCAACAGCGCGGAGCGTGGCCGCACAGACGCCGTTTGTCCGATGCCGCTACCAGCGGGATACATGATTAGGTACCTACCTCACACTTCATGGTCTTGCAACAGCGTGGCGCCTGGAGCGACGAGTCCCGCCCAGTCCCAGCAGCTGCAGCTCGTGCAGCGCCAGCGCGTCGCGCATCTGGCGCTGACGTTGACGCGGCGCTATTGCCTGTCGTTTCCATCTCGTTCAGCTGTTGGCCCTCTGACGACGCTCCGCAGACATTATTGCCTTGGTATTTCCATTTCCGGTCGCCGTTGTGGTCCTGCACCGAAGCCAAGTAAACCAAGCTCGTCTATTTCCTACGTATCGGCGCTCCGCTGCAGTGGCATCTCCACGCGTAGATGATAAACGAACCCGGCAACGCATGATGTAGTTGCTCTCGCGCCGCAACTCTAATGCTCGCGCTTCAACAGGCACAAGTCCGCTTTTCTTCAGCAACTCTGGCGCCGCCCTGGGGCCTGTGCTCCGTTGATTTGCCTTCGGTCCTGCTTGCACCTGCACCTGCACCCGCCCGCTCGGGACGGCGAGCGACGGGCGGGAGGGGAGCTTTGGCGCGTGTCGATCATCGACGCCGTGGCGTACATCGCCCACGCCGGAGCAATCACTCCCCCGCATGCCTCAGCAAGCTCTCGGGTTTGTTCGAGCCTGGCGCCCTCCCTCCTCCCCTCATCACCGTCGTCCTCACTCCACATTGGTCTGGATGGTCTCGGGCCCGTGACGACACCACCACCCGTTCGTCGCCTTGCTTAGCGCGGCCTTGGTGGCGCTGCCCTTCGCCGCTGCGCTGGGTTGCCTGCTTGTCTGCCGCTTGCTTTCTCTGGCCTGTCATGTTGTCGTCGCCGAAGCTGGTTGGACGCAGGTGAACCATCCAAGTTGGCCTTTGTATCCCGGCCGGCGCCGTACAGTGTGTGCGTTTTGAGGTGACGAGGCGACGAGTGACTGCGAAGCACCTTGGTGGCTACAAGCTCGCGGGTTGCGTGAACGCGGAACGGGCACGCGGCGGCGAGGCTGAGGCCTGGAGCTGGCCTTGCGCCCTGTTGCTGCGGCTCGACACACCACATGTCTGTTGGTGAACGCATATGTGATACCATCATACGAGTGCCTACATACGTACAACCGCCTTGATAGTTCGATGCATATGGCGCTCGTGTTCAACGACGATGGAGATGGAGTGGCGACGTTATCTCTCGTTGCGTGGCGGCATACCTGCTCGTTAACAGCGAGAGGACATGACTCTCCCGCCGCAGCCGACCGTCTTTGTCTCGCCGGGGAGGACACAATGTCTGGATCGTCATCGCTGTTGAACCCGCGCCGCTCGCAGGTCTGGGGATTTCGGCACGCACCCCGTTTGGCCCACCTGGAGCGCAACCCACATCTTGCCCGTCCGTCTTCATCGCCCCTGCCTCCCCTCCCTCCATGATGGGCGAACGCGCACCACAGGCCTCATCAGCGAGTGAGACGTCGCGTCGACGGCATGGGGGAGGGTCTTCGATCGTGCAGGCAGGATAAAGAGGCAGCCCAGTCTTGATGGAGGTTGCGGCTCGAGGGAGGAGGGTCACTGCGGATGCGAGGCTGCTACCCTGCACCACGGCCGGCCCGCGGGGAAGGATCAGGAGACCCTGAGGATGGGTGCGGTTCGGCGCGCCCATTGGTCCGGCGGGGGAGTCAAGACGGCTAGATGGGAGGCCCGTTGCGACGACGCGTTGCCACCGTGTGTGTCTGGGTGACTGCGCGTGGGAGGTGGCCCAGGGCATGGCCGCGCTGGCATGTGCCTTGACGCCAGAGCACGGGATGCCCGTCCGTCTCGCCCGCCGATGGACAGGTACAGTACCTTGCTTTGTAAGTTGCGGTCCCTGGATGCGTTGTTTATGCGGACTTGGCATGGCATTATGTCAAGTGTTCACCGACGTGAGCACCATCAACCTGAGGCAGTCTGGTGTTCGTACGGAGCTCCCTCGTCCAGCCGACCAGGTCGTCGACAGCAGGCTTCAAGGCGACATCAGACACGCAAGCGCTGATGCAACAGACACCCTCACGAGCCTAACAATGGCCCCACCGCATCGCGCATGCGGGCATGACGCACGTCTACACATACATCAAGTACTTGACGTCTTCCCGTCACGCAGGGAACGCGCAGCGGCAGGGATATCCCCCAAGGCCATCCATCCATCATCCACCACCCATCCATCCCCAACCGGCTTTAAACCGAGCGCGAGCTCGGGGTCCGGTCGGCAGTAGCAAGCGCACATCGGGTCTGCGCGAACCAAGGGCCATGGGAGGGGGTTGCCATGACGGCCATGTGTGCACGAGTCGATACTGCTGCTGTCGATCCTGGGGTCGCGGGTGTACCGGAGACTCTACATACGAACGGCATGTGGTGTGCTCGGCTCAACTGGGTGTAGGGAGTCGCAGGCAAATGAGATATATGACGCGTTTGATGGGGGCGCAATGGTGGCGATGGACGAGGATTCCTCGTGTCGACGATGCGAAGGGGGCCGGTCCACCGACCGCGGGATACCCGGCTTTGCCCCAGGTCACGGTCCGGAACGCATGCATCGCCAAGCACCTCCATCGTCTTGCATCATCGTCGTCGCCGTCCTGTGCGGTGTGGGCCACATGACTGTATTGTCCGTTGCTCCTTCGTACATGTGTGGATGCCTTATTATATCTTCGCCGTGGATGGTACTAAGCTGTACATCGTCCCTGCATATCAGGGCCTTTGCTTTACGAAGGAGGCTGGTCAGACTTGAGCTGGCAATGCACATCAGAATGTGAAGGATCACGTCCTGTGAGTCATGGGTGGAAGGAAGCCTTCGGCATGCCCCGACCGACGTACTTGAGTCGCCCAACCGCATGTTGCTATTCTCAGTCCCCACTCAAGCCGCTACGACTAGATGATTGATGGAACTTGAACATTGTAGCGGTGTCGCCATGAGATTGTGAAAGTAAATACCACGTGAACATGTCCAGCACGTCGACAGTTGCTAATTCTATCCCCTGGCCAACCACCCGTTTGAGCCTCATAATATATATATTGGTTTAACAATTCATACACTCAACTAAGGGCTTGTGGCGCAATGGTAGCGCATTCTCTCCCGTCTTGACGTGCGGCCCCCCTCCCAATCATTCGGTATCTGCTCGGATTGATAGGACCTAGAGAGAGGTTGCCGTTTTGAGCCTGGCTCCGTCTATTCTTTTTGCCCTGTGACGGTACAGGCGGTGGCAGGGAGTATGCATCGAAGGTTTCGTAGTGCGGGGGGACTCCCTTCGGTAGGACTCCCTTTGGCGTCACTTTGAAGGAAGTCCCCTCAATAAGGACCAGCCGAAGCCGTGATATATCGAGATGCCTGAAGAAGTACGCCGCCCCTTGGGGGCAAGGAGGGTCCGCGGATCGCTACCCCGTGGTAGGTTCTGATAGCGTAGAACGTCTACGGATGGTTGGGAGTCGCGCAGCTGCGGGCAGCTGCTTGCGCGTACAGCGCGCTACCACCGATTTATGGATCTACTGATGACGGGAGGGGGGCAACCGTAACGTGGAATAGCGTCGGTTCCACTAGCCCCTGTACTGAAGCCTGCATCGTCTGTAGCTTCTTGCTCGACGATGTTCCTCAGGAAATGTGCCTGGTCGCCCTTCGCTACTACGAGTCCTTACCCGACTCGCCTGCGACTACTTCCACCAGGCCTACCGGGAGCAGGCATTTCTGAGTGTATGCCCCTGGCCCTTGGTACTACGAGGAGGCTTACCTAGCCGGCCCGCGGGTACTTGTAGTAAACTCGTGGGCGGACATTTCTTCATGTCCATGCCCTTCACCTTTCGCCAGACGGGGGCGGTCTTCGTGGTGTCCCCATCACAGAGAAGCGCCGCGGCACTCACGAGCTGAAGCTCTGCATGCGATCCTCGTCCGATGGGCTGCTCCACGGCTGCACCCTCTGCAACAGTGCGGGCGAGAATGGAGACGTTCATCGAGGAGTCTCTTCCTTTCTACAATCCTGTCTCTCTCCCCGATTTCCAACACACTCTAAGCTACTAGTAGACGATCCGACACCAACGTATCCAAGGCAGAACCTTTCCGCCGCCCTCAGAGAACCCAGCGTTCAGACAATAGCTCTCCTAACGATAACGCGAACTAACGACGCAGCAGACTCCTCATGACCTCCCTAGGGGCTCGTCCGAGAGGCCACTATCGGGCAATTTGTCATTCGATCACCTCGGGGTAAGCATGCTTCAAGAACAGAACTCGTCAATATGCTGACTTGAGAAACTGTAAGAGGAGATGATTCTGCCTCCATGGCTTTCTCCCGCGAAGCCGGACATCGTCGCCGTTGCGACCAGCAAGCTTCACATCGATATCTAGAATATCCTTATCTAGATTATTCTTGTGAGACATCTTATCGGACAATTCGTCTTCCGATATCGTTCTCGAGGTACGCATACTCCAGGGAGTATTGTAGGTCAATGTGCTGACCTGGCAAAGACTGCGAGAGGAGATGATTCTGCCTCCTCAACGATCGCCATCTCCAATGGCGCTGAATATCACTGCTTTTATGATCAACGAGCTTCGCGCCATAATTTACGATATCATTGTGAAACATTTTATCGGACAGTTTATCTTTCGATATCGTTCTCGAGGTAAGCACACTCCAAAATTTGTACGTCAATGCGCTGACCTTGCAAAGACTACGCGAGGAGATGGAATCTGTTGCATTGCTGGACCATCATCGGGGAATATGAGGCCCATGGCCGACGCAAGGCGGACTGGCAAGTAGCACTTCTCAGAGGGCGGTGGCCGGCTGGTCACCCCTCCCGTGTCGAAGTGCTCGAGGATGGAATCCACCCCAACCAACACCCCTATTCCACCCGTTGAGAACCGATTCCGAGGAAACGTCTGCCCACGGTGAGCTTGGTGGGGGTGCTCAGGGGCCAGGTGCATCGCAAGAGAACCGATCCCGTCCCTTGAGGAGGCCGAGGACATTGCCGTCGACTCGCAGTCTACGCGTGTTCTACGACCAAACCGCGAGCTAGCCGCGCTGATCCAGAAGGCCCGCCAGGAGGCAGCAAACCGGGCATACGACGTCGTCATCCCAATCGACTCGGACTCAGAAAAAAAATACAAAACATAGCAAATCTAAAAAGAAAATAGAAAAAAATCGACCCGTAACCCTCCATTGGTTCGTCCTGGGGGGCGTCGTCGGTCTGAGGGGTGCCGTCGGCCTTGGGGGTGCTGCCGGTCTGAGGGGTGCTAGGGGGGTGGCCGTCCGCCGCCGCCGATTGATGCTTTCCACTCCGGGACAGCCTCAGCAGGAAGCACCTGAGAAGGCCCTCCAAAGTAATCCGAAAAGCAGCGTTGGTGGTGCTCCCATGCTGGCCAGGGAAATCCGTTTCTATGAAATCATGTAAAGGGTGTCTACAGGCGTACAAAGCCTTTCGGTCGCGCCATGATCAGGTACGCAAGGACTTGCAGGATATTGGATTCCTATTAGTAACCGTCTCGGTCGCCGAGGCACTGTCTTCTTCTGCGGTCTCTTCAGTATCTTTCTAGTCCTCGGCCAGGCATTTACGCAGAACTGGTTGGAACTCTTCCTTTCTCGGCTTCCCTTCGAGGTTGGGTACCAAGTCCGCCGCTTATGTTAACCTATATACCTATTGCAATGGCGGACCTGTTCTCTGAACACGGCCACAAGAGTCGGGACGTATTTGCCTGCCCACGCCCTTGCACACAGCGCCAATGTTCAGGGGCGCAGCCTCTCGTCAGTGCAGCGACGAGAGTCCCTGGGACTGCCACAGCAGCAAAGAACCGATATCGTGATGTTGTAGCAGTGACTGAAGCCGCCGCAAGCGCGGCTTGTCTTGCGTAGAGGCGTTACAGCAATCCGATGCATTGAGGCCCGCAGGTTGCAGCAGCATACACAGCCAACATGGCCTGCGCGCGCGGTGATCCAAGACACGCATGCATGCAGGCTGCCCCATGATTGAAAACCACTGCGACCTGCGGGTGCCGGCTCTGGCAACCAACCGGGCACGCGTCCGTGTGGTCTGCGGCAGCCACGCCATGCGCCTGGGCCAGCGCCCGCAGCAGCCCTTCGACGCAGCCAGCCATCGCGGTGTTTTATCACAAAGCGCCAGCATGGCAATCCATTCTGCCTGTTGTCGTCCCCGTCAGAGGTGTCGTCGAGAGTGGACCTGTAAGGCTGAGACCCAACGATCAGCTTGCATGGTGGCGTCCGCCGTGTGGGCTGCGGATGGTGGCAGCTCACCACCCACCCTGTGCCCCAAGTGTCCACTCCAAGCCGCCTCTCCCCAGGGGTGCAACCTGTGAAGCCCTGACGACGTCGGCCGTTGAATCACACGTCCTGTTACGTGGACAGGCGGCTGAAGGACATTTCTCAATCAGCGCAGTTGTGCTTGCGTGGCCCAAGTGCAGTCGTGCTGCTCCTTCCTCAAGGTCGTGAACGCGCGACCTGATCATGTCAGCAGAATCTTCTTCAAGTACCGAACCCAAGTCTGGCTTCTTCTTTTCTTCCTTTTCCCTCTCCCAAGCCCACCGCGTTCTCGATACGCCCCCTTTCCGACGAGATGCTGACGCAGCTTCTGCTTGCAGCGTTGTTGTTTTCCGTGAGTCCATCTCTGCTCCCTGTTTGATCAATTGCTGACACTGTCGTCGCAGGAAACCAATCCGTAGTACGTCTGCCTGCAATGTGTCGTCTGCCTGACAGCACAGCAGTCCAATGCTGCGGCTGATTGCTGAGATTCTGCATTGCAGAAGTTCGAGACTCCCAAGTACTATGTACGTCCTCTCGCATTGCTCAATTCCTTCGCCTTCATCACTAATGCTCTTCAGTCTGCGCGGATCCCTCCCAATCGAGTACGTCCGAATCCTGCCACCTGCTGGCTCAAGCTCTACACGACCGGATAAATTTGCTGGCCTGGTCCTCAGTCGGCCGGCCCCCCTCCCAATCTCGGTATGGTCCATTCGCCTCGTCCCGTGCTTCCATTCCTTCCAATCTATGGCTTGGTGCTGACCTGTCTTTAGTCTGCGGCCCCCCGCCCACGGCACCTTGTCGGTAAGTAGCAGATGTGTCCTTTCAGAGTTCGTTTTCGTGTATATGCCTCCCTTACCCTCCTTCTCTCTGCCCCTACGGATGCAGATTGGGTCATAGTTTGTTGCTCTACTATATTCCCCTCCGTGCCGTAACGTGATGTAAGTTCTGAAGCTTACGTACCTGTCTATAGATGTCGAATTATTATTACTTCTGGGTCAACTGCTCCGCCGTTGGCGGCGGCCACCCTCCCGGCGGCGGCCGCGGACGAAAGCGCAGGCCTGGCCCCAAGCGGGCCTGCTATATTGTATGTTGTCTCTCATCCCTTCTCACGACTGGCAATATCTCATTCCTTCTCGTGCTAACTAATGATATACTTAGTGCGGTAAACGTTGCCATTTAATGGCCGACTGCCCCCTTCGTGTGGCAGTCAATGCTTTGGCGGCGGCGGACCGGCCCCCCTTAGCACCCCCGAGACCGGCAGCACGACCGCCTCTGGCGGCAACCCCCAGACTGACGGCACCCCTCAGACCGACGACGCCCCCCAGGACGAACCGATGGAGGGTTAGAGGTCGTTTGTTTAGCTTTGCTATATTTTGTATCGTTTTTTGAGGAGTACTATTCGTAGAGCCAACTTTTGCTAGTTGTAGAGCCTCCCTACATTTAATGTTTTGTTTCTCGGCCTCGCCCCCCCCCCCCATGCCGGCCCAATGGATTTTACTGCGTATAGGCGTAGACATGGGACGGTAGCGGCGCGCCGCCTATTGCTTTCGTTGCTTTCGTTGCTTTCGTTGCTTTCGTTGCTTTCGTTGCTTTCGTTGCTTTCGTTGCTTTCGTTGCTTTCGTTGCTTTCGTTGCTTTCGTTGCTGTCGTTGCTGTCGTTGCTGTCGTTGCTGTCGTTGCTGTCGTTGCTGTCGTTGCTGTCGTTGCTGTCGTTGCTGTCGTTGCTGTCGTTGNCTGTCGTTGCTGTCGTTGCTGTCGTTGCTGTCGTTGCTGTCGTTGCTGTCGTTGCTGTCGTTGCTGTCGTTGCTGTCGTTGCTGTCGTTGCTATTGCTCCTATGGGCTCTACAACCAGCAAAAGTTGGCTCTACAAATAGCACTGCTCTTTTTTTTTTCGTTTTTTAAGTAAAAAAAGGTCACGTTTTGCTGAGCTTGTCTCCCTTGTGATCGTCACGCCTAGGCCATCATTCCAAATCCAATCTATCTGTAGAGACTCAAGACTGGTCTAATGGCGTAGTGAACGCCTGCTTCGTCAGACTCCTTGCATCTGTTTGGTTGACTTAGCGTGAAAGGCAGTCGAGGCATCATCGCTAGAGTGCATTACAGGGCCTCTCAAAGACCTTCCACGCTGGCCCGGTGAGCACCTCTCCTAGCCCTGTAGGGCATGGTTCTCGCGCTGGCGCAACGCACCGGCCGCAATTCATTTCCTGAGACGTACGATCCCGTTGCTTGTCAGCCGCCGGCCGAAAAGCAATGGCGAGTTTTGAAGGGGCGGGGTCAGAGGCGGTTGGTCAGGCCTGCAAGGCTCCAATATCACCAGGGCTTGCTCGGGTCTGCTCAAACTGGCGAGACAAAACACAGCGGTGAGGCAACTGGGCATGGGGACGATGACCATTGTCCCGGGTGGCGAAGCATGTGGCCTGCCAAGTTCCTGCGCAGCATGGGCGTCTCGCATCCATTATTGACCTCGCTTTTGATTCATATACATCCTTTATTTGCGCACCAGACCATTTTGCCCCAAGCCGCCACGGCCCACGGCATCTCGATGCTCGAGGCTGCAGTAATTGCAGCTGCTGGGGGCCACTGCAGTGGGCGGCGCGCCACAGTGACTCTGCACGCGTAATTGTGGTCCTTGCCCTCTGCCGGGCTGCACGAGGGAAGGGTGCAATCATGGCAATCCGCTAACACGAGACACCTGTCTCCAAGGGCAATCTGAGCAGCCGTGTGAAGGCCAAGCAGGAGAAGATACTTGCTTCTCGGGGCAAAGGTTATGGATGTTGGACAAGTTGGATAAATACAATGACTCTTCTCATATAGCAGGCTGGAGCATATGCTACCAGATAAGTCTACCTTTCGAGTCGTCGTCAACGTGCCTGAGATCACTTCAGCCCACCGCATGTGCCTTGCATAGAGGCTATACAAATACGACGTCCGCCTTTACCTGACAATACGTTTACTGTTGCCTCTAAGCAATCTACTAAAGTCACCCGATTAGAGGAAGCTCTCACTTAGTGTGTATAGGCCAGACCATTTACAGAGAAGCTATTATCTGGCTTGTATCTACGGCGATTTGCATGGTAAACACATATGACCTGTCAAAGCAGGCATCCCAGCAGTCTTCGCCAGACGCCCAGAACCTTTCAAGAATATTTTTTGCCGTAAGAGGCGAACAGGTGCCTATCCTGGAGCTCAAACTTGTCAGCTCGCGAGACACATATCCACGCATCGTTGCGTCACTCTTAGCCTGTACGCCGAGCGTGACCAGTGGCCAGAGCATGAACCTATTAATCTCACGGCGGGAAAGAGCTCCCGTCAATACTCGCCGAAGATCACGGCCGGTTGAGGTGGAGAGATCGCGTAACAATGTTGTCCTGGGGAATACCGACGAGCTCTGCATCGACAGCATGCAGTACAGCCCCGCGGCGAGTCGATAGGCGTTGCCCACAAGAGCCCACACATCTTTAGTACTGTGCTTGGTCTCCGCCCATTGTTCAGGTGAGAAGTTTTGTATACGCTGAAGAATATCATTGGCTTGTTGTGAAAGGCCTGCGATTCCTTCATGGTTCATGGAAAGATGACGAAGGTGATTGACCCTCATGATCTCCGCAAACAGGAGCGGAGGGCACAAATGAAACGGTGATGTGGCCGCGCTGTACTGTTCAAGCACCATGGGCACAGATTCGAGGTGGAACTCAGTCATGGCGAGATCAGAAGCCGGACATGTTGTGTTGCCGAACACTGCAACGCTGAATAGGTCAGCACGGGCTGAGATCTCAACATGATGGGGATACCTACAACCACACGCTTATAAGCAGAGGCTGGAGGGCCTTTGACCGGACCATAGTCGGAAATCCACCACGAAGGTTGATGATTTTGTGAATCCCGTCTAGGTGCCATCGCCAGCCAAGCGATGCACCGTGCTGGACCTACTCAGCAGTCAGTGATGACCGTGCCTCTTCAGCTGCGCGTGCGTGATGTGGTGCGCGTGAGGGGCACTTGCATCTACCAGCAAGAGTGTCAGAACACCGGCAAGAACAACGTCCTCGGTGTTGTGCCTCTCCACGCCAATGCTCTCACTCAGCGATTGTATGGCCATGCCTCGATAATGATAGAACCTTTCCGATAGAGCTTTCGACTGGCTGTGCCGCATTTGGTTCATCCGGTGATTTAGCGTCATGCACACCATGCCAAATTGCAAGTAGCTGGGTGACTTGACTGCTTGCTGGAGGAGAGCGGGAGTGATTGAGTACACATGTGGATTTTTTCCCAGCTGGGTGATGGGCACTAAATCTTTGTAGATGCAGTCATTAACTGTGTTGGCAGGTGGTCAGCTTCCAGTCAGCCTTGGTGTTCGTAGTACATTACTTGCAGTAATGTGCCGCCTGAGCTAGATGCTCAGCTCCGGTCTTCAATTCGGGTCCAAGTGTCATCGCATGGCTTGTTTGAATGAGCTCTCCTGCAGCCGCCTCCGTCTTCGAGCGCTCCGTGTGGTGCCCCGACGCCGCCTTGGCGCCTCGGCGGCCTCGAGAACTGACCTTACCGGGCTCTACCCATCTGATCCTGGCTGGTTTGACGGGGCCGTATCCCGGACACAGTGTGCCAGAAGCACTGCACCTGTTGCATGCTGGTTGCGTGGAGTCGCACACGAGGCAGCGACGACGACACTCCCAGCAATGCTGTTTGCGACCGTCCATCGCCGCTGAGCAGGGACTCAGAGAGTCGCCGCACTCTTCGCACTACGTATGCATTACCGTCGAGTGAACATACAAGGAAGTCGCTCACAGGGCCGCAAGCAGAGAATTGGCGGGGTGACACATCGGGTGCATATGCGATGGCGTGAGCAAGATCACGGAAGGACGAAGTGTGGCCGTCAGGGATTCAGGGAATCAGGGGACTCACAGCCCTCACGGACATGGCCTGGGGGTGGCGCGGCATGCGGCCCGCCGCGCGGCCGTTCACTTGCCCCACTGTAAGTCGGTGGTCACTGTCACGATTTCGGAACACCGACGGCCTCCATTCTGTCACGTCCTTCTCGCGTGCATGTGAATATATGCGGGTGTTTTGGTGACAGCAACCCCTACGCCATTGCTCGCAACAACGGCCGCGCGTACCAAGACACAATTGCAAACGCACTCAGCAACATGCTCCCACCAGTAAACGACACGATCCCGGCGTACTTGAGCATACCATACATCTCGTCGGATCGCGCGCTGCTCATCAACCCTCCACTAATCGGTCCCGCGAGGACATTGCCAATGCCCTTACCAAAATTGAACAAGCCAAAGATCATGGGCATCGCCGTCGGATTGTTACTCACTGCCGTGCTCATCCGAGCCCAGAGCGCCGTGTATCCACCGCCGAAGAAGCCATATACAATAGCAAAGATAGCCAGCGGCGGGAGCGATCGACCAAGCCCCCAGAGCGTCAGCGCCGCTGTTGCCGCCGCGGCAGTCGTGAGCGCCGCCAAAGCATTGATCGGAATTTTGCGGTCGGACAGGAACCCGAACAGGAGCTGGCCCGCTGTCTGAGCAACACTCATCAACGCCAGCAGCAAGGCGCCTTGTCGGCTGCTCAGTCCAACTGATGAGGCGTATGAAGGTAGGTAAAGCGACGGGAAGAAATAACCGAGGCCCTGAAGGACATTGGAAACGGAAAAGACCCAGAACAGCTGGCTCCGCAAGAAGCTCCAGTCCGTCTTTGCTGTGGTGCTCTGCTCCGACACCGGCAGCCGGCCCTTGAGGAAGGGAATGAGTGGCCCAGTAAGCACGATGAGAGCGATGCCAATCACTCGCAGGGCGACTTTGTATCCATACTTATTGAGCAGCGTTTCAGCGATGACGGGCAGCACAGCGCCAGAGACCCCCGAAGCGCTGCATAGTAGCCCGTATGCCATGCCTCGGCGAAGTACCCAATATTCGTTTACCATGCTGAGGATGGGGTAGTAGAAGATCAAAAAGCCGACTCCGTATGCTACGCCCTGAGTCAGAATGAGCACCTCGAGGGTAGACGCAAAGGATCCGATCAAGACGCCAGAGATACAAAGGGGCCCTATCAAAGGTCAGTCCCTACTATGCGTAGGAATCTGGTATGGTTGACACGAACACCCGATCCAGATCATATGCCTCTGGTATTTGTGGTAGCGCTTGATCAGCGGCATGATGAACGGTGCCCCCAGGTACGAGAGACCCGACGCAACAGTACCGACGACGGAAATGTACCGGTTGTCCGCAAACTGTGGAAGCTTGGAGTAGTAATTCTGAAAGACACCGAACGAGAGGGGAAAGCCTGAAACGCCGCTTGTTAACAGTGTGCAATTGATGGGGACGATGAACCCAGTCCAGTCTGGAGGGACATGGAACGAGGCAGCGGTGCAGGGCGGCCTACCCCAGAGCAGGGCCTCGAACACAAACGCGGTGCCGAGAAGCTTCCAGGCGGCAGGGCCTCGATCTGTCGGATCTAACTGTTGCTCATTCAGGCCAGGCCGGTCGGCGGCCGCGTGCTGGGCATTGACACCATCGTCATTGCTAACTGGAGTGGCGGGCCATTGAGAAGTAGCCATGGGCCTGTGTATGGTGTCGTCTAGCTCAATTGTGTCCATCGCTGCGTGTTTTGAACGCCCAATAAGAGCGTTAGTTGACCTCAAGTGGCTGGGGCGCATCACACGTGCAGCGCAGCATGTAATGACTTGAGGAGAATGAAGGCTCTTGAAGTCGCCTTAGCATTGCTATTTTATAATCTCACCACTGCCTTGGACCGACTGCCGAGGTTAGGCTAGTGCCCTCGTCTGACGTCGCCGTTGGGGGTCCGATTGGCGGTGATTAGTTGGATCCAACGCTTCGCCAGGAACATGAAGAGAATGTGGGTTTGCCCGATCGGCTGCGACTGCGTTCGACCGGGCGTCAGGAGTAGTCGTAACTACAAAGCTACTGTACTGGGTCGCGGAACATGAAAGGGAAAACGCTAGACAGGCCGTGCAGCTGGGGGCACATGGCGAAATGCGGGCGCCAGCCTGTTGGTGTGCTGGGCGCTGGCGAGGCCGCTGCCGGCGCTGAGTAACTTTGCCTCAATCAGCCTCATTACTCTTAGCCCTGCAGACAAGTGGCTGGGACTTGTCGTCTCTTCTCTCTTTCTAGGATTGAGTACGTAAGAGCGCCGCAATTGGGAAGAGGCAGGGGAACAAAAAGGCTTGAGAGTGGTGTTGGATGTGGCGAGGCATCGCCGGTCGCGGATTGACATGACGGGACTTGGGCCTCACCGCTCTGACTCAAGTCAGATCCTCCTCGCTGTCTCATCAAAAGATGGATAGCGAGATTCGTTATAGAGTTACCATTACTGTAAAAGGCCAACAGAGTCTGCACGCCCATCGTCATCGGCCTTCAAGTCGCGCCGACATAGGCATCATCTCATGATGCATGTGGCCTCATGAGACGCCTTCCGCACGGCTCACGTACGCAACTCCCGAACGCAACTCCCGAAAGCTGTGGCGCAACTGCGTGAGTAGATGCGAGAGAATGCGGCCCTCGAAGATGTTTAGACTGCTGCGATTGAAGGGTGAAGCTGGTCTGGAGGTCAAGCGGCAGGCGAATGGTAACAATCCGGCACAGGCTTTGGGAGAAATCGCCACTACCTCCCGGCCACGCAATGCTCATGATGGCAAGCCTCTTGCCCGGCTCTCTCTTTTGTGCCCCGAGTTTAATCAGGGCTTGTGTGCTCCCGTCGCTCCCTGGAATTTTCCGTTATAGACTCCACGTTGACATTTTGGTGAACTGGCTTATGGACTTTCCATGCAATTGGGCCTTGCGCAACACATGTCCCATGTGAAGATATGCGACTTGATGGCGCCGAACGATATCTATTCGCCAACGAAACAGACTGATGAAATATTTTGTTTCCTCCAATCGACGTGCAGACTCTTTCGTGCTGTTGGGCGGGAAGCTCATGCCAGAACTGCGGCGTATGCAACTCGACCAATTGTTGTTGGGTCGAAAGCTCTTGAGGGCGTGAGTACGCCAGCAACACTATCGGGGCCGGCGGTTGCTGCCAGCCCTGCGGGAAGGCTTGGTTCTCGGGGTCATAGTTATGGCCTCAGGGCGTCGGCTGAGCAGGCATCTCGTGAGCCGAGGGGTAAACTGGCTCATAAGTAGTCCAGACGCCATCTTGCTTCCTGGTGCTCAAGACGAAGAGGATTATAAGGGTGGTGAAGGTGGGCCAGAAGTTGAAAATGACGTCAAGTATAGCGAAGGTTCCATGACCCTGGAATTGGGGCACTCGCTGACTCTTGTTCTCCTTCTAACGGCCGAGCCTGGCTGCTAGGATAACAACTTCTCTACAGCCTCAAACCAGAGGATATGACCCGTCGACCTCGTTGAAGAAATTTAAAACCTGGATTACAGAGTTCGTCAGTCCAGTGGCGTCAATGTACGCAGTCCGGGGCATGTCTGGGTCATACGCACCGAAGAGTCAAGGTCAAGCCAATCGGTCGGCTGCCACTGACTTAGAAGGTTTGAGGTCGATTGAAACTCGTCTGGGTCGCTTGCACGAATAGTAGGCTCGGGCATGTTGGTGGTGGCCATGTTGGCGTCCAGACACCGTCTCGATGCGGACTGTTGTCCAGTCGCTGCTTCTGGCGCTTGAGCTGCTGCGTCGCAGTGTCGACTTTGCTTGGCCTCCAGTCTTAGTTCCTCAAGGATGATGCCATACCTTCTGCTCAAAGATTCATCTGGTAACGATTGGGTAAGATATCCTTGGCAGCGCTCTGCCAAAGCGAGTAACGCAGAGTTGCGCTGTTTATCAGGGAAAGATGTTGACCTGTGCTGGATTTCCCAGACGTATACCACGGCCAAGGCACAAAATGCTACGTATGGCGTCCACCAGAGAGAGTGAAATAGAGACCCGTCCGAGACCATGTGTTCGACTGTCTCTAGGGCCATCTTTGCTCCGCCCATGCAATCTTCCACACGCCTTTCGGTCTCGAGAGAATCGGTTGGTATCGCGTTCTCAAGAAGAAAAGGTCGATTTGCATGCATCACCGCGTGACTGTAGGCCAGCTTCAGAGCCATACACTGTCTGCGGAAACCCGGGACTAGGCTCGAGGGACGAACAGAGCCAAGATGCGGTGGTAGCTCATGAAGCCACTCGCGAAGCATCCCCGTGTAACTCTCCGCGAGGGGAAGGCGTTCTGCGTCCGATGTAATCTGCAATGAGTATACATCTCGGGATATACCTCCAATAATTCGGGCGATGCTATCACCAACAAGTTGTTAACGCGGTCAGTCACGATGCAATACCAACAAAGCTGGGAAGTTCCTCATGTGCTGCACCTACCGAGCATGGAAGATGAGAGAGTCGACATTGCAGTCTGTCCTAGGTTCTGTGTCCGCTGGCCCTTCCGATGTCATATCCTCGTCGTTTACGAGGTCAGGGAAGTCTTGGTTGATCTCGTCGTCGTGAAGGAACCGAGGGCGGCCAAACACGACTGCTAGGTACTTGTCAATCGTGTATACGACCCAGAATGTTCTCCTGGAGCATTGTGTTGCAATATAATCGCCGCAGCCGGTCATCCCTGGCCCGCTGCCCTGCTTTGTCGCCTTCCTGTGCAGACCAAGAGCAGACAGTATAGTTATGACGGTGCCGAAGATGTACCAGGCCTCGTTCATCCGTGATGTTTGGAGAAGATAGAGAACTTGTAAGACCCGAGATTGGACAGATTCTAGTTTCGGATATCCGGTTTCCATTTGTGAGAGTCTTCTGGCATTCTCGAAGTACAGCTCACTCAGCTGTATAGCGGACGCCACACCATTTCGATCGCCAACGCCAGCGCTCGAGTCGTGATTCAACAACTTGCTTTTCCTAAGAATCGCAATAGCAAAGATACATGAAATAAGCGATACTTTCGCATGTCCGACTTCATTTTCGGGCCGCCGTCCGGCCTGCGCGCTGCTCAAGACGCTGTCGCGTATCGCTCGACAAGTCTGACGATGCAGCAATCGATAGGTCACCACGCAGTTATCAAAGTAGTAATCCAAGTACGCAGTAGCTTCTTCGGTATCGCGAAAGTCGATGCAAGCTTTATTAGCGGTTTTGAACGGTCGATCCCCGGCGCAGGTTAAGGATTGCTGCTGCTCCGGAGTCGTGAGAAGGGATGGCAACGTGCTGCGAGTCTGCAAGGCAAGTCGTCGCCACGCGCGGTGCATGAAGTTGAGATTTGAGGTGGAGTCCACGATCTGTCCTTCAATTTCAGTAGACTCGAGCTGGGAATGCTCGCTGACTGCTGTTACACCGATCGGCGTCCCGATGCCGCCAGTCTGTCCGCACTCTGCTCGCGGTCCGGGAGCCGTGGTATGATGTGCGCCACTTGGGCTTGGGTTCCTGGAAAACTTCTCAGAATACACACTCCAATCGTGATAAATGCCCTTACCCAGAACTTGGCGCGTAGTTAGTGGAGAGCTGATTAGGTCGCAGATCTGGGGCCCTCGGCGGTGTCGGGGGCCGGCCACGGCGGTAAAGGGAATGATACTGGCAAGCCAGTTCTCTCTTGGAGCATATGGTACAGGGAACAGTACCGGAGCATTTGAGCTTCTTCGACTTGCAATAATCACAGGCTCTGCTGACCTTTCCAGACTTCCGGGAACCGGATATGGAGTCGGGTCCAGTTCGAGAGCTCTCCGACCGCCGCTTACGACCCGTGTCAAGGATCGATAGCGATACGGCTGAGTTACCTCCAGTTGTTGACTTGGGCGATTTTCCGGCCATTTCCAGTGGGGATGGCATACTGGACGGCGGCCTCTTGTTCTGGGGCTGTTCGATGCTCAGCGTTGATCGTAGTCATTTCGGAAATGTAGATGCCGGAGGTGAATGAGCCAGTCCGGAAATGCAAGCGGGGTTTCGCCATTCAGCCGGCAGTAACAGGCTACAGCTCGGAGAGCTTCCCCGCCAAACCCCTTCAATACCCTCAGCATTGTTCGTACAACACGCAGATATGATGGACGGTCTCAAAGACAATACGAAAATTTGGCAGAATTCTAGTCAGAACTAGCATGTTACGAGGGGTTTTCCCAATTACGCAATTTTGCTCAAGGCAGCTTCCGAGACCGCGCCATGAATTTCCTCCTCCGCTCCATCAGGCAACGGCATTAGCGGGGATCGCACTGTAGCGTGAGACAGCACACCACGAGCGACCAGCGCATGCTTCAGCGCCACCGTACCCTCCATGTGCGAGCCGCGATGATAGATCGACTTGGTAATGGGTAGTAACTGGTCATGGATCTCCCGTGCCCTTTTGTAATCCTTGGCCTTCCCCGCGGCAATGAGGTCAATCAGCAGCTCTGGTGCAACATTTCCGTATCCAACGAGCATCCCGTCCACGTCGAAGGCCGTATGCAGAAGGTATTCGTCGTGGCAGGTAAGAACGGGGACGTGGGGCCGCTCTCGTCTGAACACCGGAATCTCAGTATCCCAGCGGCGCATATTCCGGACCCCATTCTTCATGGCAATGACTCCTGGCTGCGCCGCGATGTCGAGGAGGGTTTGGAGGTTGTAATTGGCTTTCGTGTTGTCCGGATATTGGAACAGGATCAACGGTAGCTGAGAAACTTCGAAAACCCTCTTGTACCTGTCCTGAGGTGCGCCAGGTTGATAGCCAAATCGGAGCCACCCATGCGACGGGTACAAGAGCCCAGCCTGTGCTCCCGCATCCTTGGCGCGCTTCGCTTCGAGGGCTGCGACCTCAGTTCCCTCTCCGGTGATCCCAGCAATGATGGGAAGGCGATTGTTCACTGCTCGAACAAAAGCCTTGATCACATCGACCTGCTCCTGCTGCGTAAGAAAGGTGCCCTCTCCCGCATGGCCAAGGACCACGAGACCCTTAACACCTTTGATGCTGCCGAGCCAGGAGCCTAGTCGCCGGATTGCCTCATAATCGACCTGGCCGTCCCGAGTGAAGGGAGTCACCGGTGCTGGAACCAAACCTTTCAAGTCGATGGACATTGTGTGTGGGAGAAGTGGCGAGTGGTAGGAGATTGATAGCGCTGTGAGTGCATATGGTTATAAGCCTCTAACCATGTGAGATTTGCTTGACATCCAATCTTTTATAGGCATTTACGTCGTCCTGGCTGATGATAATCCGGATCGAAATCCGAGGTTTGTGGCCGAGGCTGCGACCGGAGCTCCCAAACCAGTTGACCGTATCATCAGACGGAGAATTGGAGTCAATGTCCCGAATCGAGGTTACACGGAATGACTATAGTTATTCTGTCCCCGCGGGCATAGCGCTCTAGGCTGTCTGATGGTAAAGCCTAGAATCTGGATATCCGAGAACGCGATCCGGATTCCTGTACATTTCCGGGTTTCCGGGACGCTTCCGTGGTTGGCTTCGGCACAGTTGTGCCTGTGGCGTCCAATAGCACAGCGCTCCCTAGCGTTTTGTGTGCGATTTCGGCATCTGAGGCAATGCTCCGCTATTACGCAGTACCCCGTAATCCCCAGATTATCCCCAGAATCCCCGGAGTTCTCACCCGTTCATTGACCTTTGCCCACGTCTAGAATCCTGGCTCTCCGTCTTGCCGGTCGTACTGCTGGCCAGGCCCGTCTGCTATATATTCTACGGGCGTGGCACTCGATACGTCGACATGAGCAACTGATCCCTCCATAGCCACCTCGCACGAGGTGACTGCTTGCCCAATACTTTCTACAATATGCCAACAAAAGAGTCACCACGCGACATGGAGCAGTCTTCAGTCGAGAAAGGCATGGGTATGTATGAGGAACATGAGGCGGATGTTCGTGGCTTGCCTCGAGATGACCTCGACTTCCTCGAGGGCTTCTCCGAAAAGAGGAAGAAGGTCATTCGCAAAGTGGACGTAAGTCAGACCCTTGATGATCTGTGCCCAGATTCTGACCAAGCACTAGTGGAGGCTGGTTCCCATGCTCGTGCTTCTATACTTGATGGCCTATCTCGACAAGACCAATATCGGTATGACCGCGGTTGCCTTCTTCCAACCATGTAAGGTTCACCGGTTCGACTAACGCATGCTTAGGCAACGCAAAGATTGAAGGTCTTACGACAGATCTTGGTCTAAAGGGAATTGAGTATAATGTCGTCGTTGCTATCTTCTTCATTCCCTTCGTACTTTGTGGTAGGCTGTCGCGCTCTGAACTTGGATCCTCGCCAGTCCCGTTGCTCGGCTTCTAATTCGTCTTGCAGAAATTCCATCAAACATGATTCTTCACAAGTTTAAGCGACCCTCCTGGTACATCGGCGGTATTGTTTTCGTCTGGGGCTCCATCATGACTTTGACGGGCATAGTACAAAACTATGCTGGCCTTCTAGCGGTCAGATTCCTGCTTGGGATTTTCGAGTCAGTCTCAAGTTTCGCTGGTACGAGGGCCACTCATCACTCGCTGACACTTCGTTAGAGCTGGCTTCCTCCCTGGAGCGATACTGATCATCTCGAACTGGTACCTACCGAATGAGACGCAGGTTCGTGTGGCCATACTCTATACTTCTGCCGCAACCGGTGGCGCATTCTCCGGTCTACTTGCCTTCGCAATTGCCAAGATGGACGGCCTCGCAGGTCTCGAAGGCTGGCGCTGGATCTTCATCCTTGAGGGAATATTCACCGCCGTTGTCGGCGTGATGTGCTTCTTTCTTTTGTGCGACTCCCCCGCCTTGTCGACTAGCTGGCTCGATGCAGAAGAAATCCGCTACCTGGAACTGAGGCAATTGAACCGTCGAGTCGTTAGGCCAGGGGAATACCGCGATTCCGACACTCACTTCAACCTAGCCTTGTTCAAGGACATCTTGACGGACTACAAGATGTACTTGCTCATCTTTGCGAACTGGTCGAATGCCGTCCCCAACTACGCCATGAAGTTCACTATGCCCAGCATTCTCAAAGGCATGCACTATACGTCTTCCGATGCTCAACTTCTGACAATACCTCCATATGCTGTGGGAGCCATTTCGGCATACGCATTTGCCATTTTTGCCGACAAGTACTCTTGGAGATTCCCGTTCATTGCCGGGCCCCAATGTTGTCTCATAACAGCCTTTGCGATTTTGTTCGCGAAGTCATCAGACGTGGAGAATAACATCGCTGTCTGCTACTTCGCAGTCTGTCTTGCCACCTTTGGGTGCGTATGATCCATGTCTGCGTCAAGATTGCGAAGGCACACAGAGCTGACGGGTCGCAGGATGTATCCGATTCTGCCAGGCGTGAACGCCTGGAACGTGGCGAACACACCGGACCCCACGAAAAGATCCATCAGTATTGGCTTCTTGGTGTGCGTCGGCAACATTGGCGGTCTCATCGGGTCGTATATTTACTTGGACAAAGAAGCACCGAAGTATCCTACTGGCTACGGAACGTCACTAGCCTTTGCAACGGCCGGACTTGTAGCAGCGACGGTCCTGGAACTGCTCCTGAAGAGGGCCAACGCTAGAAAGGCCATGGTAACTGAGGAAGAGTTAAGAACGAGGTTCACAGACGAGGAACTCGAGCGCATGGGCGAGAAAAGCCCCTTGTTTAAGTATGCCTTGTAGGGAGGAACTGGGAATGAGGCATCTGCATATAGTGTGGGGCAGGTATTGTTTCGAAGAAAGGGTCTAAACGCCTGTTCGCAATGGGGCAAGGTAGCTCCCGCTGGCATAGAAAGCCTCCTCGCTACCTCTCGAGTTTCGTTGGCGCCGCAATCCTTTCGTGGCCCCCGTGCCTTCATCCTCTTAGTTTGGCTGTGACGTCGCCCAAGTCTAGGTCGCGCACCTTGCATCGGTGTATCAGGTAGCAACCCTGTAAACACAGAGCTCGAGGCTAAGTAATGCCCACTCTCCTAGTACGGGAGGGTAAGGATTATCGGTCCGCGTAGAGGTGCAGACTCGCAGCTTACCTACGGCAAATGTCCCGCAGGTGAAACAGAACATGGCTGTCCTTCCGTGGTGCCCAAGGGGCAATTACAAGCTGCACGTGGATTGCATGCCGCCTGTTTTTGAACCAGTGGACAAAATGGCATGATGCGGCTGACCACTAAGTGCTGGACAAGCTTTATCGCCCCCGTATGACCTTCAGCCTTGGTGGTTTCCCTCGAATGTCAAGCTTGAAAATAAACTTTCGATGACCCGTTGGGCGGGCCGAGACCATGCCACTCTGCGCCACCGAACCCGCCCAAAATGTCGCCCGTTCATTAACGAGGGAATTGACAGGGCTATAAACCACGTCATCATCGTGCCATGACCTCCATCGTCTGCATTGACTCTATGTTCCTAGATTCGAAGTGGACCAAACCATGGCAGCCAGAGAACTCGTCGTTGTGGTGCTCAACCAGACCAATGAAGAACTCATCATGGACCGCGAGTCCCTGCATCTCGAGCAGGGGGAGTGGATGACGGGCACTCCCGAGTCGCAGCCTCCAGAGGAGATTCGTGCCGGGGAGAGTGGCATGTGGCGCTGCAAGTCACCCCACCTCGGATCCGGCACGACCGGCTCAGTTAAATACCGAATCGCCGGGTACGGACCTCGAGACAAGCTCATGTTTTCCTGGGACGTTCGCTACGTGGGACCTAGCAAATTCGGCCACGGGAGCGAGTCGGATGAGTTTACCATCAGAGTCATGGGTGGAAGCGGGAGACAGGCCGTTGCGGTATTCGTTGTCGGTACGCAAGGCGAATCCTTCCTCTCGTGCTTCCCTTCAAGAAACAGACATCTAATGGGACTTTTTCCAGAGCCGGTGAAATTGTGAGGTTGTGAATTTAGGCGCGTTCGGACTTTAGGCGGAATTGTCACAAGTCAACATAAAGGCTTGCAGCTGGTTGCGAGACATCAACTTCAATTGATCTTCAGCAGGCACTCAACTAATATGTCACTATACCAACATGTTTACAAGCCGGCCCTTTGCAATTGCATGGTAGCCTATGCATTGAGGTTGAGAGGCGAGACGCAAGAGAACGAGTTCAGTTGTGGCTCCTTGAATGCCTCGATCATCCCTGAACCCAAAGTTGTCAGTGGGGTCAGGTTGCTCTCGCGCCCCCTATAAGCAGGGCCTTCGGGGCACTCACCTTGCACTGCCGCGTACATTCCCAAGCCACACATCGACAAGGATGCAAAGAAGTAAATGACGTGCCAGACATTGAGGGCGACTTGAAGCGGACCGCCGCTGCGGAAACCTCGCATCCACCGTTGCAGCGTTGACCCTCCGCGTGTGACCTGTCCGGTGCTTGGGTCAAATCCCTCGCCAATTTCGCTGCGAACAGCGTGGCGCTGAATGTCGAATCCAAGCGCGAAGAGCGGGGGCAACGTATAGGTGAGGTTGAGTAGCGTAGAAGCCGACATGACGCTGATGAAGCCGAAATAGTCCGGGATCGCGGCCGCAATGATGAACGCAGTCGACCACCAGAGCGGTACAATGGATGCGTAAATGAGCTTTCCTTTCCTCGTCACCAGTGGCGGCGCATTGAAGATGTCCAAGAGAATGTTGTTGTACACAACCTTGATGCCAATGTTGCCGTACAAACCAGCGGCAATGAGACCAGCCACGAGGGAAATGCAGTTGCCGACGGTCTGCCAGGCGTAGGTACTCACACCCTGGAAGCTTGGGTTGAAGCTATACTGGCCTTGGAAGTGGTAGACGAAGCATCCGTAGACGAGATACGCCGTGTAAATGAACAACTGGGCACCCCACATCGCCTTGAGGAAGTCCCTGGGTCGCTTCATCTCGGCCAGAAACTCCACAAATAGCTGAGCGCCTGCATAGGCCAGCACCCCAGATAGCAAGCCGTTGATTGAGCCGACCAGGCCGCCCGGCGGTAGACCAGTGTAGTGCATGATGGGCGGGTAGTTGCCGTCTTTGTCGGGGGTGATTGTGCTTTTGTCAACAGCACTGCCCGCGGAGCCCAGCGTCGCGATCGCGAAATTGGGTTCAGAATTCGCAATTACGCCCATGGATATGAAGATGGTCAAAAGGTTCATCCAAATGGCGAGCGTAGCCACCCAGCCGTACGCTTTTAGCGTCCGAATTTGTGTCAGGAAGAATCCTGCCACGACGAACAGAATCGGGCAGACAACATAGCAAAGTCGAAACTTCGAGATCTCCGATATGTTTTGGCCGAAGAGAATTGTAACTTGTCCCAGAAGGAGAAGGAGCGCGATTGCTTGAAGGAAGTTGGTTATGTGCCGAACGGCTGTGCCCCAGGTGCGGAACCCCAGATCACCGTAGTTTCGAGCCGGGAACTCGTAGCTGTCGATGCCGATGAACACTCTCCAGATCAGGTAACCCGAGTAACCTGCGAAGAAACCGAATATGGTATAGAAAGCGATACCTGTTTCACATGAGCTAGTGCTTAGAAGTCGGAATTGTGGTCGCCTACCTGGACCCCATCCCAACGTGCCCAGCGAGAACGCGACCGGAAACGGGCCTAGGATGTCGGTAGTGATCAAGTAGAAGCCTCATGCCAAATCATGTTAGCGACTGAAAGAGTATTGGTAACGTGACAAGACTACTCACAGGCACCACCCGACGCCGTTCTGAAGGCGCGACTTGCATTGGTCCATTCCTCGTCGGTGATTTCAAGGCGATTGGCACGGTTTGCCAGTTCTTCTTCTGTGGGCATGCGAGCTGCTGCTTGCGTGCTTGCGTCACCTTCTCCACTGGGAGTCTTCTTCTTCATCACGAGGGCCTTCCAGTTGGTCTTGGGAGCCTCGAGCGTCAACTCCTCCTCGCGCGTCTTCTTCGCGTAGTAGTGATATTCCTCGAAGGTGACATCGGGATCGTGGACCTTGCGCAACTGCGGCCTGACGTAGTTGAAGAGCGCCGTTTCCGCCTTGCCAGGCACTCGGTCGCCCTTCTCCGACGGGCCGACCGCTTCTTGCTTCGTAGCGCCATCCATTCTTGCAGTGACTTACAAGTATCGTGCAGGTCAAGACCGAAGGCGTTGGAGTGTTGCCAAGCCAGGATCTGAAACGAGAGCGAGAAGAGGGCGATTAATTATAGGACTTCAAATCGCGGCGGATGACCAGAAAGGAAGGCGATCGCCATCGACATCATCATTCCTGAACCTTGTGTCACTTGAGACCTGCAGGCGCCAAAGGGTCCTGCTATTTTTCCGAACATGGTTGTTTCGGCTGTAACGGCACACAAGTGCCAGTTATCGCCATGGAAGGGTCGCATCCCATTGTCACGCCGAAGCGCCCACGTTCAATCATAAGCTTATCTACACCAAGTGAGGATGCACGCGGCGGGTACCTGTTCCAGAATACTGCATGCTTGTACATGTCTATAGTGATCACCCCTTCGGCGGTTTCGGCAACGATTGAGCTCGACATCGCCAGCATGAGACTTGAAGCAGTTTTCAACATGAAGTTCTATACGCGGAACGGGATCAGACGGCAGGCGGCGCCACCTCGCGGAGGCCCGTGGGGACTCCGCACCCGGAAGTAATACTTCCTGAACCAGGCTTCTAGAATTCGGCACACTATGCCGACCTGCACACAACCAGGTGCTTCGCGAAACCGGTTGACGGAAGCCACGGCATCAGTGGTGACAGTCCCCGGCATTTCTATGGAGGCACCGTGGACAGCATCCGGCAGCGACGGTGGGAGACATCGGGATATCCGACAAGCTGGGCTGTCTTCGCAAGGCGCCCTCCTACCCCGCTCGTCAGCAGTGAGCACCGGGCTCGGAAGTCGGATGTCGGGAGGGCAGGACTTGAGGCGACCAGTGGCTGGCATCAACCTGTTGCTGACCTTGGAGGCAACCGCGCCGATCGCGGCATTCTCCATTCAATTCGGGCCGCATTTGGAGATTCGCCATTGCAACTCTTGCAAAGCCGTCACTTCTATGTGTCTCAGCCCTGATTATTTGACGCTCAACGCCACAGTCGTCCACTTTTCGTCAATACTGCAGGCTTCAGTTGCACCATGGCGCCAGCCTTTGGAACAGGCGCCGAGTGAGTTTGTCAATCACCAAACTTTCGCCGAGACCTGGCTAACATGTTTGCGACATAGGTTGCCCCTGTCCCTGGACAAGTTTCGGGACATGGTGGCCGGTCGCGGGTTTTCTATGGAGCCCCAAGACGAGCTTGACTACCTCGCAATCATTCGTGATTTGGAGAAGGATGTGAAGCAAGTCCTTTCGCTTCCAGAGTACTTTGACCCCCGCCTGACTCCCGTATCAGGGTCAGAGGAGTTTCGGGCCTTCGCCAGGCCGGAGCCGAGTGAGAATCCGCTCAATGCATGGAGTCACAAGGTACCGTGCCCTGCGCCGATTCGTAGCGCCGCGTAGTTCTATTAACAGAGCATAGTTCCATCTTCATAGTCCCATCGCTGGCGATGACGGGCTGCTAGCTCATCGGTCGATCTCTGTCAAGGACACAATAAGCGTCGCTGGAATCCCAATGACATGCGGTACGCAATCGTTCCATCTCTCCAGCGACAAGCCGTACCCCGTGCCCGACATCGACGCACCTGTCGTCGCCCGGGTTTTGGAGGCAGGTGGTGTGATCAAAGGAACAGCGACATGCGAAAACTACTGCGTGTCTCTGGCTTCCTTCACGAGCGCCACTGGTCCTGTCGATAATCCGTGGCTGAAGGGCCACTCGGCCGGTGGAAGCAGCAGCGGGTGCGCAGCCCTCGTCGCCGTGCAAGTGGTCCGACGATGGAGGGAGAGGAAGGGCTTGCCCACCGATGACCTCGGCGAGGGCGTTGATCTCGCCGTCGGGACTGATCAGGCGGGTAGCATACGGACGGTATGTATGGACCTGATCCAGCGATCATGGGGCGCTTCCATCTGCTAGTAACGGGTCGAAGCTGAGTGTACTAACGTGTCGTACCATGAAGCCGGCGGGTTACTGCGGAATTTACGGCCTCAAGCCGACACATGGCCTCGTGCCGTATACTGGGATAGCAGGACTCCACCCTATGATCGATTTTGCCGGCCCCATGGCCGCCTCGATACAGGATACCGCGATTCTCCTTGGCGCCCTAGCGGGATACGATGGGATAGACCACCGCATGACACCCGAGACACCGTTGCGCGCCAATGTTCCTAAATACCATGACATCCTCGACGCGGCGATATCCTCAAGGTCCAAGGCTGGAGAATGGACCGCGAGCACTGCAGCCAAAGGGCTGCGCGTAGGTGTGCTGAAGGAGGCCTTTGAGGTGTTCAAGATGGACGCAGAGGTTGAAAAGGTCATACGAGACGCGGCCGCAAGATTCGCCCAGCTCGGCGCCGTCGTGGACGAGGTCTCCATCCCACTCCATGCTGTGGGTAGGGCGATTTGGGTCACGACAAACAGAGGCCACATGGCCGACACGTTACTCGGCAACAAACCCAGCGAATTGCTCTCGCATCCGATGCCGAATCTGAGCGCGCCCAAGCCCGACCAGAAGTGGTTCGACACCATGACCAAGTCCAATCCCGCAGTCGTCAACACGCTGCTCTTTGGCTCCTACTTCTCAGAGCTCCCGCATAGCGTCAGGGCAAAATCGATGATGCACGTGCACCAGCTTCGTGCCGCGTACGACGACGCCTTGGACAAGTACGACGTTCTACTCACGCCTGTGACGGCCACCGTGGCACCACCTCACGCGCCCGCAGACGACAGCGCGTTCGTCAGATACTATGCCGCAGTCGGGCACGGCGCCAACACGTCGCCATTCAACATCACTGGACACCCCGCGCTCTCCATGCCGGTGGGTTGGGGTACCGCAAAGGATGGGGAGAGCAAGCTCCCCGTTGCCATGCAGCTTGTGGGCAGGAGGTGGGACGAGTCTGGCATCTTGCTCGCGGCGGCTGCGTGGGAGGTTGGGGGGCATGGGCTGGACGAATGAGCCTCCCTGACGGGGTCTAAAGGAAACGCCATTTATTAGAAGCTCAATGTAGATGAGACATAGATAGAATCGCGGTGATCAAAGCTATAGAAGGATGTTGGTAGACATTTCCGGCGAATTGGGTCGAGCCAGCGACACTCCGCCAGAGTGCATCATGACGTGCAACGGAGCGCCTCAATGGCATTCAGTAATTTGGCCGCGCTGCTTTGCGCCTCTTCAAAATCTTGTGAATCCAGAGCGAAATGAGGCCCACGGCGACTGCGATACAGCGCTGTTAGCGTCGCGTCTCACCGAGACACCGCGGGGCTTGGGGGCCTGTCTCACCGATGAAGACAATGCAGAACACCACAATTACGCCAGCTTCTTGGGAGGCCCAGTTCCGTTTTGCGAGGAGATTGAGGGTCTGCGGCCCGGCGAGAGAGGTGTCAATGGCAGCCATTGTTGCTGCGAGCGATGTGCGAGCTGGAGTCTGGTTCGCGATGGCGGATTGCTCGGAGGCGTCGGGCTTCAATTAAGGATCGGTGACGATGCGGTCGGTCCCGTTCCTGGCCCTGGACAATCTCCCGCAATCGAGATTCAGTCGCTGAGGATTCGCTGCAGACAAAAGGACCGCGTCGTATTTGCAGCGGTGCCGAGCCCAGATCGCGCCCTGCTTGTATGTCGAGTGGAGGTCTGGTGAGATTGACAATGGCAGGGGAAGGGGATCAACGGCGATGAGGGATTTCGCAAGGTCTTATGGTGACGCCCGAGGGATACCACCCGAAGCCGGCAATGGCGGCTTCGAAAGCTCGGGGGAGTGGGTGTCAAGCTCTGGCATCTTGCCGTGTTCCCTGCTGCATATGGATTGGCATCAACAAGCGTTGGCGACTCGACGCTGACTGACACCCGTGGACGGAGCTGGCGGGGTACCCACACGCCGAACATGATTGGAAACCTTGGCCAGCCAGGTCGACTCCCAATGCACGTTTTGCGCGAGGGGAGCGGCTAGGAGCTGTGACGGGCGGGCTGGCGAAGGTTGCTGTTAGTCGTCGCCGCGAGAGCTAACCACCACATGCCTCGCGAGCCGGGGCACCACCTCGCGCCTCACTGGCGTCGGGCGTCTGGTCGCTGGCGTCCTGGCCCCACTCCTCCTTCTCCCGGCTCCCATCGTCCCATTGCTGGGGGCTTTGCCGTTCTCGGCGGCGGGTGGTTTGGACGTCACGTCACCCATTCCGGCACGCACCCTGCGAGTCACGGTCGGGGCCAAACTCGCCACGGGCAATCAGGAAACGGACGTGCCCGTGCTCTGCGTTTCTTCACCGCGGCGGGGTCTGCAGTAGTCTGGCGAGCCCCCGTCCGTCGCTGATCAGCTTGCCTTTCGGCGCCCGGGGCCGTGGCCATGCCCACGCCCGGTTTGTCTGCCCCCCCTTCGGCGTTTATGGCGTCGAGCGCATACGTTCTTTTGACGATGGAATTCCGTTGCGACCCCCAGCGCGCCCAGCGCATCAGGGTCGCCCGGCTAAGCTGGCGCCAGTGGGCGCGCCCCCCATTCTTTTGATGGTGCGGTTATCTCGGCATAAGAGCCCACCCGCGATGGTGTGGTCTGCCAGCACCCGTCAATGGTCTGAGTCTCATGATGGGCAGCTCGCGCCTCGACGCTTACAGCTGTAAACTCTCCGGGACTCGGGACGGAGAATAAAGAGCGAGCAGCGCCTCCCCGTCCGCAAAGACGCTGTGATTGTCACAGCAACTGGTCGCACATGTCCCGAGCCGCCAGACGCTGCCCTCTGCGTCTCCCACAGTCTCCTACAGTCTCAAGCTCCGTGTAAGCCATGCCTGCCTTATTCCACCGCCGCAAGACCGGTTCCGCGGGCGCCGGCGACATCGAGGCCCCGCCGCCGGGCGACCCGTCCAGCAGCTCCGCTGTAAACAATGCCGATAACCTAGGCGAGTTTGAGGCATTGGACCGCTACATTAGCACGTACCGCGAGGATGGCGCCAAAGAAGATGACGATGCGGCAAGTAAGCGCCGCGTTCGACGGTGGTGGCAGTTTTGGAAGACCGGCGCCGTTGAGCCTGTCGAAGTCGCTCCCAAGCCCGACAACACTGTGCCAGAGGCTTGGCTCACCACCGACATTCACACGGGCATCAGCACCTCCGATATAGAAGAGCGCAGGAAGATGTATGGGTGGAACGAATTGACGGCCGAAAAGGAAAACCTCTTCGTCAAGTTCCTGAGTTACTTCACCGGCCCTATCCTATATGGTGAGTCCGTCCGTCCCGCACTGCTTGGTTGCTCGCCTAACATGCCGGATTACAGTCATGGAAATTGCTGCATTGCTCGCTCTCGGCTTAAGTGACTGGATCGACTTTGGAGTCATCGTGGCCATCCTGCTCCTCAACGCCTTCGTCGGCTTCTACCAAGAGAAGCAAGCCGCGGATGTCGTTGCTAGCCTGAAGGGAGACATCGCGATGCGATGCACTGCCGTTCGAGATGGGCGAGAGCAGATCATCCTGGCCCGAGAGCTGGTTCCTGGAGACATTGTAAGCCTATCCTGCGAGCTTGACACTATACACATCACATCTGCTAACGACGAGGTCTCAATAGATCTTGGTCCAAGAAGGCGACACTGTAGCCGCTGATGCGCGGCTCGTTTGCGATTACAACCGCCCGGACGACTTTGAGATATATCTGCGCCTCAGGGCCGAAGACCGCCTGGGACATGTCAGCGACGAAGCAGGCGACGCCGACGACGACAAGGATGAGCGAGAACGCCGCGCCTCGGTAATCTCGCAGGCGAACAAGGACTTCCGCAGCACCCCCCTCGTGGCCGTCGACCAGTCGGCCATCACCGGTGAGTCCCTGGCCGTCGATAAGTACCTCAGCGACCTCGTCTACTACACCACGGGCTGCAAGCGCGGAAAGTCGTACGCCATCGTCGTCAACACGGCCAAGCACTCCTTCGTCGGCCGCACAGCGGAGCTCGTCCAGGGGGCAGAGGACCAGGGCCACTTCAAGGCCGTCATGAACAATATCGGCACGACGCTGCTCATTCTGGTCATGTTCTGGATCCTCGCGGCATGGATTGGCGGCTTCTTTCACAATCTTGGGGTTGCGGAGCCCGACTCGCAGAATCTGCTTCACTATGCACTTATCCTGCTCATCATTGGAGTGCCCGTTGGTCTTCCTGTCGTCACAACGACCACGTTGGCTGTCGGCGCGGCGTATCTTGCCAAACAAAAGGCTATTGTTCAGAAGCTTACGGCCATTGAGTCGCTTGCTGTAAGTAAAACTCCCCAGTATAGCGATCTTGAGTGTTGTGTGGGTTAGTCAGGCTGCCCCAAGGCTCTTAGGCCCACGTCTCCGCGGGTTGTGCCAACAGCTTGTTCTCCCCGCCACCAAACCCTGCTGCTCATTGAGCTTCAGTCCCCGTACTGATTCGCAGACTATTGACACTATAAATACAGGGTGTCGATATTCTTTGCTCCGACAAAACCGGTACACTCACGGCCAACAAGCTCAGCATCCGCGACCCCTATGTCGCGGAAGGTCAGGATGAGAACTGGATGATGGCGGTCGCAGTGCTCGCCTCCTCGCACAACCTGAAGTCCCTCGATCCTATTGACAAAGTCACTATTTTGACTCTCAAACGGTACCCTGGAGCTCGCGAGATTCTTCAGCAAGGTTGGGTCAGCGAGAAGTTCACGCCCTTTGACCCCGTCTCGAAGCGCATTACCAGCGTCTGTCGCCTGGGCAAGGACCGTTTTACTTGCGCTAAGGGGGCCCCACGGGCCATTCTTAAGCTGACTAATTGCTCCGAGGAAACAGCGAACCTCTACAAGGAGAAAGCCCAAGAGTTCGCCCGTCGCGGGTTTCGCTCCCTAGGCGTCGCATACAAGAAGAACGACGACGACTGGACCCTATGCGGTCTTCTGAGCTTTTTTGACCCCCCGCGCGAGGACACTTCACAGACTATCATTGAGGCTGCGCATCTGGGAGTTCCCGTCAAGATGCTTACCGGAGATGCCATTGCAATCGCCAAAGAGACTTGCAAGATGCTTTCCCTCGGAACAAAGGTATACAACTCGGAAAGGCTTATCCACGGAGGCCTCTCTGGAAGCGTACAACACGACTTTGTCGAGCGCGCCGACGGATTCGCAGAGGTTTTCCCAGAACACAAGCACGAGGTCGTGTCTATTTTGCAGAGAAGAGGGCACTTAGTTGCAATGACGGGGGATGGAGTCAATGATGCACCCTCTCTGAAGAAGGCAGACACTGGTATAGCCGTCGAGGGCTCCTCTGAGGCCGCCCAGGCCGCCGCCGACATTGTGTTCCTGGCCCCGGGTCTCAGCACCATCGTTACGGCCATCAAAACTTCGCGACAGATTTTCCAACGCATGAAAGCTTACGTTCAATATCGAATAGCTCTTTGTTTGCATCTGGAGATATACCTGACACTGTCTATGATCATTATCAACGAGACGGTTCAGGTCGATCTGATTGTCTTTCTTGCCCTGTTTGCCGACTTGGCTACGGTGGCAGTGGCATATGACAACGCGCACTGGGAGCCACGACCGGTAGAGTGGCAGCTGCCCAAAATTTGGGTCGTCAGTGTCGTTCTGGGCATCCTCCTGGCTGCGGGAACCTGGATCATGCGCGGAACGATGTATTTGTCCAACGGTGGCATAGTCCAGAACTTCGGAGCGGTCCAGGGCATCCTTTTTCTACAGATCGCACTTACCGAAAACTGGCTCATATTTGTCACGCGTGGAGGCTCAACATGGCCATCCTGGCAGCTCGTGGGAGCCATCCTTGGCGTCGACATAATCGCTACCTTCTTCTGCCTCTTTGGGTGGCTCTCAGGCAGCCCCGAAGTCGACGTCCCATTCGACAGCTTCCCGCAGCGCGCGGATGGTTGGACCGACATCGTCACCGTCGTTGTGATTTGGCTCTACTCCTTTGGCGTCACCGTCTTCATTGCCATTATCTACTTCATCCTTAACAAGATTTCGTGGCTGAACGACCTAGGCCGCAAGGACCGCAAGAGGAAGGACACCGCCATCGAGAACATCATTGGTCATTTGCAGAAGCTTGCCATTGAGCACGAGCGCGATGAGCGGACTGGAAAGAGCCGGTTCCTGCTTTGCGAGAAGGCTGTCGACGACGACGAGGAGCTGTAGCTGGAACGTGTGTTTCTTTTCTCTTTCTTTGGACATATGCACAGTCATGTTGTCTTGTATATTGGAGAGCGACGTCGGACGCGCGAGAGCCGGACGTGCGAGCGACAGACATGCGAGGCGACAGACATGCGAGGGACAGACATGCGAGGGACAGACATGCGAGGAGGTCGTCGGAGGGGCCGAAGATGTCGGCCGCCCCACACGCCCCACCCGGCCCGGCCGCCGCCCGCAATGCCTAAATTTAGTCGGGGTAGCCACGACTTGGTGAAGTCACGGACGTCGCAGCGCGCCATCTCAATCTCAATTGCCTCAAGCAGTTATCATGTCACGCGCTTTAGTCGCGGCTTTATTGATGCCATTAGTTTATAATGCTTCGGCTTTTGCTCTGTCTCTACTGGCGCACACAGCGCTGACAGCGGCACAATTGCGCTGCCAATTGGGCTTGTGTCTCCGTGGCCGGCATGGCCTCCATCCCGAAGCGGCGGCGAAGGCATACAAGGACGATCATTGCCGACAGCTTTGGCGCTGGATTTGAGGGTGGCAATTGAAACGATGCAGTGCACGTAGCATGTCTCTCTTAATCGTCATTCATCGTTGCCTCCACTCCCATTTGAGCCAATATGGGCATGTGTATTTTCGTTGAGGATTAATGTGTAGTGCTATTCGTGGAGCCAACTTTGGCTAGAGCCCACAGTAGCAACGACAGCAACGACAGCAATAAGAGGAATAACAGTAATAACAGTAATAGTAATAGCAGGCAGCGCGCCACTGCAGTCCCATGCCTGCGCAGTAATAAGGCCCATGTCCAATTCATGTCAGTGTGGCGGGCGCGCACCAGAGAGGTCCGCTATATGTACAGTGGATTGGGAGCTGGACCATCTGCTCGACCAAGAGGGGATTGAGTGCTGGATTGACGGCTGGATCGACCGCACAATTGGCCGCACTGTTGCCAGCGGGATTGACTGCTATCTTGGCAGTCAATTCAACAACCGGGCAAAGCGATGAGCAGAAAATATTATGTCCAGCGGGCAGTTTAGTGACGGACGTGCTATTCGTACAGCTTCCCCCGTACAGTGCCAGTTGCCGGCAGGGCCAACCTCCACTGGGACACATCCACAGAGGGGGGGACCAGGCGAAGCTCCGCCTCAAGTTCTCAACGCAACCTCGTGAACCTTCTTCTAGACATTGATTTTGTCGGCCTTGCGAGCGCAGTCGGTGACAGCCAGCTTTGTCGCAAGCTTGGCGCAGTTGGAGATGTTGCTGTACGAGATCTTGGAGGTCTCCGACAGACCCTCGTAGGCCTCGTCACAGGACTTTAGTCCTCAATGTTGGCGACGTCGTCCTCAAGCTTACACAGCAGATCCGCTGCCGACTCGCGCAGCGTCTTGCGGGCCATGCGTAGCTCCTTGGCTAGCTCCTCGTTTCCCCGGCGAACGTGGCAATCCCGATCATCACGGTGTGGTTATTTGGGGGTCAGCTGCCTGGAGCGTGCCCATGCGAGCAAGCTCACGGAGCTGACCAACACGCTCTCCACTGACCGTGCTTACTTGTGCTCATTGCTCAGTGACCCAACCACCGGTCTTGCGGTCGTGCGCGACTCCTGACGATGGACCGCTGCGCCTGTTCCATGTCCGTGCATCTACCTGTGGTGCAAAGCGCATTAAATCTCGAGCACGGCGGCGCCAGTTCGCCGGTATCCTGCTGCACGCTGTGGTTGCAACTGCCATGGGACATGCGCCTTGCATCGTGCCGGGGCCGCTCTAATTCGTCATCTTATCGGTGTCGGGACGACTTATTCCTGAGGTCGGCAACGGCGGCAGGAGTACTGCTGGTCATGGGCCTCATGGCGCGGCAATGTCCTCTTGCGAACTTTACAAATTACCAGCAGGGTTCATTCATGCGTTCGTCTTGTGAAATCAGTGACATTTCTCTGTCATCCAAAGCTGTCCCCATTCCTCCCGAGCGTCGGCCATCAGGCCGACCCATCGAGACGTCGATTGCGATGACAGAAATGTCAGGCTTGAACAGTGGATGCTGGTGACGACGTGCCTGTCGCCGCGGTTGCATCTCAAGGCTCACTGGCATCTTCTTGCCAACCTGCCCGGTGACTAATGATGAAGTGCTAAACGTACCGCAAAGTGTTGGTCCAGAGTTGATCGTGCCTACAGGCCATCCGTTATCTTTAATGCCGAGCTCTTCGGGGAAGGAAAGATTCGCACCATTGGCGCCCATGTTATCTCAGCCCTGAATGGCAGAACCAAGAGAACAGAGTGTGATAGTATAGTATATCCCTCTAGGGAGGTCCCAGCGCTGCGTTTCTTCACGTTCTAGCCAATACCGGTCCTCCTCGGTGAGCTTTGATATGGCCGACCAGGATTCCTTGGTTGGGTTTTGAGCGGCAAGTGCCCTCTGAAGAAGACATCTTTCTTGTCCACGAAGCCACTCTCTTCGCAGACAGCATTTACCTGCGATCTGAGGTTGTCTTTGAAGATGCCCATGAGGGGATTCAGGATTCTTCATGTCCCCAGTCAGTACGATTCGTACATCGAATTCGGCATCTCCCTTCCCCGTCTTTTCCCCCCTCCCCGTAAGTAACGAATACTCACGTTGCGTTGGCGTCTCTAGTATAGTCTCCGCCCCTGTCCTCGATGTGTTCGTTGGGGTCACCCTAGGCATCGACATCATCGCCGTATTTGTTATTGGCAAGCGTTGAAGCCATAGCAAACAAGTATTTTGTATGGATGTGTAAATAGTATTTTCGTCAAGCTGGTCTTGATCCTGATGTCATGGACTCTACTTCGTAAGTGACGACTGTTTCACTGGTCAGGGTTGGAAACAGCCACGGCACTTTATAAACAATGTTCATCAGACAATGTGAACTCACCTCGCTCGCAAAAAGATGCAGTCATATGAGTAGCATGAAGCAGTCAATATTCGCGAGGCCATTAAGCGCTGCTGCTCGTGTCTTTCCTACGGCGCGCTGAAAGTGGTTGGCACTTTGGCGGGTGGTTCCATTCGCGTTACCCCATTCGCGCTTGTGTTGATTCCGATTTTTGACTTTGCCCACCCCCAGGTTCACAACACCAGACATGTGGGGTCTTCCCGGCCGGGAACGTCTGACGGTTGCCGTGCGAGCTGCGTACTTGAGAGGCCAGCCCCTCGTCGCGTCACCTTATCGTTGATGGAGTCTCGTGAGGGCCTGTGCAGGCACAGGGGACGCCCTGCGCAGTCCCCTATCACGCGGCAGTGTTACGTGGTGCGCGAAGAATTTGATAATGCAGATTTTAGTTCGTACTGTAGATTCGTCGACCAATACTTGCTCGCGGCTGATGTCTCTCGTGGCTGTCTTCCAATGTTCCTCTCGATTCTTTCGTGGATCTCATGGCTCTGATGGCCCTCACAGGCTTTGTCCCTCCGGTAACCCTAAATATGGTTTATTACCCACGATGTGGCTACGATGGAGTGGCCTGATCACAGAAAGCTGTCCTGGAACATAGCATACCGCTTGGAAAATAAAGCATTGTGAGAGTTCCATCAATTTTGCTTCAGCGCTGAGGCAATTGAAGCAAGCTAGAGCTCCGAAGAATAACGTTTTAACGATCACCGGAGCTCGGAAGACGGATCTAGGGCGCCGGTGGCAGTTATATGTGCCGTATCGGGACGTTCACGGAGTTCGTGTGCCACCTGACTCGTCCGCTGTCTTGGGAACAATAGTCCGAAAGTCAGAAGATGCGCAATTTTGGCCCATACAGGGCGGTTATCCACATCCTTTTCGCCAACAAGTTCCGTTCCGTCCCGCCCCAAGTAGATATGGTAGTCCTGGGGCAACAGCCGCCCCGGATTCCAAATGTTCCAGAGAGCCGAGTTGATGAGCATAAATGTTGCTTCAAAGACGTAGAAGTAGACCTCATATCGAAAAAGAGGACTAAGCTTTCGAAGTGCGTCGATGTTGGTCAGGTCTTTGTTGGTCGGGCCGACGTGTTCCACGAGGCGATATATACAGCGCAAAAATATAAGCAGCATGCTTGCGTACAACACCAAGAGGATGGTCTTGATGGTTGCAGAACTCATTTTCGCCTGAACACAGCGCCAATGAAAGAGCCCTGCAAGACAGACAAATATTAAGATGACGGCAAGCTGGATGCTGAGCGCGGCAATTGTCAGGTTGCTGCCGAGGGATTGCTGAGCGGAGTCGGCCGACGGATTCGAAGCCAGTGAGACCCCTAGAGCATTGAGAAGCTCTACCGCCGCCATAAGGCCGCCGAAGATACCGAGTACCCTTCCCGCTGGAATGGGGGCCTGATGCGGGACGTAGTAGAATAATCTGCCGAGAACGTGGTAGTTGGCGAGCTCGAGGAGAGGCCTGTCAAATCAGCACAACGTCATCCGACTGATGGTGAGTGCTACTGACGGGCACACGTATATGAAGACTTGGCTGAGGACGAATAGGATCAGCGGCGAGCTGCTGTCCTCCCTATATAGATAGTTGTACGCGCCATACTCGCGCAGTGCGTAGCCAAGGCTGAATAGACACGCCGAGACCAATTGCAACCATGTCAACTTCAACGATCCATAGTGACTGGAGGCGCAAGTCAGCATCATCCATGTTTCATGACCCCCGGTGACGATGTGCTCTTACATGGCTTGCCAGATGAAGAGGCTTGCAGATACGGCGTAGAGTACGGCAAAAATGACAGGTGCCACTTTGTTGGGCGCATAGATGTATAAGCTGTACAAAACTGCGCTTGCGTGTTAGGATAGACCATGCCAGCCATCAGGAATGGTTGCGTACTGGGCTCGCCGTGTGCCATGTTGCTCCTTAGACGCTGGTGCGAAGGCAGACGGACGAAGGTTGTGGTGCCAGAAAAATGAGAGGCGATCGCGGACGAAGTTTTCGAGCTGCGCAATTTTATTCCTTCGCCTTACTTGTAGTCGTTCAGGATCGCCCAAGTCACGTTCAGTTCATGTTTTATTCTTGACCATACGTGTGGACGTAATGTCAACGGTCGTACACGGACGCTTCCCAAATAGGAAAATACGAATGCCAAGACTGGGAGACTCCACAATCCACAAACTGGGACAGCTTAACTTTCAACTGGGCCCCGTGAGAAATCATGGCAAAAACCACAAACTGGTCCAGTCCGTCTACCCGAGAGCGACGAGCTTGCCGCTCGTTACCCTTGCCACGGCCGCCAGTCTGAATGCGGTCATTGTTCTTCAACAAGCTCGAATTGGCTCAAGCCACCGAGGTTGGAGAAAGCAGGAAGGGCATCGTGTTTTGCGAAAGCTGACCGATGGAGTGAGAGGATGACGTCTCAGAAGGAGGGGTGTTGGGGAAGGGCGGGCGTTAATCTCACCAGCCAAAGGAGAGCACGCTCAGTCTGCGTGTGCGGCTGTTCTTGTGCCCCATTTACACCGATGCGGCTTCTCATTCATGACGACGTGTTACGCACCTGCCGGAAAAGACTTCGCATCCCGAACGTTTCTGACTGAAAAGGGTCACCCAAGAAGAATGCGCAAATCACATGCGTGAAGTCACAGCCAGATATCCTACCGGCAAGATTCCAAAGGGTCTCAGGCCGACGGCCGTTACAGCGAAGCACATCCGACAATTCGGTGGGCTGATCTGGCATTCAGCCCCCATTGTTGACCATGCAAGGGACCTCATGCAGATGCATCGCCCGGCATATATATTGGGCCGGAGTAGTAATCGTATGTAGTAGTTGACTCGAATGGCCCATGAGAGAATGATCACGCAAGTAATGCGTACGAGTCCCGGTTGGAGGTCGGTGGTCAATTCGACGACTGTGATCTCAAACTTGTAGGGAGCAAGCTCCTTATCTGTGGGGAAGCAGGTGAGGGGGAACTGGAGAGGCGCTTCGTCTCCAAAGTGGAACTGGGGTCGATCCGCTATCAATTTCGACTCTCCCGTGAGCCAGGATGTCCCAAGCAAGTGCTGATCCGACGGCACAGCCCAATCACGAAACTGGTTCACCTGCCCAAGTGATCACCAGGGGTCAAGGTCCAGACTCCGACGCTAGAGCATGAATCGCGACCGTGGGTGCAGGATGACGGCCTGACCCTTTATTATGCGCGATGGCGCCCTGGAATCCCGTCATGGGTGCATTCGCCCCTCCCCTCTCCTCTTGGCCCGGGTGAACGCCATCACCATGTCCGACGAAAAGACGGCCACCGATGACGCCGCTGGCGCAGAACGCGATGCGCCACAGGTTTCCGAGAACGAAACCGCGCGATTGAACGCGTCGGGCCACGTCCAGGAACTCCGCCAGTCCTTCAGCCTGCTCTCCCTCGCCGGCATTGGCCTCGTTGTCGGCAATGTGTGGCCAGCTATCGGTGGCTCGATCCTTGTGGCCATCTTCAATGGCGGACCGCCGGGCGTCTTGTACGAGTTTATCGCCGTTTCGATCTGCTACTGGAACGTCGCCGCCTCCATCGCCGAGCTCGCCAGCGCGATCCCCTCATCCGCAGGTGTCTACCACTGGGCGTCCGTAACCTCGGGCAGCCGGCGATGGGGCCGACCATTGGGCTTCTTCGCCGGCTGGTGGAATTACTTTGCGTGGATCCTCGGCGCGGCAAGCATGACGAGCATCTTCGGGAACACCATTGTGCAGATGTACGCGGTCATGCACCTCGAGTTCGTCGCCGAGGCGTGGCATGTCTTTGTCGTCTACGTCATCTTCACGTGGGTGTCTTGCGCGGCCGTTTGCTTGGGCAACAAGGCCATGCCAGCGCTCAACAATTTTGGAGTCTTCGCCATCCTCGCTTTCTTCATTGTCACCATCATCGTCGTCACGGTCATGCCCTCGAGTCATGCCACGTCGTCGTTCGTCTGGTCGGACTGGTCCGCCGCGATTGGCTATCCAGACGGCTTCGTCTTCGTTGCCGGGATGTTGAATGGCGCCTATAGTGTCGGTGCAGTCGACGCGGTTACGCATCTGGCGGAGGAGATTCCGCGCCCCGAGCGCAACGTCCCTATTGCACTATTCCTACAGATATCCATTGGATTCGTCACTGGTCTCTCATACCTCATTGCTGTCCTCTACGCCATCAGCGACTACGATCTTCTTTTCACGTCAGCATATCCGATCGCCGAAATTTACAGGCAGGCTACAGGTTCCGGCTCAGGTGCGTGCGGCTTGCTGTCGCTCGTCATGATCTGCATTGGCCTCACTGTCGTTGGCCTTCACATAACGTGCGGTCGCACGCTGTGGACACTCGCCCGCGACGGCGCAACCCCGTTCCCGTCAAAGCTCGCACGCGTCAATCAGAAGCTCGAAGTGCCTGTGGTAACGACCTTTCTATCCGCCTGCCTGATCACGCTTCTGGGCGTGCTCTATGTAGGCAGCACGACCGCGTTCAATGCGTTTGTCGGCAGCTTTATTCTCCTTTCGAGCAGCTCATACTTGGCAGCTATTCTGCCAAATCTGCTCACCGGCCGAAAGAATATCACTTACGGCCCGTTCAGAATGACGGGAATCGTCGGATTCGTTGTCAACGGCATCTCGTGCCTGTACATGCTCGGCTGGGCCGTCGTGTACTGCTTCCCCGCCGCACTTCCAACGAATGCGCAGAGCATGAACTACGCGAGTCTAATCTGGGGCGGATTGACCATATTCGTCACTGCATTTTGGCTTCTCAAGGCAAGGAAGGGATATCAAGGCCCTTCCACAACTGGGCAACGTGGCAGTGTAATACCTGTAGATGCCTAGAGTACGCGGTTCATACTACGGCACAATTGCCTGTGTGCCAAGCCCAACTCTGCAAATAACAACTTCATGATTCCAGCTTCTTGAACAGAACCCGTCCTTCGCTGACTTGGCCTGACCTACTCTCAAAATCGGCCACGAACGCTGCAACTTTGCCGTCGACCCCCAGCTTGAACTCGCCCGCGAAGAACTCCAACGGGATGTTCATGCCACAGAAAAGGAGCTTGTTTTGAACCGCCCAATAGTCACCAGTAGCGTGCTGCATTCGCCATTGCTGGGCCCAGAGGATCTCAGTCCTGTTGGCTACAAGCATAGTCTCCCCTTGCTTGTCCGGATGCGGCTCTGTGAAGAAGTGAACCGTGCCATATCCTTCATTGTAGTATGAGCCAACCAGTTGGGTAGATGGCAGTGTGGGTGGCAGCCGCTGCTCGGGGCGATTGGGAAACAGAATTTGTTCCATGTTTTCGAGATCATGCTGCGCTTTTGCGGATTTCTCCTTGAGGCTACTCGTTGTCAGCGTGTCAATCAGTGATGGCGTGCTCCCATTCTTACCTCTTGTTCAAGTCAGCTCGTCGACTCGCCGGGACGTTCAGCTTGTCCTCGATGAGCCTGTGCACCAAGACTTGCTCTGCAGGATTGGAGCCCAGCGCTCCGTTCGCAAAGGCGACTATGCCGTATTTGAGGTTCGGAAACCAGTACACCTCGGCACCAAACGTGAGCGTCGATCCGTCGTGCCAATAAGCGACCTCGCCGTGGACCGTCGTGCGCGTCCAGGCCAGGCCATAGAGCTGTACGTCGCTGGTCAAACTGGGCTCGGGATTGCTTATCATCCTCGGGGCGCGAATATCTTTGTGAACCGCCTTGGAGAACGGCTCCGATTCGTCGATGAGGCACTTGATCCATTTGGTGTAGTCGAGGACGTTGGAAATGATGCCGCCTGCGCCCCCCAGGAATCTGGCAGATACGTACTGAAGCTTTTCGTACTTTTCTTTTTCATCTCTCCAGATGTAGGCCGAGGCAAGGTGAGCAGGGCCCCTTCGCGCCTCTTGCAGACTCAGGTACGTTGAATGCATCGCCAGTGGCTTCCAAATTGTGTCCCGCAAAACATCTCCTAGCCATCTGCCTGTCAATGTCTCGACGACATGCGACAGCGTTACATACATCAAGTTGCAGTAGTGCCACTCGACCCTCGGCTCGACAGCGGGAGGGAGGTTCCGCAGATTGCGCACAATGTCTTTGATGCTCGTCTCATTGCCGTCCCGTTCTTGATGCCAGGAGTTATCATGGCGCGGCATGCCCGTGCGGTGGCTGACGGCGTCATCGAGCGTGATGTGGCCGGTAGCCCACTCGTCCTGCAGGACAAAGTCGTCGCGGATGATGGAGGATATCGGCGTCGCCCAGCCGCGGGAGAGCTCTGGGTAGGCTTTGGAGTCTATGAGATGCGCGAGGGTCGCAGCGGTATGCGCCTTGGATGTTGACCCAACATAGTAGAGCGTCTCTGGAGTCGCCGGCGTGTCTGGCAATGTTGCCAAACCGAAGCCCTGGTCTTGCATCAGAAGGTGACCATGGGTTTGTCGTTTCCTGACTTTACCTTGGCAAACACCTGGTCACCATCGACCACAGCGATCGACATTCCGAGAACCCTCCACTGTTCCATAATGTCCTCTGCGAATGCCTGGAAGTCGTCCGTGAATGGATCCCGAGCTTGGAACGCCGCGTCCACCTCACCCATCGGTTTCTGGCCGTTTGGCGCCGCATCGTTTACCGTCAGAGCGGCGGCAGTGCCCGCGACGCGCAGCAATTGAATCGTTCTCATATTGTGTCGTCGACACAGAGACCCGACCCTTCAATGCGGGGCCTGAGACGGTGCACTTTAGCAGGAGTTGAGTGTCCTCGACTCCTGCGGACGGGAAGGGCTTGTCGGCTTTTGTATCGATCCATTTAATAAGTGCGACGCAGGCACTGGACTTATGTCAGTACGTCAGCGCTACACCCCTCGCCGTGCCGAGCTTCCTAGATCGGCAGTGCCCGAATCTTGTCTCTGACACAGCTGCTCTCGGGGTACCTGATCCGTGGACAAACGAACGCGATTGAACTGCTCACCACGCGCATCTTGACACTTGTGCCACAGCGTTCCCACATGCCGAGAGTTGGACCACAGGGCTAAACCCAGCGCGCTCATAAGTCACCACGCAGGGAAATCCTCAGCAGGTACAACGCCGAAAGCATTCACGGTACCAGTGCCAGACCGGCAATCTCAATTCTGCCCGTTTGGATCTCTATCCGACACGTCATGGGCGCTTGACTACCGTCAATTCCATCGCATTTATGCGGTAGTTGCTAAATGAATTCACAATCACGCCTCAGCTAGTCCCGTGCTCCCTTGGGCAGCCCAAACTTTGACAAACAACATTGCAAACCATCTCGTGGCCGTTCCTCTCTGCCCACTCAAGCGGTGTAAGTCCGTATTGCTCGTCCTTCAGTGTCGGGTCAGCTCCATGCGCGAGCAAGAAGCTCACGATCGGAAGCCAGCCATTCTTAACTGCGATTGAAAGGGCCTGTGCAACCGCTGCTGCACGTCGTGTCTACCTCGGCGCCTCATTCCAACAGTAGTTCGGCGACGGCCTGGTAGTTTCCGCGCGGAACCAGCTCCCAGATTCTCAGCTCTAGTGTCGCGCTGGGGTCGGCACCCCTTTCCAAGAGCAGACGAATAGCTTCAAGGGATAACTCTGCGAGAGTCGGCAAAATACCCCCGATTTTCCTGATGAGGGCGTAGTGCAGCGCCGTATAACCCTTCCAGCACTTGGCGTGGACCGACGCTCCATGATCGAGAAGAAGTTTTATTGACTCGAGGTCGCCGATGCACGACGCCCTCATCAAAGCGGTCATGTCAAAGCTGCCAGTTTCATCCACGTTCAGCCCGTCGCAGATTTCTAGGAGACACCTTACGGCAACCGCATTCCCAAGGCTCGCAGCCAGCCTGAGGATCCCTCCATCTAAGATTGCTGGGTCCTTGGCGTACTCTCGAAGCAGCTTGACTGTGTTGGCTGTGTTCGGGGAGCCGATTGACCGCAGTGCAGCATCCCAGACCATGAGCTTTAGCCTGATGCACTCACGCTGGCCCGTGGTGTAATGCCATCCCGCGAAGGTGCTACCGAAGGCGCCATTTTCAACAAATGAATCCATCATCTCCCCGCTGCGACGAATGGAAGCCCGTGTGAGAATTCGATCGCCTGATTTGTGCATGCCCCTTTCGAGCAGCAGCCGCAGCATCGCGTTATCCCCCATCGATGCAGCCCTGCATGTTACCTCTTCAAGGTACGGGTCACCCTCTCGCCAGCGCGCGCCATGCTTTGCTAGAAATTTGGCGAGCCCGCAATTCCCACCTTGCGTTGCGGCCTGCAAAACAGAGCAGAGTCCTCGCGACGAGTTCAAATCAACGCCTTGCTCTACTAGCAACTCCGCGATCCTTTGGTGCCCCCTCTCAGCCGCGACGAGAAGTACTAGGCGTGCGTCGACATCACGGATGGCGCCTTCCATCATGAGGCACCCTACGGGGGGTACCCTCGAATAGTCGCGAAGTCTTGCCCACCACCGTCTGGAAAATCTGATGGGGTGTTGAGCTGCAGCTGCCATCGCCTTTCGGGCTGTCTCGGCCCGGTCTCTACCTCGCTCCAGTACCCAGGCAAGTGTTGTCGGCACACCGCTTCGAGCGTCTTCATTGTAGAGATACTCGTTCAATATGCGGTAGAGTGCTCTGCAGCTCCTGGCTAGATCGTTCACGTCTCCCTTTGATACCACATGTGTGGCCACGACGAGAATCAGCTCGGGTGGAAGGTCGAGAATAAGCGTCATGGTGCCTTTCCAGCCTGACCCAGATTCCAAGCTCCCGTCTCACGCGCGACTGCGCGCTCGTCCGCTGCGACCTCAAATGGCGAGTGGATGCTTGTGGGGTCGTTCTTCGCCTTCGTACTGTGGTGAATCAGTGACATTGTCCACGTCGCTTTCGATGTAGCATTCTGTCCAGGCGACGGGGAAAAGCTCCAGCGTATATGTAGTAATGTACACAGTACGGCACCCCCCATTCCGTTTGACCCCGCCAATTGACGATGTTTGTTGGCTTGTGCTCGGCGGGATTGCGCCACAGATCAGTATAGCAGGTTGCATGAAGTTGTTGGTATAGCGCGGCTGCGTAACCAACCGAGTGACTCTCGGATGTGGCGTTTGTGTCGGTCTTACTTCCACCCAGGCATTTGACCACCGGATCTTTTCAGTGTTCTCTACGATGCACACATGCACCACCGACCGTTCAAGGCTCCTTTTTTTTTTAGCTTTTGGTTACTGTTCTGCAGCACGATGTGGCCGCGATGGACACAAATGCTGCACGGAACAGACACGGACAGGCTCCTTGACGGCGTGCAGACTGTCGAAAGCGTCACCGATTCCCAGCAATTCAATGTGGCTAGCGAAACCCCGGCCTGGAATAATGCCTACAAAGTGTATCCCACAGGAGATATTACAAATTGACCCTGAAAGTCAGCATAAACGACACAACCCACCGACGCCCCGAATCCGCCCCATTTCACACGTACTCTGAATTCAGCTGCCACGTTTGCATGTCGTCGTCGTAAGAATCGTCAGCATCCCATTCAGACTCTTTAACAACCCTGCTGGTTTTCCCTGGCTGCTCGGTTCCATTTCCTCACCCCGCATATCAAAAGTTCTTGGATTTCATGGTAGTGGTCTGAACACCAATCCAACGGCGCCCATCCCTGGTGACAGACAATGGTCGGATTAGCGCCGTGGTCAAGCAGGAATTTCACCACTCGCTTGTTGCCTCGTCCCGCGGCGAGCGAGAGTGCCGTCCGCCCCTCGCCGTTTCGGATGTCAATATCTGCCCCTCGATCGAGAAGTAATTCCGCTATCTTCAGACGCTTGGCGTATGCGACTTGGGATAGAAGCGTTTCCCCTCGCTCTGACACAACGTTTGGATCGGCTCCAGCATCTAGCAAGATCGTGACGGTCTGGAACACATTGTCCATCTCAGCCATGCTCTTCACGGCCAGGAAAAGTGCCGTACGGCCATCCATATCCGTGGACTCGGTTTCCGCTTCCAGGCTCAGAAGTATCTGGGTGGCTTCAAAGTAGCCAGCCTTCGCGAGAATCATGAGCAGCGTCGGTTCCCCAATCTCCCGGGCACCAAGTCTAGCCCCCAACTCAATCAACGCCCTGATGTAGTCCGGCATGTCCCACTGTATGGCGAGTACAAGGACGTCTTCGGCCTTGGTACCTCTAGTGTCGGCGACGATCCCGTACTTGAGAAGCCACTCAAAGACTTCATACTTCCGGCCTTCCAAAGCAACTTTTGCGCAATCCCACTGTGCAAAGTCAGATGGACGCTTGTGGTTCACCAAGCACTCAACCACCTCCACATTCCCCCTTTCTACCGCATCGCATATCATAGAGTCCCACGAGCCGCTTGGCTCAGAGCTGGCTCCGTGGGTCAGAAGAAGCTTCAGCAGTTCCGGAGACTCCAGCTGAACAGCAACCTTCACCAGGCTGAGATCAAGCCAGCCCGAATCGTTTGGACTGGCTCCTTTCTCCAGCAGTCGAGTGGCAAGGCCCATGCTTCGCATCTGGAGAGCGATGTGAAGCATGCTGTCGCCACGCAACGTATACCGCTGAGGGCTTGCACCGGCGTCCAGAAGTATCATGGCAATCTCTTCCTGTTCTCGCTCCATTGCTCGACCGAGAGGTCCTCGGCGGCGGGCTCCGGGCCCAAAACGTGGATCGGTAGCGGATGGCTCCACGTTGGCGCCAGCATCTACCAGAAGCCTGATCATCCTCACGTCGCCGCGATCCATGGCGATATGAAGCGCTGATTGATGGAATCCTTCCATGCTCCAATGAAGATCGGGCTCAACGGAGGCGCCCTCTCCAAGTAGCAACTGGGCCACTTCCAAGTTGCCTCCAGCTGCGGCCATCATCAGTGGAGTCATCATTTTATAGTACCCTAAGTACTCTGCATCGTCGTTATTGCTGTCGCGGAGGCGGAAATCGTCAAGATATCGTGATGCACCGTACTTGAGAGACGCCTTTACTCCTGCCAAGCTGCCACGCTTTGCGGCCCTGTACAATTCCGAGCCACCGTAGGCTTCGGCGTCCAGGCGGTAAAGGCAGCGAGTGAGAAGGGTGCTAAGTGCCGGGTGAGCTCTGGAAAGCGCCAGGAGATCTTGTTCGGAATCAACGCTCTCGCCGATTTGCACGATGATTTCGGGACAAAGCTCAAGGAGACGCATGGCGCTTGTCCTGACTTGATCTTGGAGATGCGTTAGTCCCATGCTTCATGTTTAAGCGATCAAAGGAAGGCTTCATGTTTAGCCACCCCCGAACATGCATAGTAACATAGACAAGGACGTGGCAAATACCATCAACTTACCCCTTGTGTACATATCTCGCAACCCTCACTCCCTGGTGTCGCTCCTACTCTCGTGTTGCTCAGTCTTGGTGGTATTCTTGGTAACAGGGGTAGCAGTGGAGATGTGTTCAAAAAGATGCCCTGACGTACAGACTGTGTGCCCCGGGAACGCTGTATTTTATAGAGGCTCCAGAGCCAGTCACCGAGTTGCCAAAGGACGATGCAGTCACGTCCTGTGCGTCCCGATTGCCCGGTAAATGAGAGCCTCTACTCTTAACGGGCAACATACACGTGCAGTCGTGAATCAGGGCTTGAGTTCTGTCTGTAGACCTATGAAACCCGACATAGAGAGTCCTCAATACGTGCAGGTCACTTTCGCTCGGCGCAAAGTGGACGAACTCGCAGCGTGGAGTCCCTGCTGTTCAGACCCAGTTCGCAGGTATGTGCATCTACTTGTTGTTTGAGAAAAGCGCCGTCAAAGCTCCCACACTCGTAATGTTCAAATTGACATATACTATTCACTTCACAGGCAAATTACCGCTCCTGTTATGGTAGCCATGCTGTGAAACTGGAACTGAACATTGATCGTTTATAACCTGTGAAACAGCCGATGACCTGCACAGTCTATCCATGAGTCGTCGTGAGCTTGAAGAACTGAATCTCTGTTGCCCCTTCACCCTGGTTGTAGTTGCCTGCCTTGAAGTAGCTCTTCGGGTTATTAAGGTCGTACGTCGAGAGAGTTTTGAACCCCTTTCCGTTTATATTTACGGAAAGCTTGCCGCCTTCGTAGCGGATTTCATAGGTGAGACGCTGGCCACTGGGTACGTTGTCGATATACGTCCTCTTTTGGGTGCAAGTGCGGCACTGCTGGACGCCCATGTTCAAGTCGCCCTTCGAGTTATAATAGAGCTCCGCAACCGGCTTGGTCGAGATGGAGTCGTCAATGTGGATCTGGCCGATGCAGATCTCACCGCCGTGTTTGGTCACTTTGACATCGGCGGCGAGGCGGTTGACAGAGCTCGTGGGGTCGAAGCTGCGCGGGTTCGACTCGCGCAACTCGGTCCGGCAGTGCTTGCTGTTTGGGGTAGTAACACAGCCAGTTGATGACGGTGACCCGGAAACTTTCATGACCATGGCGCCGGTGCTCTTGTCCGTGAGGAACACATCGCTGGTGTAGCCGTTGCAACCTTGCAGCTTCGAGCCCGAGATGCTATCTGGCTTGCCCGGAGAGCCGGTGGGCAGCTGAAGGGTCCATTTGGAGAGGTCGAAGTTGCCGCCTGGTGCGCAATTGGGGTCAAGCGCAGCTCCTCGATTGAAGAAGAGAGAAAGCGCGGCGATTCCGCTGTATGCGAAGGACTGAGTGATCTTCATGGTTCTTGGAAAGGCTCAAAGATCCGTGGAATGGTACAGAGCTTGGCTGTCGTGAAGTAATCACCCAAACCCGACGAGATTTCCCTTGCCTTAAATATTCCACCGCGTTGAGTTTGTCCCTGGACACTCGATGTAACGCTGCTGCCACCACGGAGTTCGATACGACGTTGGGTTTACGGCCTCGCCGGTTTACGTACCACAGTCAGCCGGACTGAATTTCCACCTATCACGCCAGTAACCTAGTTCTCCTTCTGAGACCGGCACGCCCGATTCTGTACTCACAAACATGTCTTTGCGAGCAGGATAGACGACTGGTTGGCAAGCTGCATCGCGCATCGTGACCGAAGTCTCCCCACTCGACCCCAGGTTTTAGTGCCAGGAGTGCAGTGCGGCCCAACAGATGCCGCAGCCAAGCTCTCTTGGCTCTGTGGGGAAGGCGGGAATGATCGTCAGTAGCGCAAGCCCCTTCAGGCACGACGCCCCGAGGCCTTTTCTTGTTGGTGGAAAAAGAATCGCCGCGGGATCTCGCCCCCAAGCAGCTGGTTTGACGTTGACCCCTTCATGTTCAACCTCCCAGCTTCGGGATGGTGAGTATCCGATATACTTCAGCATTTTGACGTTGAAGGTTCCCATGTCCAATCCCTGTCATCGCAAACGAGACGTACAGTCCTAGGGATGTTTGCCCGAGATCAACACCGAGCTGAACCGTTTGCATCGAGTAAATGACGAGAGACTCTTGCACCTTGCAACGTGGGGGTGCGCGTAGCTGAATGGATGGCAGCTTGGCTTGGTCTGCAGTAGATAGAACTTTGCCCTGGACACGGCTGGCTCAATTGCAGCGCTCTACAATTCTTGATTGTATCTGGCATCGTTCACAACACTGAGAAATAGCAACGTTGCCTTCATGCGGCACACGGGTCTCTTTCACACACGCTCCTGAGGGGTTTTGCAGATAGAGGCTTCATGTCTCGATGGAAGCATCATCACCAAACGGCATTCATGGGTGCGTCTCACCGCATTCTCTTCGGAAGCCTCATGCTTCGCCACGACCGCTCCCGGTGCGTTCAACGTTTGTTTCGTTTACGACATGTGCATGTGCCGTTCCTATAGTTCTGCAACGAGCCTCATGCACAGAGGGCAAACGGATTGTCGACATACACTAGCCCTTCTTAAAATACATGTCCAGTGTATTGGACTGTTTGTTACCGCCGTCACTCCCTTTGGTCTTCGCGACACTTGGCTGCGAAGTCTTTCTGTCCATCTCAAGCACAGCCATCAGCTCCTCGAACTCTTCTTTCGGTACGATGCCTCCACTTGCTTCTTTGTGGCCTCTCGCGAACGACGCCCCCAGGCGTTCCCGTAACGTCTGATCAGGCGCTTTATCCGCCAGGCTTCGAAGCGTCTCGATGATGTTTACCGGCGGGTCCCTTGCCCTTGCGGATCGCGGTATCCGGCACGAGAAATTGACCATTCCCGGAAGATAACCCTCATTGGCGACAAGAACCACCTCTAATTTGGAGCTTTGCAGGTGCCCGGCCCATCGCGTTGCAATGACGGGATGAACTTGTGCTTGCGAGCTAATTCGGAAGACCGCGATGCGCGCGTCTGCAGAGAACTTGGGCGCGGTGTGCGTGCAGCGTTCCACCTCTGCATTCACCTCGGCCCGAGCGGACAGCAGCTCGCGATTCTTCAAAAGATCGCTTGGCGAGCCGGCCGCAAGCAACGCCTCCCATGCCATGGGGACGTTGTACGACGCAGTTCGACGGGGCGCGTTGATGAGCGACACGGCGTCGTTGAGCGCCTTCTTGGTGTATTTCTTGAAGGTGGGCTTCATGTCGGGAAACGGGGGCTCCCATTTGAGGGTGTTTCCGAGGTCGCCATGCGTGCCCATGACGCAGAGCCAGTCGCACTGCTGCTCAACGTCGTCGTGGAGTCCAGAGCAGATATGGTAAGTGAGCAATGAGCTCGTCGCGACGGGTGGCGAGTTGCAGGCCGTGACGGGCTGAGCCCCCTCAGGGAAGTCATCGTCAAGTGCCCAGTGGTGGTCAATGATCAGGGCTTTATGAGGTATGTCGACGACGGGAGGGGATTTCCGCGAGCCTTGGTCGAGGACGAAGATGTAGGCCGGCTCTCTCGCGGCCAGAGTTCGCCTCTCTTCCTCGTCGTGAACCGTGTGGCCTTTCTCAAGGATGTGGCCTTCGATGAGCTCCGGCTCCAAGCCAAGTAGTATGAGCGTCCTTCGCAAAATTGCGCCTGAGGTTAGACCATCGGCGTCCTTGTCCGGCACAATGACTGTCTTCTGGTGCGCAGCGACGCTACCGAGTGCGGTAAGTAAGTGGCGAATGGAACGGATCACGGCTGAGGGGCGTGCATACCATTCCAGGATAAATTCTCGCGCTCGCTCGATTTGGTCCTCGGGCGCCGGCCAGATGGCGCTTCCGTCCCCGTTCCTTCGCGATGGGGTTAGGTGGTAGTCTGGGACCTGCGGCCGGGGCTTCTTGCTGCGAGACGGGGCCGCTGGGGCGGATGAAGCCTGACGCTTCATGATCTGTTGTCGGGCGCTGCACAAGCTCACTATTGGTGTCGTGGCTCGGGCGTCATGGCTCTGTCGGCATGATGCTGTCCTGGAGGTCAATTGCACCTTTCCTTTGCTGAGAAGCCCAAAGCTCCGGCCTGCTCGAGAGATGTAAGTCCGTATCATCAATTCATACCATTCTAGTCGCTCACATGTGCAACGTTCAATCTGCGCGTGGAAGGGCGTCGGATTGTCGCGGTGGTCTGGTCTTAACTGACGTCATGGACATTTCGCGCGTCCCCAGAAGACTCCCGTTTTCAAGGTCTCCAGAACAAAGAACCCGTTTGAGCTCCAGTCCAGGCATCTTCTACTTGGCCACCACAGTTGCTATCGTTGCAGTCATTGCTGAGCGATTGACGTGCATTGGGGGAGACCTGGGTCGTGTCTGCTGGTTCACCCGATTAAATTGCCGTCACTTCCACAGGACGCGGATGCCCGCTCAGGAACTGCCCAGTGGATCGGCAGTCTTTTGCCGGGTGTCTGGGGGAGCCTGGGGAAGGGCCGAATCGTCTTGGCTAGTGCCGGCGCCACCAGGAGACAGCGCCAGGAACCCGGACTGGCATCCTGGGCGTTCATGAGTGAGTGTGGCCGATTGAAACGAGGTGCACTGAATACAGCTTCACAAAGACCGTTGCAAGAAACTTGTTAACCAGTATCTCTAGTACCTCTGGCCTCAGTATGTATTTCACGAAGGCCTGCGTTTGCAACGACCTGATGCGACCAAGCCGCATCATCCCCAAGACGCGTCTTACTGTACCATCTGAATCTCACCAGCACAACATTGAATGCTGCGGGAGACCACGCCCGTTGCACTACATCTCACTGCTCCAACCTCCAAGTGCTTACATGGATCTCGGGCAAACGCATGGAAACAAGCCGATAGCTGGAAAAATCGTCTCCTTCTGCCGGCAAAACGAGGACCCCGCAAGAAGTGTAACAAACAGAGCAGTGTAACCCAGTCAAGTACGGGGTATTTATGTTGATCGGGACCGCTACTGTGAAGACGACACCCTGTGACGGCGACGGCATCCTCCCACTTTGACGTACTGGTTGAGACGACCGCGCAATGGCCAAATACACCGCAGCAGCACTGCTGATGCTCCCGACTGCCTTGGCCGCAAGCCAGGCATCGGGATTGTTCTCGTCATATGTGTCCCTGTCCATCGAATTAATTGGCTTCCCGCAATGGGCTGGTACAGTCGATGCCCCGTATGAGCTCCCAGAGCACAGGTTGACACGATGGGACAGGCACAAGAGACAGCAGAAACGAATTTTCCAATAATCTGATCGACAATCTCGTCAAAGCGCAAGGCAGTCCGCTTGTGGTTCGTGTCGGTGGAAACTCTGCGTGCGTCAATCACTGCGGTGAACACGGAATGGTGCCCGGCGAGCGTGGCCGTTGGCCTGCACGCTCCCCGTTCATGTCATCATCGTTCACAATTGAGATGGTGCAGCCCTGACTGACTTCAATTATTATTACAGGGATCGCGCCATCTTCGATGCCTCCCTAACCACGCCTACGGCAAGCAGCTGCAAGAATGCCGACCCCGGCGCCTGGCAGTGCATCGGCACCAGCTTCTTCGACTCGTATGGCGCATTCCCCGAGGGCACACGCTACTCCCACAACTTCAACCTCGCGACATGGAACTCGTCTGGCTTCAACACGCTGGAGGCTACGGTGCCTCTGGCTTGCAAGGCGCTGCGGGGACAGCTCGAGTACTTCGAGGTCGGCAACGAGCCAGACCTGTACATCGGCAGCAGGCGCACCCAGGACTATTCCGTCGCGCAGTACGTCTCTGAATGGAGCAACACCACGGCGCGGTTCGAGGAGTACCTGCATGAGGCGTGCCCCGACTTGGCGGGCAACATCAAGTACATGTTCCCGTCGGTCAGCTCCCCCGGCTCGCGACTCCGCGTGCCAGACATCTTCAACGTCGCAGGCAATGCGGCCAAGCGCGTCACCCAGGTCTCAGTGCACAACTACATGGGCGGCGCGACGCAGCCCGGGGTGACACTCCAGGCCACACTGATGAACCACACCGCCGTCGTCTCGTCCATCGGCAAGCACGTCGCGTACGCCAAGTCCATCGCCGAGTACACCCCGGCCGACTATGTCATCGGCGAGCACAACAGCCTGTACGGCGGCGGCGCGGCAGGCCTGTCGGACGTGTTCGGCGCCGCGCTCTGGGGCATGGAGTTTTCGCTGTACGCGGCCTCCACGGGCGTCATCAAGCGGCTTCACTTCCACCAGAGCGTGGGGTCCCCCTACGCGGCGTGGTCGCCCGTCGCGCCGGTGCAGACGAAGCCTCCGTACTACGGCAAGCTCGCGGCGGGGACGTTCCTGGCTGGCTCCGATAAGATCCAGGTGAAGACACTGTCGCTTGGGAGTGACGCCGACAAGGATGTGGACTCTGGATATGGTGCCTACATCAACGGCGAGTTGAGGCGTGTGGCGGCTCTGAACCTGCGCGAGTTTGACTCTGGCTCGCAAAGCCGCGGCTCGAAAAAGTATACTGTGAAGGTCTCGCCGCGATCGTCCTGGGTGGTGAAGCGCCTTACTGCCCCCGGGGCGCGAGACCAAACCAACATTACATTCAATGGCTTTGCCTATGACGCTGCCTCCAACGGCAAGCCAGTCAAGGTCGCTGGGAGGACGACGGATGAGCGAGTGAAGGCGGATGGCAAGGGAAATGTTTCGGTGACGGTGGCAGACTCTGAGGCTGTCGTGATGATCAGGGCGTGACACATATGAGTCCTAGACTCGTAGCATACCGATTCCGTCGCGCTTACGCGATCAAGATGGTCAATCGATCCATGGCTGCATTTGCCCCGCGACGAGCTTGCCAAGCTTCGCTCCCACGTGAAACTGCGTATGGCCTTGCACAGCTCCATGTGTCGAGTCAATCGACGACTCTCGCGTCAAATCGCAAAGCGCCTCGGTGAGTAAAGATGGTCACTGAATTATCAAGGCCAATCGACGCCCAACGGCTATATGGCGCTGTGCCACAGCCGTTGCCGATTTGCAACCATTAACCGTCCGATAGCCTCACGACTGGCGCGTCAGCCCGTGTGGCTTCCAGAAGCCCACTCCCGTTCAAGCCATCACCATGACGGAATGACGAAATACGGTAGATCACTAGATCCGAAACGGCCGCGTCAGGCCCGATCCGCGCTAATACGCCTCACGCTTGGCAGACACAGCCCAACAGCTCCCAACTCCATGCGCTTGTTCGAACCTCGCCCGCATTAGCAAGCAGCATCTACTGCCTACTTACAAATCCCCCATACCCCTCCCCAGTGTTTTGCAAAGTCAAGTCTTGGACCAGAGACTTTAAGTAGGCATGGCGTCCTCGCTGTGGCAGACCGTCACCAACTTCGGCCGCCCGCAAGCGCAAAAGCAGCCAGAGCAGCACGCCAGCGTCAACAACGTCAAGATGGATCCCCCACCAAAGAAGATGAAGGCGTGGATGACGGCGCTCAATGGGCTCGACAAGCTCCAGCAGAGCGAGGTGGACGTGCCGGAGCCGCGGGACGGCGAGGTGCTGGTGCGCATCGAGGCAGTGAGCCTCAACTACCGGGACACCGAAGGTACGGATGGCGCCCCCCGACGGTGGTCGTGCTCATGTCGTCCCGCATCAAGATCGATCTCGTCCATCGATGAGCCACCCGACTAACATTAGATAGTCGTCAAGGGCGAGTACAACCACATGCCCTCGCTCCTCTCCCCAGGCGAAGCCATCGTCCCCTGCTCCGACATGGCCGGCACCGTCGTCACCTCGCGCGGGGACGCCGCCTCGCACCTCCCGCCCGGCACGCGCGTCATCTCCATCTTCCTGCAAGACGACCTCAGCGCGCCGCTCCGCGAGGAGGCCCTCGCCACGGGCCTCGGCTACCCGCTCCCCGGCGTGCTCTGCCACTACCGCGTCTTCCCCGCGCGCACCCTCGTTCGGTGCCCGGCCTACCTCTCCGCCGCCGAGGCCGCCACCCTGCCCATTGCCGCCGTGACGGCCTGGACGAGTCTGAATTGGATGCGTCCGCTCGGCTCGCACGTCGGCACCGACCCTCCAGACGTGATTGCGAAGCGCACCGCCCTCATGCAAGGCACGGGGGGCGTCGCCATCGCGGGCTTGCAGATCGCGCACGCGGCCGGGCTCAAGACCATCATCACGTCGTCGTCAGACGATAAGCTGAAGCGAGCGCGCGATGAGCTCGGCGCCGACACGGGCATCAACTACCGCACGTACTGGCAGTGGCAGGAGCCCGTCATGAAGGCCACGGGGGGACGAGGCGTAGACGTCATCTTCGAGACGGGCGGCACGCGCACCATCCGCAAGTCATTCGAGAGCATTGCCTTTGGCGGCGTCATCAACTGCATCGGCTACCTCTCGGGGAAGCACGAAGACGGCGACGATGAAGGGGACGGCGACAAGACGCCGCAGCTGCACCGACTCAACGTCAACGTCATGGCGTTGCGCCGCAATGTCACGCTTCGCGGCATCATCAACGGGCCCAAGGACCGGTTCGAGGAGATGCTCGGCTTCTACGAGGAAAAGAAGATCAAGCCCGTCGTGGACAAGGTCTTTGACTTTGACGACGTCAAGGACGCGTTCGACTACCTCGTCAAAGGGAAGCACTTTGGCAAGGTCGTCATCAAGGTCTCGGAGTGAGGAAGGTACACCGTCATGGCGTGACAAGTACAGCACACCATCGTATGATATCATGACAGTACACGAACATAGACACGGCAATTGCACAACGCCGGACGCACATGACCTATGATCTGCGTGGCCTCGATGTTGGGGGCCTACGCATGTCGCGCCTTGACGTCGTTGTCGTTGACGCATCCCATCTCGATTGCTCCTCCCGTTCCGCGAGCCCGCGTTCACAGCTGCCGCGGCCACAGGAGGAGTCGACGACTTCCCACAGCCGGGTCACTGCCGTCGCTGGACCGCGCCCCTGCCGCACTCTCGCAGGCGCCGGGCTCCCGAGGCAGGAGCCCCCTGAGAGAGCCTCCCCTTGTTCCTCAGTGCTCGAGACCCGAGGGAAGGAGCTGCCAATCTAACTTCATGGCCATTGGCCAACGTAGCGAGCGACGAAGCGAGCCGTGTCCACCACAGAGAAGCTTCCAGAAGGTGTCGCGTGTTAGTCAGGCTCTCTCGTTTGCCATCATCTTTCGTCCCGACGAGTCGTGCCCCCCAACTCATTCTCTATTCTTCTTCATCACTTGTTGCTCTTGTTCAGTACATGGTGTCCAGCCATCGGCGAGGACTGTGTGTCCAAGCAGACTCGACGCGGACTGATGTGTCCAGTCACACCCAGCGCGGACAGGAGTGTCCAGCAGCACCCGACGCGGACAATGGTGTCCAGCAGTCACAATCCCGACGCGGACAATGGTGTCCAGCAGCACCCGACGCGGACAATGGTGTCCAGCAGTCTCAAGCCCGACGCGGACAAAGGTGTCCAGCAGTCACAATCCCGACGCGGACAAAGGTGTCCAGCAGTCACAATCCCGACGCGGACAAAGGTGTCCAGCAGCATCCGGCGAGGACAGATGTGTCCCGCTCCAGCTCTGGGGAGCCGGGCCTCGGTGGTCACACCGCCAGGTCGCGGTCGGGGCGTTCGGGGATTACTCCCGGCGCCTGCTCCGTGAGCCAACCACTGGACTGATCGTGTCCACTAAGCGAGCCTCACGACTGCCCGTGTCCGAGGCTGCGCCGTCGTTCAGACTGCCCGTATCCGAGTTTCGTCTGCGAGATCGTGCTGACTGCTGACCAGATGTTCGGCAGAGGCGGGTGGCGGCGACGGTGGCCTCGAAAGCAGAACACGCGATGGCCCAACTGCGATTGTGATGCCTCCGCGACAACTTTCCGGGCGACGCTGCACAACAGCTCGGGCAGCTTTCTCATGTAAGTGCCTCGGTGGCGGGGCCACGGACTAGACTGGACTGACACTTCTCAGCCAAAGACCGCCGCTTTGCGAAACAGGCCTGTTCCTCGAGAATATTACACCGCGCGAGTGTTGAGAGAGTCCCATTCTCGGGTTCTTGGCGACCCTCGAGGTCCGCACAAGTGTAGGATTGTATCCTGTAGTATAGATGTTTTGCGCCAGAAGAATCACATAATGACCCGCAATTCTGCATCTCCCAACTCCCGAGTCCTGGGCGTCCGTGCTTGCCGTGGAGGTGATCGACTGCCAGGGAGGCCCTCCAACCAGCCAGATACCCTCGCGCCGCCTCGTCGATGTGGCCCGCCGTGCTCTCTCGCAGTTCATCCCAGCGAGCCAGCCTCCCAGGACTTGCCGTGACCAACGCTCTCAAGAAACGCCGCGGACACCGGAACGGACCTCCTTCGACGGAGCACTTGGCCACGTCGGACCGCTTCTCCATGCTGGACAGGCGACAGCGTTTAGACTGAAGTCTACTGGGACTCGTCCAATCATCCGACCAAGTAACAGCGAAGCGTCAAGCCCTCGTTCGGTCTCTACACCCACGCGACCCTCCCGAACGATACACCGGCGAGCTGATGGCCGTTCAACGTCAGCCTCAAGGCGGCGAAAGGCACGGCCACGGGAGCCGCCGCGGCCTTCAGGAAGGGGCGTGTCCAGCATCGCTACGGGCGAGAAGGAGGCAGCTCTGTGCATGAAGTCGCCTGGCGGGTTCCCGCCGCCATGAGGAGTAGGAGTGCTACCAAGGTGATCAAGGCGTATAGTATAACGTGAGCAGGTGATTATGGGGTGCGCTATGCCTGGCTAACGAGTACAAAGCGTGGATGTCGACAAGAAGCTGCGGTTGCTTTCGCGCAGGACATGTGGAGCCAAAAGTGAGCCGGCATACAGCGAGCCATGTTTGTACACTATGTAATAAATCGACACACAACATCCATCAATGACACATCAACCCCGATAGTTCTCCGCCCCCGTCGTTGAAAAGAAACGCAGTGCCAGGTCGTCCGTCGTCAGCGCCGCGTAGCTTTCCGCTTGGAACCAATGATCCCCCGCTCATGTATCGCCAAACGTTGCACAAATGACAAAAGGCGGCCGTGGTCCTCCCCCTGATCTTACATCGTTCAATCGTAAAAAGACCGATGCGCACACAAGTGCGGCGGGTATCGTCACCTGCAAGACGAGATTCGGCGCAAACAAGTAAACAACCAGAGCCAACATCCAGCACCAGCAAACAAGACTGCCCGTTGGGTTGCAACGAGCCGGTTCGCAAGACAACAAACGTCCCAGTAATCGCCCAACTCCAAGCTCATGTGCGCCAAGGACTGACCGGGCATAGGCCCTCTAGTCGTAGCGGTGGTGCGAGTTGAACGACTGAATGTGATCCGACGCGCCCACGATCCACTCAATCTTGCCCTTGTCCACACCGGCCAGGAAGGGATCAAGCGGGTAACCGCTGTTGTAGGCATCCAGGAACGGCTGAAGCCTGGCGACGAGAAGCTGCATCGTCTGCGACGCGCTCTTCATCACTTCGCCAAAGTTCTGTCCCTGTCCCTCCCAGTCCTATGCATTGTTAGCTCTCAGCTTAAAGACACGCGAACAGTTCGGGGTCAACTCACATAGTTGGGCAGGCTGTCGCTAAATGCGCGCACCGCCATCTCGATCCAGTCAACCTCCTGCTTGAGGCGCGGGCCCGGCTTGAGGTCCTTCGAGATGGTAGCAATCACGACCAACAAGAGCAGCGGCGCCAGGCTCTCGAAGCGGTTGGGCGCGTAGCCACTCAAGCAGCGCCTGAAAATCTCCTTTTCGTGGCCACTCTGGATCCACTGAATCATCGCATCCTGGAGGCGGCCGTCTTGGATGGCCATCTCGATCTTGTGGATGCGCTGAGTGAGCTCGTACTCTGCTTCGGCCTCGCTGCGGCTCATTTGGTTGGCGAAAGCGCCAGCGAGGGCGCTGACACCGGTCGGGCCGACGTTCTCAGACGGAGCGACACCAGTTCCCTGGGGGCTCGTCACCGGCTGCGATCCACGCTGATACTGCTGGCTGTTCGAGTATTGCTGGCTCATAACCTGGCTGGGAGGATAGCTTCCGTGGTGGCTCGGCGCGTTACTGCCGGCCATGCCGCCAGGGTATCCATGAGGAATGTTCTGGTGGCCCTGTTGGCCCTGAGCCCCGGAACCACCAGGAAGCTCGTGAACAGGCTGCTGCTTGAGCTTCAGGAACTCCTGCTGCAATGCGGTCTGCGAGGCGGCCATGGTGGACACCATGTCGGTCAGTCGGTTGACGTAGTTGAGCAGCTGGTCGATCTTGTTGGCATCGGCCGCATGTTGCGCCTTCATGTGCTCAAACTGCTCCTGGTACTGCTGATGGAGCTCCCCGGCAACACGCTGGGCGCTCTGGCTCGCAATGTTGGAGAATGCGGGAGTCAGGCGTTGGGTGAGTGTGTTCAGGACCTCCTGCTGAACGCCAGACGTCACAGCCGCGCCGACACGGTCCGAGATGGCGTTGACAAAGTCTGCCGACCGCAGGGAGCGGTTGAGGGCGTGGGGCAGGGAGCCCTGGATCTCCTTCTGCACAGATGACGCGACTTGGGGCTGCAGCTTGGTCTGGAGCAAGTCCGTCACGGCTTTGCCAGCATGGTCGCCAATGGCAGGGATGACCAGCTCAGTGAACTGATGGTGGATTAGGGACTCGAGCACCTTCTGAGTGTTCTCGTTGAGTACCTCGGATACCATGTCAAGCAGCTTGATCTGGTGCTGGTTGAAGCTCTCGTCGCGGACGCGAGCGCCTTCGTCAATCTTGCCGTGCAAATTCTTGAGCGACGACTTGAGCGTGTCCGACACGGCCGCCGTCAGGCGTGTCTCCATGCCGACAATAGCAGAGTCGAGGGCCTCTGCGGAGACGCCATTAGCGACCACATTGTTGGCACCCTTGGGCGCCTCGGGCTTTGAGCCGACGCGCGGAGAGTTGGTGGTGCCATTAGCTGCCAATTCGGGCTCCTTGCCCTTCTTCTTGCGCGACTTCTTCTCGGGCTTCTCGGGCTGGCTCTCCTTGGAAGACTGGGCCGGCGTCTCCGTCTCCTTTGGTTCGTTCTTGAGTTTGACTGGCGTAACTGACTCCGCGCCGCGCTGGGCAACGTCGCTCGGTGCTGGCGTCGCCTGAAGCGACTCCTTGCTGCGGTTGGCGATGCGGACTTGGGCGTCTCCGTTGGTGCCAAGCTCAGGCTGCTGAGGCGTCTTGAGCTTAGAGACGGTCACCACGCCCTCCTTGACCGCATCGACGGCGTCGAGAACCTTGTTATCCTTGGACCATCCAAGCTCATTTTGCCTGATCAGAAGGCAAGCAACTCCCTTGGAGTGCATCGCGTATAGCTCAAACAACGTCGGCTCGTCGGCGTCCTGGACCATGGCAGGCGTGCAAAGGATGTCGAGGCTTCGGATGACGCCCCTGTTGGCAAACGAGTACTCGCGGACACCGCTTATCACAGCGGTGCTATCCGGCTGCGGGATAGACGAGTCTTGAGCCACGAGCCGCTGAATGTACTCTGCCTGCGATACGCTCTTCAGGTTATACTTAGGAGCCGAGAGATGCGCAAAATAGACCGAGTTGCGTGTGGGGTGGCCAATGACAATCATGCCGCTGGCAGGGTGGTACATGACGCTGCAGACGGCATCAGACTCCTTGCTGTGAGGCAGGTTGAACTCCTGGACGGGCTTGCCGAGGGCAAGGTCCCACAGCTGGAGGGTGTGGTTCTGCTTCATGCCCACAATCATGTAGCGCAGGGCGCAGCGCTTCTGGTAGGGGCGCTGCTTGTCGAGAAGCAGGACCGAGGTGGGCCAAGCCTTTTCGCCCTCCGGAGTGCTCGCCAGCGTCATCAGAGGCTCCTTAACCTCAAGCGACGTCTGGGCGGGCACGGGAGCGCGCGGGTCAGAGCCCTCCTTGACAGCGGTCAGGTCACGAACATCCCAGAACTTGACCCGGCCAGACTTGTCGAGGGAGACAACAACCGTATCGTCCTGGCTAAAGGTGAAGTCCTTGCCGGCCTTGCCGGTATTGATCTTGAGAGAGCACTGCTTGAGCAGCGTCTCCGTATCGACGACACGGTCGTGGCCCGTCTTGAAAAGACTGTTCTGCAAGATGTACGACGGCCAGATGAAGTTGATGGACTTGCCCCGGCCAACGGCGAAATACTCGGGGTGGATGGTCGACGCGCGAGCTCTAGTCTTGAGGACGCCACCAGGGGTGTCACCGTCGTGAGAGGCCATGGGCGGGAGCGCGAAGCCGTACTGCTCCAGGTGCGCGTCCTCGATGTGGTCCTTTTCGCCGTCCTTGATTTGCACCCAGTACACGGTGCCGCTGATGCCGGTGCCAATGATGGCCTCTCGCTGGACGCCCTCATTGTCAGTAGGCGTCACGGACATGGCGACATTGAAAATGCGGTCCTTGGTGTCGGTAAAGACCTTGGCATCCTTGCCATCGTCCTGTCGAATGACGCGCAGGCCGCCCTGCTTGGACATGCCGTAGGTCATGTACGTCTGGGATGCCGTGTAGAGGTTGCGGTCGATCTGGTCGAACTCCTTCTTGAGGCGCGCGATATCCATGATGGACTCGTCACGGAACTCGGGCCGAGGCTCGGTCGCGTCCTCCTGAAGGGAGATGGAGATCCAGGGCTTCATGGGGAAGTTGTACACGCGCACAGGCGGGGCTTCCTTCTCCTCAATGACAACAATTTCCTCCTGGTCGGCGCTCTCCCAGCTATCGGCAACAGCCTGGGCCTCGGCGCCGGACTCGTTGTATGCGGGCTCCGGAGACTCATATCTCGGGGGCTCAACCTTGTTTTGTCCCTTCTTGATGTCGTCGATGATTCGCTTCTCGACATTGCGGACGGTCTCGCTAGTCCACTCCTGGTCATCGCGAGTCTCCGTCTTCTCGACGCCCTCGGCAAGATCTGGTTGGTCAAGACTCTGCTCAGCTCTGGCCAGCGCCTCGCGAGCATCGCGATCCGCCTTCTCGGCGAGGTCGTGCACGGCCTCCGCAACAGTTTCCTTGTTCTTGTCGGGGAGTCCAAAAGTGTCAAACTCGGCCGGGGGCGTCTGCTTGATGGACTGGTGCAGCGACTGATGCGAATGGAGCGATGAGCTGCGGTCGAGGGGCCCACGAGCGTGGCCTGGGGGGCTCGTGATGGGGCTCCGCTCGCTGCCCAAGTGGGACTGCTCATACTGCTGGGAGCCGGCGGGCGACGCGTGCTCCTTCTTGAGGGCCTGATGATAGGAAGCGCCGCCGCCAGACTGGTGAGTCTGCTGGCTCTGAGGAGAGGACTGGTTCAGGCTATCCATGAGCTGGTGGTAGATGGCGGACATGTCAGTCGAAGACTCCTGCGTCTGGGCGAAGGAGAAGGAACTGACATTCGACGCCGGGTGCTGGACGTGAGCAAAAGACTCCGAGTCGTGGTGACGAGCCTGATACTGCTGAGCAGCCTGGTAGGCGCTGCTCGCATGCGACTGCGGCTGCGATTGCTGCTGCGGCTGCTGGTACTGGCCGAAGTATCTTCCAACGTCGGCGGCAGCGTCCGGAGACTGGGGCGTCGGGCCGTTGGACCGCGCCGACTCGGTGAGCAACGGCTGGTCTGTCTGGCTTGGCTTGGGCCGATTCAGCAGGTTGAGCAGGTAGGATCTGGTATCGGCCGAGGGCGAGCCCGCGCCAAAGGTGGTCGAGGGCTGATGGGTCTGCGCAGGGGCGTGGGAGACGGGAGCCTGTCGGGGCTCGTCGGGCTCCTGGGCACCTCTCATGAGGGCAGCCAGCAGGCCCGTCGGGTCGGCGCTCGTGGGCGCAGGCTGATGCAGGCGAGTCGACTGATACTGAGCGGACTGGCCATAGCTTGGCTGCCGGGGCTGGTGGCCATGCTGAGGCTGTGCTTGATGCTGCTGCTGCGGCGACTGCTGCTGCTGCTGTTGGGCGGCGGCGGACGGCTGAGACTGCTGGGAGCCAGAGCCAGCCGCGGCGGCCGCGGCAGCGGCATTGTTGCCGCTGAACTTGAGCAGGTTCAAGAGGCTCGACGTCCTGTCTGCATTGGAGGGCATTCCACCGCTGTTGACGGGCGGCGTCGGAGCCGGCGGCAAGTCCATGGTGGCGGTCGCCGAAGCTGAGAGGCGGTCGGAGCCAAAACCCACGACCGGCAAAGGCTTGGAGCGAGAACGGGCGAAGCGGCTCTTGAGCAAGTGTCGATTCGGCGGGAGGAGGTAAAGGGAGGTGACGGGATATCCGCAGCGAGACTGCAGTCGCGGCGCGAAGCTCACCCTCTCTCGCAATCGATGGGCGGGTGGTGCTCCGTGGGCGAGGGATGCGGTTCTCGGTGGGTGAAGGTGAAGGAGCAGGCAGGCGAGAGGAAAAAAAAGTGACGAGCAGGCTGGAGCTCCGGGTTGCTTTGCCAAGTCAGGCGGTGGGCGGGAAAAAATTGGGGGTTAAGTAAGCGGAGCCGGGGGGTCTGTCTCCAGGCGCCCAAAACGGTGCGCGTAGAAGCCCAACGCTCGCTCACAGCAGTGACGAGCTGCAGACTGCCTGAGCACCTGAAGGCCGCTCTCCAGGCCAATGGATGCCGAGCAGCCAGCCACCTGTTGGGCAATCGGTGATTCGCAGACGCGGAGTTGCGGAGAGACGATGCTCGAGTCGAGGTTGGGGGGAAAAGACAGATGGCGACAACGTGCTCTTTCGATGCAATGCTTCGCACGGCAGCAACCCCGTGGGATGAATGGCGGCAGAGTTGGCAACGGGCGTGTGGACGGGATGGGCGGCGGCACCTCCAGGGTCGTGAGTGACGTGGACGATTGGGAGCCGTGGGTTCAATTGCGGTGGCAGCCCTGCACCAGTACTGTGGCCGTGGCACAGCAACCTGACCTGCGGCGACGTCGAGGTTCCCTGTCGAACGGTGGAGCAGCTTGATTGATTGTGGGTGCCCCGTGGGTGCACCAGAGAGAGCCGCGCACATCGCAACACAGTGGCCCAAACTCTCAGTGCTTGCTGCAGGTGCTCACAGCACGGGGAGCGACGGTGTGCAGGTGTACCAATCTGTGGCTGCAGCGCCTGCGCACAGTGGGTGAACGAACCCGAGGTTCTGGCGGACGGCCTGGAGGAGACCTGCTCCCCGTTCCATCATAAGGTATCCATGGATACTTGTAGGTGATGGGGCCCTAGAACATTGGAGCTTGCAGCGATCGCCTGTGCTGCCAGGGCAGGTGCGTCCAGCGACTTCGATCGCCCACCAACCAGCATCAGCCGGGCCGGCCCCCACCACTGCCGAGAACGACCATCGGAGCCCTTCAGGGCTGCCCAGGTGGTTTCACCACCTCCAGGCTGTGAGAGGCGACGACCGCCAGGCACACCTTGGCTCGGGCTTGATGAGCGCCACGCCACCGGATGTCCACCCGTCCCGTCGGTTGAACCTCGCCGACCCTCGACACTCCAAATCGTCGCTATCACCCAGCATCATCACTCCACCACCACCCGCCACCGCACCAACCCTCGGGCGACAACGACAATTACCCACGCGCCTGTCCCCCAGTTACACCTACACAAGCACACATTATATACACCCGACGAGCTCGCATACCTATCTGCGCGCGCACTGCGCTCCCCCCACGGACGCGCGCCCAGCCGACCGATCCGCCCCTCGAGGGCCCATCCCGCCATCGCCAGCTGCATCGCCCTCTCCAAGTCAGCCCGCCAGAGACGGCCGCCGCCATGTTCTGCCTACGGAGGTACGACGCCTTGCCACTCCGCCCTCCCAAGCGATTGGGTCATTGAAGTCTTGTTGCATGTATACTGACGCGCGACCGTGCCTCGCTCGCACGCAGCTGGCTCCCGCTCCTCTTCATCCCCACCAACGCCTCGCCGGCCTTCATCTTCCTCTTCTTCGTCTGCACCTACTTCCTCAACCGGCCCTGCGTCTACTGCTCCATCCTGCTGCTCATCCTCTTCCTGACCTCGTGCAACTGGTCCGACCGCTGCTTCTTCGACTTTCGCAGCGACTGGTTCCTCCCGCGCTCCTCCTCTTCCGCTTCCGCCGCCTCAACCTCAGCCTCAACCTCACCTGCTACGCCGACGTCCACAATATTTACCGGCGCCGGCGGCGCAAATGCTACGATATATACCCAACACCAACATGACGTGGCGGCCGACGCCTTTAATGCGACTGTCGCGGAGATGCTCAATTCGACGGCCCGCGCGCTCGCCGGCGCGGCGGCAGACCAGGTGGCTGCCAAGAGGGCCGAGTGGACGGGTTTGGGCATGGAGTGGCTGAGGAGCCTGCTCGGTCGGCGCGAGTGGAGGATCGAGTGCATGGACATATATATACGGTTGTGATGCTGCTGAGAAAGGGGCTGCATGTAATTATACTGAGCGTGGAGTGATGCAGAATCGCATCGTCACGAGAGTCTTAGCGATGAATTGGAATCCTCGACTTCAATCGTCCTTTGGCACGTAGTCCCCCGATTGTGCTCCGTCTGAAGGAGACGTTTGACTCCCTGATGATTTCATCGTAGAGACTCCACCAGTTCGGCTTGCCGACGAGATCAGGCACCTTTTCCTTGTCATCGTATGCTTGAGCGCACTGTTGCCACCCTTTACGCTGCCGCTTTCAAAACCAACAGAACATTATGAACCCAGATTTTACACGCCGTGCCAGGCATCTAGTCGTCTTGAATGCATTTACAAATGCATTTACAGTTTTCAATTGCTTGTTACTTTTGTCGGTTGATATGTACACATGCCACCCTAGACCCAAGACCATCCCAAACAACACCACGAACCATCCCCTCCGCGAAGACAACTCAAATTATGCAGGCCGTAAAACTCGTCTCTGATTATTGTATGTGTAGTTGTGTACGTATATATATATAGCGATCGTGGCGGCAATGTACTCAGTCTGGCTGATACACACACATGTCGGGCGTTGCGTTGCCCTCATTCATCAAAGCCCTCTCCGTGTCGTCACCACTGCGGCTGTGTTTCCTGAGTTCTTCCTTCCCTCCCTCCCTCACTCACTCACCCAATCATGGTATTCCTCTGTTTCTTTCTTCCCCGTGGTTGCACACCTCGCATTCGCATTCGCTCTCGCTCCTCAAACGGCAATTCGACCGGCACGAAGAAGTCCCAAGAATTCCAAATCAATTTCAGTCTTTGCTCCGCGCTTTGCCATGCATGCATCTGAATTCGACTCTCGGCGTGCTGCGTTTTACGCGGCGGCGGCATCATCGTCGTCGCTCAGCAGCGCCACAGCCTCCTCGGACTTTTCCTCAGGCGTGACTTCGGTGGTATCGTTGGACCTAGGCAGCTCCATCTTCTGCTGGAGGAGAAGCTCGGCTTCCTGTGTCGCTACCGGGTCGGCCGAGGCGACAGTCTCCTGCGTGGCGACAGGGGCTGGCGAAGCGACCGTGGCCGTCTCCAGCACCGTCTCGCGGATAGTCTCGGTAACCGTCTCGACAACACGAACAATGCTCGTGGAAGCATCACCAACGGACAAGGAGCACGGGTCAGAAGCCTGGCTCGCTTGCTCCGCCGTGGTCGTGTAGGCCGCAGCAGACTCGCCCTCCGTCATGGCCGAGGCAGTCACACTCGCCGCCGCCACGATGTCCTCCTCCGATAGCGTCAGCCCGCTCACCGACTCCACCGCCATCTGGCCCTCGACCTTGGCCAACGGCGCATCAGGGGCCGTCACCACCGTCTGAAACGTCGCCGCCGGGGGAGGAGCTCTCTCCCCTGCCCTCGCGGCGAGCAGGAGGATCAGCACGCTCAGGAGGCCAATGACCACGTTCTTGCGGTCGCGCATCGCTACACGCACAGCTTCGAGGAGCAGCTCGGGCAGAGTCGCGGCACCGCCCTGGTATGCCTCCCTCTGCCGCGCGTGCTCGCGCCGTGCGTGTGCTCCCACCGACGGCGACGGGGGCGTCTCGCGCGTTGTGTACGCGGACTCGCCCTTGGCGCGGCGTGACGAGGGGGCTTCGGCGTGTGCTGGGGGCGTGCTGCCGTAGATTTCGCGGAGGCGCTCCTCGTCCACGGTGCGGCGCCGCTCCTCGTGCTGGTACAGGGGGGCTGGAGGCATGCGTGGCTCAGGGGCAGGGGTGCATGGTCGTTGTTGCTCTTCGCTCCCATGGCCGTCATCATCCTCGTCGTTGACATGGCGGTGCTCCTCCTCGTCGGGATGCGTGGGCTCAGGGTCACGCACAAGCTCCTCTGCCTGGTTCTCAACAAAGGTGTCCTCGTACTCGGGCTGCTGCTCCTGATGCTGATCGTCCTCCACTGCCACAGCAACTCTCATCTCCATGGCGCGCTCCTGTTCGGCCGCCAGCTCGGCCAGCTCATCGCTAAGCGCAGCGTCAACAATGGGCTCCAGCTCGACATCGACGCGCTCCATCTCCTTCCAGCACGCCTCCCACGCGCCGGCGCGCATGAGGCCGTTGCTGGCATACACCTTGACGCGGAAGACCCTGCCTTGGCCGAGCGAGTCGTAGCGAATCTCCGACTTGCACGTCCGGCACCAGTGCGTCTTGTCCGCCCCCTCGCGGGTGGAGCGCCTGCTATTTGTGCCAAATGACTGCCGGTACTCGTCGTACTCGTCGCCGCAGTCACTGTCCATCTCCTCCGGTAGCGTCATCTCGTTGGCCGGCCCAAGATAGTGGCCGCATTCGAGGATGCGTGCGCGCCGGCGGAGGGGCAGCTCCAGTGCCTCGAGCAGGCGCTCTTCGAGCACTTCATAGTCGTTCTGCGGATGCGGCAGGAGGATGCCGCGGTCCGAAACGGTATCGCCGGTGCGTTCCTGCAGCTGTCGCCACGAGTCGCGCAGGGTCTTGGCTTCGGGGCTCAGGTCACCCGCGTCGGCGGCCTCGAGCACGTCTGCCCAAGCCCAGCGTAGGGGGAGGAGCGTGACGTGCAGCAGGACGAGGGGCGGGGTGGCGCGTTTGAAGCGAGGGGGCGTCTTTTTGGGCGAGTACTGCGCCGAGACGGAGGGCGAACCGAGGCGTGAAACGGTTGGCAGGGGAGTCCGGCGGTTGGATCGTGGTGTTTGCCCAAAGACCGAGGCGGGGGGCGACGACATCTGCATGGCCCTGACCGACGATGGCGAGCGGAAGGGCGGACGGGGCGTGCCGCGGACAGTGGCGACAAAGTCCTGGTCATCCATGTCGGAGGGCGGAATGTCCGAGATGCGAGGCGAGTGGCTTCGCTGCGTAATGTTTCGCAGGGAGAGTGTCTGCTCGATCTTGGTCTGCTCGGCCTCGGACATGGAGCCCATGGAGCTGCGAGGACTGTCGTCGCTGAAGACGTCGTCCTCGTGCTCGTGGTGGGAGCTGCTGTCGCCGGCCTCAGGTGCTTCCTCCGCTTCTTCCACGTCTTCCTCGTTGTGGTCGTCGTCCTTGTCGTGATGCTCGACTGTGGACTCGCCGCCGTACGACTGACGAGCGCTCGTGGGCTCAGAGCCGGCCACGTAGCTGCTATCTGCCGTGTCCGCGGCCGGTGCACTCTCGCGGCGGCCGAGCTGCTGGACGATGTCGCGGGCAGCAGCGTGTATCAGGGCCTCGGTGCGGTACGAGGCGCGGCGGTCGCTGTCATGGGAAGCCGATGACATGGCGGACTCGCGTCTCGAGACCGAGTCCCTGGTGTCTGCCTCGCTGCCGAGAATAGATTGGTCGTGGTCCGTGACTGAGGCGGCGTCATGTTCGGCATGATTCACTGTCACTGTGTCGTCGGTCTGGTCGTCGGCGGTGGAAACGGGTGCCTCGCTGTGGACGTCGGAGACGTCGTGTGCGCTCTGCGAGACCTCGCTGGCCACGATTGAAAGATCGTGGGCATCGGAATGTGCGTCATCCTCGTCGGGTGCTTGAGTAGACTCCTCCGTAGCCTCCTGGACAGGTTGTTGAGCAACGCCATCGACAAGCTCTTCGAGAGCTGCCTCGAGCTCCTCGGCAGCCTTGTCAGCGAGGGTCTCTTCATGTCGCTCGTCCTCCGTGGCAAACGCCTCCTGCTCCTCCGGCTGCTCTTCCAAAACAGCCTTCGCCTCGTCGGTCTGGTCCATGTCCAGCTCCTGGTCGGCATCGAGAGCATTCCTTGTCTCCAGCGCCTCCTCGTCGTACCGAAGAGCGTCCTCTCCCGCACCAACCTCGTGATCCTCCACCTTCGGCACCTCCTGCTCCATGGTATCGTCGTATGTCGTCGGCTCGCTCATGCAAGACGGGTCCACGTGAATGTCAAAGTCAAAGTCGTGTTGCTGTCGTCGATTCCGTCGCGGCATGCCCAGCAGCCGTCTGGTGCTGATGATTGTGCGGTATGCAAGGGGACTGGAGGTTCCCGGTGGTCCCGCGGCCCGGCAGTCGTGTATCGAACAAGGTGCGCCCTGGGAGAGGGGGTACCTTATCTATCTTGCTTTTCGTGAGAGGTCCTCTCCAGGTAGGAAAGGCGTCCGTCGGGCTCGATGTCAGAAAGCAAGCGCCAAACTCAAAACGACACAGCGATATACTACTGTACAAGGAGGAGGGAACATCAACAATCGCGGCAAGCAACAAAAGTCAAAACGCGCGTGCAGGGGAGGGGCCCGGTCCTATGTGCAGAGTGTGTGAGGGCGCTGGTTGGTCGCCGCGGTTGCTTTTGCTCGAGGTGGTGTGGTGGTGGTTGGGCGGCAATTGGGGGGCGGCGTCGTTGACGTGGTCGGCGGGCGCTTTGTTTACCGCCGTTGCCAGGTCGACGCTGCACCAGCCGGTGGGGCCTCTGGCGGCCACAGCCGTCGGCCCGCGGACAGAGACGTCAATAGCAGCGCCCGTCCCGCTTGGCCCCCGAAGAAGAAGAAAAAGGGGTCCTTGGGGGTTGAAAAATTGGATGATTATGCTGTCGTCAGGCGGTTCCTTAATTTCAGAATTTTTAATCGGGGGTTTTGGTGGTGTGGAGGGGCCGCCGATTCAGGGTCTCTGGGGAAACATTCCAGTGTTGGTCTTTTAGGCCGATGCAGAACAATGGGGCATCCCGTCGAGTCTTGTGCCCCGAATTGGGTTCTATTGTATGCGTGCCTGTCTGCCGCCTCGGCGGAGTTGGAATGTGAGCTCTTCTGTTTCGGTGCAATTTATACAATGCAGGCAGCCGAGAGTTGGTCCATGTCTGTCTCAAGGCTCGATACTGTTTGAGCGACTGCACAACCTAGAAATAGAGTCGAGGAGAAGCCATCAAGATCAGGGCTGAACTGACCTCTGATTCAGATTTGGTGGACGAGCTTCACGGGAGCAACACGATGTACCAACTTACCTCGAAGCAAATATGTACTTGTTTCATTGGGCGGCGAGCAATTCATACGTATATTTACATGCGCGTACTTCGGACGAATACTTTGCATGATCCCAGTGCCATATCACAGAATGGAGAGCTTCCCGAGCTTCACTGACGACACCGACCAACAGCCATAGATCACGATCCCAACGCCTTTCTCGACCGTTCCGTACGCCTTTACCATTTGTTCCAAAACAGCCTCACTCACGCTCCCCTCCAGCTCCAGCCATGTAGCGCATACGTCTCCTGCAGAAACGCGACGCCCCTCCCAAACGCCTGGTCCTTGACCTCCCTCTTGACAACCGCATCAGGCACTGCACACAGTTAGCTTCGGCTTTCCACAAGGACACCACCACCACCGTTTGTTCGTGTCGTCAGACTCACCCTCCAGGTAGCCGTGAAACATGCCGTCCACCACCATCGTCTCGACGCGCCCGCTCCTCCCCTCGCGCTCGTCCTCGTGATTCACCCGCTCCGCAAACGCCATCTGCTCCGCGTACAGAATGTCCACCGCCGGCACCACCAGCAGGATCCTCTCCGGCAGCGTCTCCCGCCTCGCCAGTACAGGGCTCAGCCTCGCGTCGTCGATGTGCGCCCGCCTCGCGCCCGCCATGTACGCGTCGAACAGCGGCACCAGCACGCTCAGCGGGTCCGACGTGGGAAACCCCGGCGGGCGCGGCTTCTCGTCTGGACTGAGGCGCAGATCTAGCGCTGCGTAGAAGGTGACGATGCCGCGTACGCGCGTTGGAGAGGGAGGCTGGCGGTCGCACTGCTGCGTCGACGCGACGGCGAGGTTCCCGCCCGCGGAGAAACCACCCACTGTCATGAGCTCCGGGTCGGCGCCCCAGCGGCGCGCAGCGTGCGCGGCGATCCACGCGATGGCGGCGTCGACGTCGTCGATGGCTGCGGGGAAGACGTGCTCTGGCGCGTACCGGTACGAGAGGCTCACGACGACGGCGCCCGTCTCGGCGGCGACGCGTGCGTCGAACGCGGCGTTGCTCTCGGGCAGCCCGCCGATAAAGCTGCCGCCGTGGATCTCGATGTGCAGCGGCCGCAGGGGTTGTTGCTGCTCTGGCACGGCGGTGTCGCTGTCAGCGTTCACCTTGCGCGCCCCATGGCCGGGCGCTTTGAAGACGAGGACGCGCAGGGAGCGGCCCGGCGCGATGGGTAGGTGCTCGACGACAAACGGCCGCGAGAAGAGATACGGGATCGTGTTGATGGAGTATGTGATGAGCGAGATGGGCTGGAGGAGGAGGGTGCGCCAGCGCAGCGACCACGAGAGGCGCGGGTTGAAGAGGGCGACGAGCAGTGGCCGAAACCAGCGATGCAGCGCGTCGAGGACCATCTTGACGTCGTTGCCATGCGCGAGCGAAGCTGTCAAGGCGGCTCGTAGCTCAGCTATGGTGATGACATCCGTCAGTGAGTCTTTTGCTGGTGTGACGCAGGTTTAGCGGCCATGGCGGCCATGAGTTGACCTGAGGCATGAAGTGCTCAATTGCTCCGGGGCCTCCCGAGAGCAGGGCGAGGTGTTGAGCAGACCGAGCGATACGAGACTGGCTGCACACACTCGGTCAATTGACCCTCCTACACCAGCCGCTTGTGGCTCGCTCACAGTGAGTGATGCCAGCCTTCATCACTTTGCTCACATCCGTAGCAGAACATGCAGTGCCCCGAGCCTTCACCCAATGGATAATGGACAGCTACCGTACTCGGGCATTGAGCCGGCGGCTGATATCCTGTATCCTGGACTGCCGCGTTCGGATCAGCAAGCGAGGAGCCGCCGGGGCCTCGCTCCCTGGTCTGTCTCATCTCGCGAGCGAGGGTTGTTTCAACCACAAACGACACCTCATGTAAGTCATCATGAATTTTACCGGTGGCACGTTCAATTGTCACTTGCGAGTAAGAAATTGGGGATGCAGGACATGAAAATGGTGTCATTTCTGTATTACACAACGGCCAGACCAGCCGAGGCCGCTTTCGCATAGCCCCAGCCGTCGGCTACATGCGCTTGTTGTTTGTCTTTCATTTCCCTTCATATCCCGTGAAAACATTTCGCCAGGCACAGAGAGGCCACGGCGCGGCGGCGCGCCGCCCGGGGAGGAGCTCCCTCGTCTCCTCACCCGGGGGAGGGGAGTGCGCCCGCCGCAAAGAACCGAATCATTTGCCGTTTATATGTACTGAGTCTCTCTCTCCACAGACGCTGCTGCTGCCAACCACGTAGAACCCCGGCTCCGCATCCGCATCCGCATCCGCTTACAGGTCCTCGCAGTAGTCGCCGGTGACGGTGACGGTCGTCGTCTTGGTGGGCGTGGGGGCCGTGGTGACGACGGCGGTGATGCCCCAGCAGGAGCAGGCGGACGAGTACTTGGAGCCGTCGGCGCAAGCAGTGGCGTAGGCGGGCACGGCGGGGGCGTCGGTGGCGTCACGGTACTCGAGGATGTCGCGGCGGAGCTTGTGAGGAGCCTCGCCATCGACGGTGACGGTGACGGTGGTGGTGCTGGATGGATGGTCAGTCTACGCCATGTCCTTCTGATATCGGGTCCGTCTCAGGGTCCTACGACTTCCATTGGGGCTGGGTGGAAGCCATAGGACCCATCAGACCGGGTGGCGTCCACTTACACAGGCTCAGGGACGACAGTCGTCTGCATGAACTTGGTGCAGTCGGCCTTGCGGGACTCGACGGGCTTCAGGCCATCGCGGGTACCGGTGACGGCGCGGGCGCAGTTGTCACCACCGCAGTGGCCGGCACGGGGCTGGACGGCGCCGGCGAGCGCGGCAGCGACGAAAGAGAGGATAACGGCGGCCTTCATCTTGACGGTTTGTGTGTGTGTGAGAGCTGTCTCTTATACACATCTAGATGTGTATAAGAGACAGGCACGGGGCTGGACGGCGCCGGCGAGCGCGGCAGCGACGAAAGAGAGGATAACGGCGGCCTTCATCTTGACGGTTTGTGTGTGTGTGAGAGAGAGATGTTGGTTCAGACACGGGGTGAGATCGTCGACTGTGGGAGTTGAATGGGGAATTGCAAGTCGGTGACGGGGGGAAGAAAGGAAGAAGGGGGGGAAGGAGAGAGAACGAGGACAGAAGCAGACGAGGACTTATATGAGAAGTCCGGAGGAGGAGAGGTGAGAGCGAGCACGCAGCGCAGTACCGCACAGCACAGCGCAGGACGGAAGTGCGCAGGTTAGTTAGGTAGTTAGCGGGCGGACTGGACGGGCAGGATGGGGATCGAATGGGGACGGTTCCTATGGTCGCTTCTTGGCGACATGGACTGGCTGGAGCGTGGACGTATGCGGCAAGGGCGGTTGGTCGGCGGAAGAGCGAGGGGGGGCGTGCGAGTTGTGGTCTTTTCGTTTGCGACCTGCCTACCTACGTACCGCCTACAATATTACTGTACTCTTCCGCGTTGCGGTATGCCTGGCACGGGCACAGTTGGGAGGGACAACCACGAGCCGACGGCGCTGGTTGAACCAACGATGGGTGCATGTGGTCGACGACAGGCAACGCCGGCTGGCTGGGCAGGGGGGCCGGGGGGCGTGGGCAACGGAGAGTCCAACTCGACGAAGACGACGACAAGGCACAGGGGACCTGCCAGACCCTCATCTTGGTCTGAGGGGCCAGACCACAGAAAGCGAGCACACAGGCCCGGCCAGGTACTTCGTGCGCCACGGCGGTGCCTAACATACAGGATACGAATATCGGGACGAGGGGACGAGCAGCTCCCTCATCGGGCAAACACCTTGACCAGGGCACACGTTAGCTGCAAGCCGCGCTCTCATCTGCGCGCTGTCGAGTGTGGACTGGGGCGCTTGTTCGTGCCTGGGGGGCGGAGGGGGATGGCATGGCATGGCATGGCATGTCTCTCGGCGCGGGCAGCCGTGCTGCCCAGACTGTTCTCGATCCCACCTATCAGAGCGGCAACCTCCCGCATGAGGCAGGTCAACGTGCCTGTTTTCACGCGTCCCTGTGAGTGAGGGTGCGTGCTGCACCGGCGGCGGACCGGGCAGGGGGGTGGGCATTTTACGCAGGCGGGGACCGGGGGGGTGCATACGGTGGCGGCGGCCGAGCCGGGCAGTTTGTTAGTTGACCCAGAACAGACAGCCAGAGACAGAGACAAAGTGAGTGGGCGAGTGAGTGAGTGGGCACAGAGAGGTGAGCGAGAGAGGCAGGCCGGCATGGCCACGGGCGGGCGGACAGGCCCCAGGGCCCAAGAGGGGAACTGCCAGCAAGAGCAAGAGCAAGAGAAAAAAAAGAGGCCACCGACGGGCGAAAAAGTTCCCCGTTGTGCGACCCATGCAACCAGGCTATTGAGGGCATGGCGCGGCGCGAACCCTGGTCCGGTCCGGCTTACAAGGACTGGGGCTAGCAGCGGGTTGGGAGACCGAGCGATGGAGCCGCCCGCCGTCTGCTCTCTCTCTGTCTGTCCCTTCCGTCTCTCTCTTGCTCTCTCATAATACAGTACTGTACTGTACGTAGACCGCTGGCACACAACCAGACACAACAAATCGGCCCGCCCGCCGTTGCGGCTGCCGTCTTTCCAGCTGCTGCTTCTGCTGCTGCGGACGGATGAGTAACGGAGGGACTCTTTGTATCCCACGCCC